TTCCAATGAATCATATTCTGTGTAAAGGATTCATTGGGTCAGTTGGTTACCTCGCAGATGATATCTACAAAGTCCATGTACCTCTAGGGGTGCTCACTGAAGCAAGTGCAGAGACTCACCCCTTTCAATGGACGTTCACTGAGCAACAGGCCTTTGAAACCATAATGCGATATGTTGCCACTTGCACACAACACTGTCACATACCCCTTGATTATGGACCAGACTGCAATCCTGTCTGGGTAATGACCAATGCTTGTGGGAATGGCATTGGTGGCATTGTAGCACAAGGAGTGGATTGGAAGTTGGCCAAAGTTGCCATGCTCTACTCTGCAAAGATGTCTTCAGCTCAGCACAACTATCCAGTCCATGAACAGGAACTCCTCACAGGAGTGGAAACAATGTTGCGGCACCAGGACATCCTCCAAGGCATACATTTCACTTGGGTAACTGACCACAAAAGCCTGACATATCTGTTGGATCAGAAAGACTTGTCTGGGCGACAGGCATGATGGTTGGAGAAGTTAGCTGAGTTTGACTTCAGAATCAGGTATGTACCAGGAGAGGAGAATGTTCTTCTGGACACTCTTTCCTGAATGTACAAGTTTGATGCTCCTGGGACAATCCATGTGCATAGCAAATACCTGCATCATGACCTGGACATCGAGGAGACAGTACCACCAAAGGAGAAGCAGCAGACAATAAGCTCACCTTTGTACATAGGCATTGAAGCACTTGCAATGTCTACCAGGGCTCATGCACAAACTGACACCCCCATTGGGCCTTTGCTGATGGAACAACCATCAGCTCACCAACAGAAGCTGGTGCTAAAACCTCCAAGGAGACCTCCTGCACCAGCAATCATGAAGCAACATTCCATGCCAACAATAGACCCAAATCTGCCTGAGGATGAGGGTAGTGAGATAAAAGTTCCTGCTAAGGATCAGCCAGAGGGAACAGGAAAGGGACCTGCATGGCAATCCATGCTCTTACACCCCCAGCTGAGACTGGTTGACTGGAGACCAGAATTGAGTTTGCACAATGAATGAAGGATCATTTCATTCTTCTTGGACCAGGTGAATGAAAGAAGGGGGGAAAGGGTAGTGGACCACCCCCTGAACATGCTACAGACACATTGCCAGACACACAGAGCTCATTGCCAAGCATGTGGGAACTAGATGATACAAGCAATACAAGCATGGCAGGCAATACAGAAATGAATCTTGTGCCCCTCATCATGTACTCAGGAAATGAAGGCATACTTAGGGAAGCGCAGAACAGATATGGCGAAGACCCATTCTTTAAACAGATACTGGATGCCCCAAAGGCATTCAAGAACTTTGAAATCACACCAGACAGTTTCATTCAATTAAGATTGCAAGACCATGTTGTATTCTGTGTCCCAGACATTGCAGTAAATGACAAATGATTAAGGGAAATGGTCATTGATCAAGCTCATTCCCTACTTGCACATCTAGGTGCTAGAAAAATGGTATCCTACATACGAGAGTTCTTATGGTGGGACTCTATGGTAAAGGACATCACTGCATACTGCACATCATGTCAGACATGCCAACAAAGCAAACTGCTGACTCATAAACCCTTTGGACTGCTGAACCCACTCTCTGTACCATCCAGGCCTTGGGAAGCAATTGGAGTAGATTTCATGGGACCCCTCCCTGAATCCAAAGATTGTGATGGTGAATATGACTCGATAACAGTGATCATCGACTTGTTAACATCCATGGTACACATTGTGCCAAGTCAAATGACATACACTGCCCATGAAGTAGCAGAATTAATGTTCACCAAAGTGTATAAACATCACAGCTTACCTCGAGCAATCATTAGCAATTGTGATGTTTTTATTCACAAGTACATTCTGGAAACACCTTAATGAACTAATTGGGATTAAGCAGAAGATGTTGAGTGTGTACCATCCAGAAACAGATGGTGCTACTGAACATGCCAATCGAACCATTGCCCAGATGCTGAGATGCTGCATTGGGCTGAATCAGAAAGATTGGGCATCACGCCTACCTGCCATCAAGTTCATGATCAATAATGCAATGTCAGAGTCAACAGGCTACACACCATTGTTCCTGAATACCAGATGGATGCCCTGACAGATGATATGGGACACTCCAATGAGAGATGAGTACCCAAGCATACGAGCATTTGCCAATAAAATGAAACTCACCTTGTTGGACACTCATGACACAATTCTGAAGGCATGATTGAAACAGACAGTTGGCACTAATAAAAAGTGCCAAGTGTGTCCCTTTGTTACAAGTGACCTTGTATATGTCTCCATGAAGAATATTAGCTTGTCAAAGGGGACATCACAAAAACTCATACTGAAGTTTATTGGGCTGTACCACATTTTGGACAACTTCAGGAATAATTCTTATTGCATCAAACTACCTGATAACCTGAAACAAAGAGGCATTCACAACATGTTTCATTTGTCATTGCTAAGAGTGCACATACCAAATGACGATCAAAAGTTCCCTGGGCAGAAGGATGATCAAATCCCTGAGCTTGGAGGAATGAGTCGAGAATGGGCTGTCAACCAGATAATAAGTCATCATGGCAGCTGCTTGGAGGCAACATTCAAGGTGCAATGGACAGCTGGAGACCAAACATGGTTACCATTTGATGAGGTCACTCATCTAAAGGCACTAGCCGATTATTTCAAGGCCTTGGGGATAGACAGGATAAATGAGTTGCAAGATAAGGGTGACGGGGGATCATCTGAGGATGACCCCCAGGTGTTCCTTGGACACTTGGTACCTCACCCCAGTGGAACCTATAAAAACCACCCGCACAACAATAGAAATCCATCTGTTCACCAGGTCCCCAGGTCAGTCAGACAAACCCCCAATCAAAATCGCTGTACCCATCCCCAACAACACATGCCTCCACCTCATACTGCCTACCCTTGTTGCATGCCCCAGCCTCATCATTCCTGTTCACCTCCTCGCCATCATAGTCATCAGCCACATCAACATCATCACTACTCTCCATCCACACAAGGGAGAGCTAAAGCCCACACATGGCCTAGATCACCTGCTGTCAGCTCATGTAGGAATTGAGGGTGGTTTGGTGAATGTACCAATCATAGACCTCCTTGCATGTCGCAACCAAAGTTCACTAATCGTAAACCCCCTGCACACTCAGCCAAAGCCATTGCTCACATATATTGTCCAGTGTGCTCCTGTGGTAGTCATAAACCAACCTCCTACCCAAAAAGAAAGTCGAAGGGTTGCTCACCCCAGTCACTGCTCGAAACTCAACCCGTGCATCCACAAGACTTAGATCCTGATGCCTCAGAGACACTCCAATGCATGCTAGCAGACATCATTAGTGACTTGCTCAGCCTGGACATAGACAAACCACCTACTGCTGATCACCACTCACCTGACATGACAACCCCTGCCTGCTTCTTATCTGTAGAGCAAATCAGCCCAGACTTCTTCACTGTGTGGGCTCCTGCCAGTCTTGGGGAGGCAGAACAGTGCATGCTGGTCCATTGTGAGCAGATGAAAGCTTACTTTACCTATGATAGGGTGTTGCGAGGAAATAATGGTGACCCACTTGATATACCTGCAGGGTATTGTCAGTTCCAAGAGGTGTACAACCAGTCCACTACCTTGAAGTCATGTTTTGCTTACCATGAACCTGGTCCAAATGCCCGCACTGTGATCATGGGCCCAGTGCCTACTAGGGAAGAGGTTCTTGGAACCAACATGGATCTGCAAAGTAAAGAGGAGATTGAGGGTGGACAAGTACTTAATGGTGCAGAGGCAGTTACACTGCATAGTTTGCTATGGGAGGCTGCTGACAAGGTTGGGCATCAACGTGAACACACCATGCATGGCTTCCTAGAGTGATGAGAGAAAAGAGGCAAGGGCTGTTTTGAAAGAGGACCTTTTGGTGGACATCCTGGTGCATCCCCCTTTGGTGATTGACACTCAGATAAAACAAAAATGGGGAAGTCTTCCGAGCCCCTCTCTCGGTCAGCCTGGCACCATGAGTGATCCAAAGCCCATAATTGCCAGGCAACACCCACTGTGAGCGTATCATCTGCTGCCACAAGCATCAATCCTTTCTTCCAAAACTTCGCCAACTTACCTGTCACGGGCCCTAGCCATCTCACCATAGATCCGCTCAATGTTGACACCTGCGATGTTGAAGGTTTCGGTGACACTTTCAATGAGAGCTGCACTGAATTTGTGGGTACTGAGGGCGACGAGGAAATGACTCAGCCAGGTAAAGCCATCACAGGTGCCAAGGAAGATGCCACAGAGGCTGGCTTGGGGACTGCTGACAAAGCTGTCACTGGAAATGCCACCTGAGGACTCCTGCTACAAAGGAAGGGTACTTTGTACCCTGGAGGGGGGGTTGTAAGGTTCAGACCAATGCTGTCGGTTGCACATCACTTGTTCAATATTCTTTTGACATTTCTTCTATGTATCTCATTTGTGATTGATCTAGTTCTTATTCACACCTGTTCTTACTGATATCATGTGCCTGTTCTCTCTACTATAAAAAGGGCCATGTGTCTTAACATAGGGGGAGAAAATTTTTCCTACGTACCAGAAATACAGACCTTGGTGTCTTGGAACTTCGAGGTAACCACAGGAAAGCTCCTCGTGTAGTGTCGTCACAAGTGCCTCACTTCGCTGTCGCCACTACAAGGACTTTTCTATCTCCCGCAAGGGACCCCTGTATACTGGAGATTTATCATACCACACCCCCTACCTTACCCAGCTGGCGTCCTGTGAGGTGGTTCAGATCCGTCAAGCGGTTGCCTTGAACACCATCCCCTCTCCTGTTCGCTTCTTCTCACTCCCCCATCGGTAGGATGATCCATACCCAGATACAACAACCAGTCCATCTACACATCTGCATGTGAGGGAATTGCTAGTTCATGTTCTGAGCCAACCTATGCGGCAGGTCCGGAGAGCCTGGCGGTATCTATCCCTCCTGCAAGTACACGAGCAGCTAAGCCAGAGATGACGAAGATGGATAGTGTTGCCGGCGACGGTGACTGTGGGTTAACGCTGAAAGATGGAGCCAACGGTGGGTCATCATTGGTTCTATTCGCAGTCCTACTGATTCGCTTGTGCATAAGGCGTCCTCAAGGCACTGAAAGAGGGGAAAGTGTCAGGCGAGGATGTCGTCGGTAGCGTGATAGCTATTTCCAAAGTTGCCGAAGAGGCCATGGGCGGAACCAGTGGTGCCTTCTATTCGTACGTGTTTCTACTTGTTCAGTATAAAACGTCTATTTCTCACCGTTCTTATGTGCCCTTAGGATCTTCTCGGCACTCGCCCAAGGTCTTGCGGATACCTCAACTCTCGCCACTGCTGATATCTGGAGCAATGCGCTTAATGCTGTCCTCGATCGGCTTGATACCTACACCCGCGCCCGTCCGCCGTCACGCACGCTCGTGGATCTTCTTGCGGCCTTCACTGAGGCTCTCCCGTCTGGCCTTGAAGTAGCCGTCAACGCTGCCAAGGAAACTGCGGAGAAGATTAGTGACCTCGAGGCTAAGGCGAGGCGCAATGCGTGTGTCGAAGGTAGGAGGTTCAGAGCAGAGAGGATTCCTGACTCAAGTACGTGGGACATCAAGGTGGTGATCGATGCTCTTATTCGCAGGTTCAAAGTAATGAAGTGCTGCACATGATGGAAAATTGTATGGCATGTGCAAGTCACGCTGTATACATGAGCATCCCGTCCGGTATGCAGTAGAAAATATATTCAGCCACGAACAAATGAACCAATGAACAGACGCAATCAAGTCCTGTAACATGTGTACAGCGCCAATCATATCAGTACAATTCCCATCAGAGGACATCAAAAAGGGGCATCCAATACACTGTTAACCTTAATTATTCCGGCAGACGTGAAATCGCTCAAGATAACGGGGACTCATCCACGTTCAGTATAAGTTTCGTAAGGAACCGTATTCCTTCGATGTACGCGTCAGCACGAAGCGCTGCATTGTGAGGGTCAATGACATGCCACACGGTCCTCCGTTTGGAGGTTATATCGACTCACCTTCGTTCACGGTGTGTATGTCGTTATAGTAGTCGGATTCAGTAACCAGAGAAAATCGGAAAATATGCTTCGTCAAGTTCCAGTAATGCATCGTGTCTAGATTACTTAAACCAGTGGACGGATCAGGTGAAATCAACCGCTACGTACCAGTGTTTCCTTGAGATGAGGCCACGGTTAATACTATGCATAAGAAAATGAGGAAAGAGTATGTACTCACCTAGTAATAAGAATGGCCCTAAAATGACGGTCGCGTCGTTGTATAGTTGAGACGTTGCCATGGTCGCTTTGACGGTCCCACCGAGAATCGAGTATGGACCATACCCCATAGGAGTTACAGGAGAGGGCTCAAGCGCTGTACCAAAGGTATCGGAAACGGCAATCTCTCCACTGTCACCAGTCTTTATGACCCTTCCGAAAGCACGAAGAGTCAACTCATGGCTAGCAGCCACGGGTAAGAGAACATCAATAAGATGCTGCTGTAACTCGACTACAGAGCTACAGACGGCGTGACACGATGTTAATATTGAGCGTGCGCCCGGCTTACCTGTGTTCTGCAATTCGGTGGTTGACAATAGCCGAAGCCCGTTCTGGGAGGGCATTAACTTTTACACCACCTTCTATGACATCGACAGCTTGAGTTGTCGCCATCAAAGCTCTTATCACAGGGGATAACTTGAACAGTGCATCTTTCAATCTCGCCAAAGCCCAATCATTGCTAACCGCTTCGCGTGCAAGACTACGCAAGTCCTCCGGGAATGATGGCAAGTAGTTTGCAAGGCACTGGACGGCTGAGAAAGGCGTTCCGTTGCGTAGGAGTTCGGGAGTGTGTGGGTTTGCTTCTATCGCTGAAATAGCAAGGGAAAGCAGGCCAATACTCTGTTCAAGTAGAGGGTATCAGCCTAGGTATATCGGCTTGGAAGATTTGCGGACTCACTGTATGGGCTGGTGGAATGCTCGAGTGACCACCAGGCGAAGTTACCTCTACACGCGCGTCGAAGTACCCTTTCTCAGAAACTGCCAGGGATGCAAAGTATATGCCATTTCCGAAATTCATTATGGGAGTTTCTAAGCGTTGGTGGCATAACAATGAGCTTCCTCGAAGAGGACAAGAGCTACTTACGACCCTCGTCCACGAGCATGGCGAAGCCATCACGACCATAGGTCTCCTCCAGATACTTTGCGATATGGCCAGCACCCTGTTTGAAAAGCAAATCAGAAAAGAAAGAATAACTGGTAAACCCCCACCATACTTCAAGCCCCGTCGCCTCTTCGTCGAAGCCAACGGCGATGACGACAGTACGAGCAGGTGTAAAACCACGCCGCAAAAGAGAGTCGACGACTACGAGTCTCTCGATGAGGTCCGATTTGTCGTCACATGTTCCACGTCCCCATATCCAGGTGCCTTTCGAGGTGTTCAATCCCTGTGGTAAAATGGAAAATGATGATGATACCGTCGTAGTGTCCAGAATAGGGGGGATGTATCCACCGCGACACAGTAGTCGGATCGACGGGTACCACGTCTGCGGAGGAATTTAGAGAGACGCTCCAATGGCAACAATCAAATTTCTAGCCTTGGTGAGCAGCCAGGAGAATGGGTTTTGCCTCTGTCGAACCCTGCCAGTGATAGACAATGCCATACGTATTGATCTTCGTCACGTTCAACTTGGTGTACCTTATGGATAATGGTAAGACACCGGGCTTTCCTATCTCAGATTGAAACACCCTACACTAGCGGAAACGCACGTTCCAAATATTGGTGGAGGTCGGCAAAAATATTCCATACTGGGTCTTCTCCTACTGGGCCGCTATTGTCGTGGGATTCAGTGCTGTACAAAAAAGCGCCCATAGGATGAAACCTTGTGCCAGTGTAAGGAAATTATTGGACCTCACGGAATGCGAATAGCTCCTGCAAGGAGATCAATTGCTCGCAGTTTGAAGTCTGGAGATGCATAGATGGCCTCTAGCTCTGCATCGATTTGGGCGTTATCGATAGGATACAGGGCGTCCCATTGGGGACAGGCCGTGGAGTTTGTATTGGGATGGAGTAGCCCACTGTGAGAATTACGGGAAATGAAACGCAAGGGGGAATTCAGCACCCATAAAGTGCTCCAGAGCGCTATCATGCACAAAAATGCCAAGGCTCGACTGAACCTAAAGTCCTTTACACTAGCTGGCATAGGTACGTGCGCAGCAACAGGACTCTCCCATGGTGACCTTGGGAAAATCCCCCCGCCTTCCTTCTTGGTATCAACTGGCATGTGAACGTGCAGAACGATTGGAGTGGTCGTCGTGAGGCTAAGGACGACGACGGCAGTATTAACTTGCTATAACAATAGCCCTCGTTCGTAGTTGTCCCAATGGGGGAAAGCCAGTCCGAGTCACGTGACCGATACTACAGGACTTGTCAGGCTGAGAGGCCGAGGGGACCATCCCAGTCATGGCCATGGGCAGTAGCACGGTTATGTCAACTCTCCGCTCTCAGGTGGACTCCAGCCCGAGCACCAAGCTCTACACAACAAAACCATTAACCAACTATTCCTTCGTCAGGAAACGATCTCCAGACGTCCTTCCAAGAGTCTATCCAACTCATCAGCAACGTTACCCCTCACTGGATCTCTGCACGAAGAATCAAGTGGTGCAGATGATGAACGTCAATCCCGGCGAACTCGGTCTCAGTTCGGCTGATGTCCTGGAAGGTCCTCTCTCCGGCAAAGGGCCTGGTTTTCAATCGCCCTATCCGCAATGCGACCAGTGTACCCCGTGCCCACAGGAATGCGCTCAGGCGTCGTGTGTTATACCTGGGATAACCTCCGAGTGTACAGAGCAGTGCCTAGTCGTCGCCTGCGATGATCCCGACCATCCGGACGTTGAATGTCAGGTAGAAAACGGTAACGAACCTTGCGATGGTAGCTGCGTGAGAAGCGCCGAATGTCCGGAATGCCCAGGCTTAGAGGAGATTGTAAGTACATGAGGTCATTTTTAGAGTAGAAAAATTCATCCGACTTCCCCTGACATAGCTTCAATGCTGCACCGATTATCACTCCTACTTTGCGGAGCCCAAGTCCTACGACGGGCCCACGATGGCGACCTGGAACAACACACTTGCCGATATTTTCTGTGGTTGCGAAGACGACACGAGGCCTCCTCCCACAAGTGACCCCTGCATACCGGAGATTTATCATACCCCACCCCTACCTCACCAACTTGGCGTCTTGCGAAGTAGTTCAGATCCATCAAGTGGATGTACAACACCATCCCCTCTCCTGTCCGCTTCTTCTCACTCTCCCATCGGCAGCACGATCAACACCCCGCTGCAACAACCAGTCCCTCCACACATCTGCATGTGGGGAAACTGCCAGCTCGCGTTCTCTACGCTTGCTGAGCTGGTTGGTCACGTCAACTTGCAGCACCTCCGTGGATCTGGTCTTGTGCAATCAGATTTCCCTCCGATAGGCGAACCCTCTTTTTTCTCTCAGAGTACACTATCTTGCCACTGGGGCAACTGTGCTATGTACCCGTCCCCGTCGTCGATACCAAGCTCTTCGTCAGGACCCGCTGATCAAGCGATCGACCTCTTGACAACTCACTTGATGCAAGACCATTTGGGCGTCAATCTGCCTTTCCCTACTACTACCACCGCAGTCTCCCCGCCTCCACTCAACCGTCTTGTTTCACCATCAGCAAGTCAAGAGGCTGCCTCCATCCCGTCCAGGTCTCCTCCTCCCGATTGCCATACGTGCGGATGGAAATCATGTTCACAGACATTCGCATCCTCCGACGAACTTACCGTACATATCGCTTCCATGCACGTTGGAAGTGGAAAGGCCCATTATGATTGTTTCTGGGAAGGGTGTGTGCGAAATGGAGCCAACGGCTTTTCCAGCAAGCAGAAGATTTCTCGACATCTTCAGGTCCCGTCCCAATCTCTCATTCTAATGTAGACCCTTCCCTAAACTCCTCGTTATCTAGTCACATACTGGCCACCGACCATTCCAATGCAAAATCTGCTCCCAAAATTTCTCCGAGGCGGCCACACTCCAGCAACACATGCGACGACACACACAAGAAAGTTCGTTTGCGCAGCCCACCTCCCGCGTCACCTACTCACACGCTCTACATAGAACCCTACGTCTGCGATCATCCTGGCTGCGGCCGCGCATTTGCCATAACAGGGGCATTGACCATCCACAAACGTACACACAACGGGCAGCGCCCGTTCAAGTGTACTCATTGCAATAAGTATGGTTGCGTTCGTCACTAGTCAGCTGCATGGTTAACCTTTATTCTTCCTGATCCAGGGCCTTCTCGGAGTCCTCAAATCTCTCCAAACACGTAAGTCCACTTGTCTGCAGCCATATCATAGAACTTACCACAGTGCCATTTTGATTTTGTCGGTGCCGTCCAGCTTCGCACTCACACCGGAGCGCGACCCTATGAGTGTCCGGAAGAAGGGTGCAAGAAGACCTTCGCCCGACCGGATCAGTTGGCGCGCCACATGAGCGTCCACCGCAGAAAAGATAACTGCAGTAGTGGCTGGGTCCTCGTGAGCTTCTGAACAACATGATTTTCGCACATTTCTAGTGTTTGTACGGAATATAACAGCATTACATCACAGCCCACTACACCCCACATGTATTTTTGGCTAGTTCTGTTACGTTGAATGAATCATAGCACATGAATCATGAATGGCAAGAACGATAAGATGGCGGAGCGACACGGAAGCATGTACAAACGCGGACAACAATGTGGACACCACATAAATGACGAATAGTTAACAGCGCTCAACACTGTGCATGCCAGGGCCGATGCCGACCGACCCTCACCCTTCGGAAGGGTGTCGGGCTCCAACTCCGATGGGCTCTTGTAAGGCGTGGCATTAGCTGAGCGACTGAGTGGTGAAGCAGGTGGTGCAGTAAGCTTGGGAACTAAACCAACAGTTCTCCGGGCTGGTATCACCCGACCTGTTTGAGAGGGAATGCGAGTTATTTCATTGCGACAAAGAAAAGCGATGGGGAGGGAGAGAAGATAGGATTCCTCACCAATTCTCTTCAACTCATCATACCCTTTCAATCTCTCCTTGTCAAACTCCGGATTGACGGACGAGCCCTCCTCCAATACGACGTAATCTATGCGTTTATCGATCATGAACGCGTCGTCGAGTACCCATGGTGCATCTGGCACGATTTCATCTACCCACTTGACGTGTCGTATTGCTTCGCAGCGCTCGACGTGGGGGTATCTGGGTGCAGTAGCAGTGCCACTGCCCAGTACGTGACATATTGCCTCGTCTGGGAAGACCCCTACCATGAGGTGTACGGACGCGAAGGAGAGCTTAGCTTGACGTAAACGCAGCATACGTCTGTGGCGGGACCAAACGTCAGAAAGGTTGCCAGCTTGTCGTCGTCAAACGAGACACGGAACAAAGAGGATGCCGCCATAGGATGGGTATTCATATATGTCACTTACCCAGCGTCGAGGACGTCAAACACACCATCCACATAGACGCGGATCGTTCTATCCGCGGGGTACCTCACACCTCTCCCTGCCGCGGTCGATAACTGCGGTCCCCACGTACGCCTGGATATCAACAGCGGTGAGTGACACTGTACTGAGCGTGTGTCGTGCGGCGTCTGTGGGCGGAATCTCCCTGATGGGCCCACACGCAATGACATGTCCGAAATCGGCGACACTGGATTCCAGGGACCGCTGGCCGGGGTTTGAGATGACGTCGTAGTCCTCGTCGCTTAGAACGGAGGAGGTATCCATGGGTATTCAATGCTGTATATTATCAGCTAGCTTCGAAGGACGAAAACGAAAACGTGGTTGGCCAAGTCTCGACACGAGGCATACCGTTCAAACCCTACTTTCAGATGGGCCACAAACAACTCGCTGCCAATAACCACCGAGCGGTGGGATACACGGAACCAGTAATAACTTGGGGGAGAGCGTGGAGCATTTTGCGTACCCTCGATTGAGAAATACAGCGAGAAAACAATAATAAGAAAAGCAGCACTCCACCGGTGGGGAGCAGGTAAAACCAATCCGTCCGCAAGACTCGGTGCCATGATGACAGGCCCATGAGTTCGATCTCCAGGTTGGCTGTTTATCGCCCGAGGCCACTACTTGTCCAGCGCTCTGGGACGCAGAATTCTCAACAGATTACTTCATGATACAGAACAAAACGCCAATCATTATAAATGTACACAGCCATTGATCACCTCTACCACCAAGACGACGCTCCAGAATACCTCCATGAAGCATGATCTCCAAATGATACCCTACGGTCGGGCAGGTGCCGTCGACTTTGTCGTCGGGTTCGCACGGGACGATGGCACCTCTCGCCCTTCCGCTTGCCCACCCCGACCAGTACACGCACTGCTCCACACCACACGGCCCCGCCCATCAGTCACGAACGGTGGTTCATTGTTATGATCAGAATGAGTACGACTATCGTTCCCACTGTTGCTGTCTGCTGCGGTGTTCCGCGTATCAACGTTCGAAACAGGTGATGAAAACCGTGAGGAGAGGTCTTGAGTTGTGTGGGTATCAGCAGTGTCATCTTCGTAAGAATCAGAAGTGGGTACCGCGTCGGCGTATTCCTCATCAGACGCGTCCATGGCCAGCGCCTCCCGGCTGCGGGAATTCACGACAGTGCTGAACCGCGGCGTTGGAGTTCTAGTTCTTGTCGACGACGACGGACCAGGAGCAGGTGTGGGATTCAACTCTGGGTGGTGTGCCGACTCGTCATCATTTGCCGCGGCATGTGAAGGGGCTAAACTGCTCGTGTCTGAACCCCATGAAATCGGTGGAGTGGAGGCGGGCCGGTCAGACAAACGTTGCTCCGTTTGCCCGTCTGGAGCTTGGGGAACATTAAGCGAGGATGCAGCATGGGCAGCGGCCAGCGATTCCTCCACTGCCAAGGCTTCATCCAGCTGCATGCGCTATATAGTTCAAGTAAATAGAAGAAGCCAAGTCAGAGCGGGGACTGCAAGCGGCTCGTGACGATGGGGGTAGGGGGAAGAGACAAACCCCGACTTACCACCACCGAAAAGAGAAGATCTAATTCGTCGTCATCCATGTCCGATGGAGGCATTTCAAACTCATCCATCTCTGGGGCAAACATCGCTTCGATATCAATGGGGTTGATAGATGTTGATGTTTCAATATCTTCAATTCTTTCTCGGATGTTTGAGAACCTGGTTCGGATGACGTCCATGTTATCAAAGATATTCCGGAGATGTCGAATGGGTCCCATATAAGGGAGTGGTGAATGACGGCTGTTATTCCTTAGTTGTGCCCTCTGGTAGATCTACGGGAAAGAAGCCGTCGTAAGTCAATCCGTTTAGGCGGAGGCGGGAAGAAGCTTACTCTCATGTACCTGCCCGCACCGGAATGGAAGACATGCGGTGACCCATCTGGCCGGGTGTGTTGATAGAAACAATCGTATCCGAACGGGCAGCACGGTTTTCCCCTGCGCGATGTCTGCTCGAAGTACCTGTGGCTAGCTCAGCAGGCGGATCGGGAAAAAGATAGAAGATCAGTTTCACTTGCAAGGCACCCTGGCCATGCTAGACCTGTATTCTTCAATGATTTCTTCCTTCCTAGGATGACCGGATGGGAAGAAATGACTGGAGGGTGTAATGAAACGGGAAGGTCTTCGACAAAGTGGGCAACACTTGATGGCACCAGTAGACACCATGTCAGGTGATTTTCCACTCTTATCACGCCACTGTCGGATACACTGTAAAGGATTAGACGTAGATCAGCTCGATAGGGGAGATGTACCTGTAGACAGAAAACATGACTGCAATCCACTGCGGAGAATAAGTCAGCCCTGGAACGCAAGTCATGGCCGATACGACACTTACTCAGCAGACCATAAGTGGTGGGCTTCTCCATGCAGATAGAGCAGGTCTCTGCGTCAGGTTGGACCTGCTCGGGTGGTGCCTTTGGTAGTTCGTGACGGAACCAGCATCGATCGCCGCGGGTGCAGTGTCCTGTACAAGGGCATCAGACAAGAGAAACGAAGAAAGGACTAAATAGAAGACAGACCTTTAACATAGTACCGGCACACCTTGGCCTTGTCATATGGCGAGTACTTTTCGTCAGCTCCGTGGAGGAACTTGCAAGCGTCACCGGCAAAGCAGCCCCTAGCAGTGGTGTAATATTTACAAACCCCACGAGGTTTCGATGTCACAGGTCGTTCCATGGGATCATTTGCAGCACTCAATCACTTAAGAAACGTCTGCAAGTAAGAAGATGGATGAGGGTGATGAAGCAGACGAGGTCAGGGCTATAAGCACTGCAGTGGCACCACAGATTCCCACGAGTGGTCCCAATGTCGCTGTCGTCGACGTCGACGATCAAAGGCCAGCTGCACGCAGCGCTGGGGCCAAAGGCTCAGCCATACTTTGAGGCTCTCAGCCAGTTTGTGTCTGCGAAGATATCCAGGGCTGAGTTCGAGGATGCAGTTCGTCAGGCCCTCGACGCGCCAAACCTCGGTAAGCACGGCAATCCAGCCTTGACTTGCGCTGACCCTTTTTCGACAGTCCAGTTGCACAACTCGCTGATCATATCCTTGTTTGACTTTACTGTTCATCGACGGCCACCGACCCCTCCACCAGACGTACCCAAACAGCCTCCCCGCAAGCGACGCAGGACTCTGCCTTACCAAGGCCCAGACGATACAGATGGGAGCCTGCGATCGATGAGGTTAAAGCGCTGGACAGTGTCTCTCGGTCGACGAGAACGCGAGCGTATTCGTGGGTTGCAGGTCAACGGGGTGGAGCACCCTCGACCGCAGAAACATACCGATGAAATTGCAGCCGACAGGGGTGTCACTCTGCTGCCGGAACGAGGTGGTATGCATACTTGATGTGTTTGCGGGACTAAACGACTCATTCCGATCCTTGGTCTCGTGCAGATCCTCCAGGTAGTCGACTACCGCTCCACCTAGCCTCCGTATCGAGATCTTTGTCTTTACAGCACATATCGGACCGAATAAACCTTATATCCGCCCAGCACAACATGGGAGCGCCCTCCCGTGCAGTATCTTCCCTCATGGCTGTTGCTGTCGAAGTAAGCATGGTACACCCCGCTATTTGCAACTTACCCCTAACGCCGATTCCAGACCAAACTCAAACAACTCATAAAACAAGCACTCTCTTTGACGTCAACTTCTTATGCGATAGCATCCATCAATCCCTCTGCACCTCGCTCGAACAACCGTGTGCTCACAGCGTCGTCATTCGAGACTCTCTTCACCATCTCTCCTGCTGTCTTACCGAACAAGTCTGCAGCAGCCCTGAAGCTGGAGATCGGCGAAAACGACATGGACGATGAGGATATTGCTTTCCTTAAAGACAGGGAAGTACGAGATCAGCGGTGGCAGGTCCTTGCTCTTTTGGGCGAGAGAAGCTCCGTGAAAGAAGCTCTGAGGCAGCTGCGATAGCGCACTAACCATGCTGCCGTCCTTCTTTCCTGCGAAAATACCTGCGGGTTTAATTTCGCTGCACATCTTACAGAATTCTGATGCGCCAAGAGTGGCATCATATGTACGCAACGAGCGCATACTGTCACAAGCACGCCCGGATAAGTACTTGGACGCTAACGGCGGCGCCCTGTTCACGGGAGCGCCAGGAGTTATACCCACCTAGAGTTCCACGGTAATTCGTATTGCACGGTTCAGATGATCAACGATGTTCAGTACTTATGCTACATCTATGATACACAATGTAAAACGACATGTTGGAACTTACAACCGCATCCTAAATTCAGGGTGACATCTCCACCTCTTCACGCCTTCTCTTCCCGTTCCTTCTGCGCAGATCCTCCGTCTGAAGTTTATGCTCCCACTCGTCTCTCGAGTGCATTCGCTTCACTTGCTTCTCATCGGATTGCACCTGATTCTCGCACTGCTTTCCCCATAAGCGCCTGCTCCACTCTTCTATGCCACCATACTCATTGGCATCTTGAGCCTCACGGCCGATGGCTGCGTAAGCGACGGTTTGTAATTCGCGAAGGGTGAGGCATTCCATGAAAGACCTTTCGGATGGCCGGAAGGTCTTGGTTATCCGGGGGAAACGTAACTCATAATACTACGCAAAATAAGTGATGAAACCCCGAGATAGTGTAGTATGCGTTACCTTGCACTGCGGACTCTTGGTGAATCCAGCACCGCACAATTCAACCAGTATCGGACTCGTAACAAAGACTGAAGGTTTCGGCAGGGTTCGCAACATCGAGTAGGTGTAAGGGAGTACACTGAGTTCTTCCTATACGGGATTATATATAACGAGACGTCTAACACCAAGGACAGCCGCACCTGCGAGTCGACCGAGTCGGATCTCATCCAAAAGTTGAATTCTTCCAGTTGTTCGCGTGTCAGTCCATATGAAGCTGTAAAGTAGACGACATAATGTGGCTTGACGCCTGGCTAGAGACGTTATGAATACAACCCCGTTCGAGGCGTTTTCCACCGACGACGACTCACCTTAGCTTTCATTTGCGAAGAATTTCCAAGTGCTCCGACGTAGAACGTCGTCAATATCGAAGGAGGGACTAAGGAGCAACGTTTGCCTGAAAGTGATCTCTAGGTTGAAAAATGACCAACCTCGTAGTTCGCGAGCCCTGTCTTTGTCCCAGCCAGCTGCAACAATAACGAGATCGATCGTGTCACCGTGTCCGGGAACGTAGTCTTTCTTCAGCTATCCCACGAGAGGGTGAGGGGTAATGAACTCTAAAGTGGTGGCAAATTAGTCCTAACTTACTTTGACCCAGGGCAACTTCCAGTCTTCGTAGACACTTTCCCCTGCTTTGAGGATGAGGCCTTCTTCGCAATCCACAATTTTCTGCGCCCACACTTCTCTCAGTCTCTGTGACGCATTCTCTATACTCGTTTCAGGGCCGCAAGAAATGAGTTCTCGCTTGGCGATAATAGCTCGGCCGGGTATCTCACGAACGGCGCTTTCCAGAACAGAGCGGCGCATGGCGTATGGAACATTCAGAAACGATGCATACCCCACGAGAAGTACGTCGAAGAATACGAGAGCTAGGTGCAGCCCACCCGATGAGTCAGATGAGCAATTGGAGTGTAAGGACGGACAGGTGTCTCTAAACGTGGTTGGCTATCAGGAACGGCACCATCGCTTGCAATCCGGCTTTGGAACTCACAGGGAGTGAGAATCGTATGCTTGTTCGCCCTTTCCAGAAATTATATTTGACCTGGGACCTTGCGCTGACCGAGCTATGAGCCCACGTATGCGCCAAAATTCTACGAGTGACACTGAATTTATTGTCCATGTTCAGAATAAAGCAAAAAACGAACCATCGATCGCGTCCCGTTCTTCCGAGAATGCCACCATCTCAGCATCGAGAATGATTGGCTGGGAAGGCATAGCAGACAAAGCCTCCTTGATGATGCTTTACATATACACCCGTCAATACTACTCGCCAGCGCGAAACCAAAAATAAAGTGACCCACTCACGGGTGGACAGCCGCTCGATCCAATGTCGAGTCTCGTTTGCTCTTACTAAATATTGAAATGCTCATTTCGCCGTCGGAGCTGTAGTTAACGTGTATCTGTGCGCGCTCGCCATCGTACTTGGTCTCCGCCCAGATTCGGTCACAAGAATCTAGGAGCTCTAGGGCGTGTTGCGGACAGCGACCTTTAGCCGATTTTGGGATCTTTGCGAGGGATAGTGCATTGAAAAGCAGTCGTTATATGAAAAGAGAGATCTAACCAACCTCTATTGGCACTCCACATCGTGGTCGAGCTTGCACGAGAGTCCCGCCTGCTTCAAAACCCATGGCTGCCTCGTCCAGTCTCGCACGCACCCTGCACATTTGAAGTAGCATCTTAGACGGGTCCCACAACGTCATAAACTGCTCCTTCGTCAGAGCTTGCTTGCTCCTAGTATTATAGTCGAGTAGGACATGACTCGTCGAAGTAGTTGGAGGCGCATATAGTAGCGGACGGAGGTCTTTCAGGATTATCTGGGTTAGGTAGGCAGCATTAGTTGCGGGGAGGGAATCATATAATGCGCGCAATATGATTGTTTTTGAGCGAGGCGAGGGATAGGCTGCGTGGAAGAACTTGTCCGAAAACTGGGAAGTAGGCCGCAAGCTCGTCCAACAAGGCATCGACTTCTTGGAGACTCTTGGGACCTACATTTCCCTAAATACCTATCTTGTGAGCCCGCACTCGACTTTTCATAGAGCAGCTCGCACCTCCGTCCCTGAAACAGCGAACTTGAGCAACTCTTCACCGAGACAACCAGAAAAAGACTCTTTCGACCAGCTCTTCAGCTTTCGAGTGTCTCTCAGTGAACACCGTCGAGGAGTCGAGACAACCACCGAGATAAGAGGCTAGACGTGCTTCTTGCAAGTCATACTTCCTCGGCGTATCTTCCTCTGGAAATAAAAGACGGAGGACGGTCGCGGTGGTGCCGCGAGGAAGAGGCGAATAGTCTTTACGCAGAGCTGCAACCCATCGAGCGGCAACAGCCCGCGCGGAATGATTGTTAGTTCGAGACGAAGCCGACCTCGCTGGAAGATTAGATATTTCTCGTAGAAGCGACACGAAACTGATCTGTGATTTGTACCAAGTGCCGACGCGAGAAGCATGGCATGCACACTCACAAAGAAAACGGTATCGTCTTCCCAGTGTCAGGGGCACTGGTGTTCATCTGGTGTTCACTGTCCTTACTAAGATAGTCCAGGCGGTAAAATATCTAGCTGTTCCACACTCAAGGAATTGGTTGAATGGTCATTGAACAAGCTGGACTTGGCTTGAGCCTACTATGTACATATGTAAGCATCGGATCCAAGTAGAGTCATTCACACTCAGGTTGTTCGCGTCACAACCTCGCACGCGCAAGTCGTTCTTAGGCCGCCACATTTACATGCAAGATGCTATCCATTGAGCCCATCATATCCCAATAATGCGAACCTGGCTGTCCGTGGAAACGCGCTCAACTCAAGGGTCTATTTGCGTCCGAACCGGGACACCTGCGGCATGCTCCCACCTCCACCTGCGTATTAACAGCTACTGTCAGCACCCACGTCGGTCCGTTGTGGTGCACGAGTGTTCAACTGCACACGGCGTTGAGATGAGTGCCGTGCCGCGCTTTCGTTTACATAGACAGGTTCGTACCTTATACAGCCTACAATACTTGGCATTGTTGCACTCATACACGCTTGCTTTGCTACCATGCATCGGTGGAATTGGCATAGCGAGAGTGACGTCTTGCTTCTGCATGTCCATTTGCCCACTCTTCTTTGTGCTAAAACACCCGGACCCCAAATATATACTCATGGAAGCCATGGCAAAATTCCAATGGGAAACTCCTAGATCTAGGCAGGTTGGTCTGGTTGCATCTGACTGTGGGGATTCAGTGCTGGTCATGCTGCAGGCTGCTGAGGAAAATGTATTGGTTCTCAAACTCCCTGATTTTCGTTGTTGGAACTCATACTGGTATAAACAGACTCAGAGACAGTTATGGTGGCTCTGAAAAAACTGCTGAATATGGGGTACATTTCCTTCCCATCCCATTTATGTTACATTGTTTCTGTATCACTACCTGGCTGCAAATGATGCACTGCACTAACTTTTATAAGCTTCTTAGCAATGTGGTTCCCTATAAACCAGGTGAAACTGCTGCTAATGTTGTATGTCATAGGAAAGGTAGCTTATCTGTGTATCAGTCAGATATCTGCATGGAATAGACAACACCTGTGGATGTTCTGTTAAAAGTTCTAACTTCCAACTTTTGGCAATGATGTCCAGCAGCACAACAGAATATTACACTTTTACAATTGGAAACTTCTGTTAACACTGGTTATGGATTGTAGAATACAAAAGTGATGTGAGTCACAGGAGAAAACTAAACAACTGGTTGGAAACATTGATGCCACTGTTTCCCATGTGCCATCTGGCTCAAGTCCAGCTCCACACAACTACCCCTGGGGATGACTACTGTGTTCCACATTGAATAAAATCTCCCCCAAAATGTTGGAGGTATCCAGAGCAATAATCTCCCTTTTGGACCTCTGATCCAGCCATCATGGAAAAGCTTCACCAGTTCATACATCACATACACCTCTTCCCCCAGAAGGCCATCAAGGAGTTGTTGAGTATCACACAATGCATGTGAAAAGACAGGTGAAAAGCAAATTGGGTATGCTATATAATAAATTTAAGTTGGCTCAGTCAAGTAAGAGTATGTGACAAGTTATTGCCACTCACATCTGATGATCTGGGATGGGAGATTAATGCCCTCATCTTCATCTTCATGGTCATGAGCATGTAGGAGTGTCTTGTGCTCTACTCCCAAGGTACTCCACTTGCCATCAGAGAATCCAACATCCCAGATCCTCACAGTTCTATCATATGAGCCTGAGATAATCCTCTTGCCATCAGAGGAGAATCCAACTGAGTGGATTGCACTACTGTGCCCCTCAAGAGGACCACCAATCTGGACACCTCTTGCAGCATCCCAGATTCTCACAGTCATGTCATGTGAGCCAGAGACAATCCTCTGTCCATCAGAGGAGAATTGGGCTGACTTGACCCCACCAGTATGCCCCTCAAGAGGGTCACCAATCTGGACTCCTCCCCCAGCATCCCAGATTCTCACAGTCCAGTCAATTGAGCCTGAGACAATCCTCTTGCCATCAGAGGAGAATCCAACTGACAGCACCCAATCAGTATGCCCTTCAAGAGGGCCTTCCATCTGGACACCTCTCTCAGCATCCCATATCCTCACAGTGTTGTCAGCTGAGCCTGACACAATCCTCTTGCTGTCAGAGGAGAATCCAACTGACCAGACCCTGCCAGTATGCCCCTCTAGAGGGCCCCCAACCTGGGCACCTCTCTCAGCATTCCAGATCCTCACAGTGTTGTCAGCTGAGCCTGACACAATCCTCTTTCCATCAAGGCTAAATCCAACAGACTGAACCCCACCAGCATGCTTTGCAAGAGGATCACCAATCTGGATGCCTCTCTCAGCATCCCAGATTCTCACAGTCCCATCATGTGAGCCTGAGACAATCCTCCTGCCATCAGAGGAGAATCCCACTGACAGCGCCCAATCAGTATGCCCCTCAAGAGGGCTACCAATCTGGACACCACTGTCAGCATCCCAGATCCTCACAGTGTTATCATAGAAGTTTGAGACAACCTTCCTGCCATCAGAGGATAATCCAGCTGAGTTGACCCCACCAGTATGCCCCTCTAAAGGGTCACTAATCTGGACACTGCTCTCAGCATCCCATATCCTGACATTGATGTCATTTGACCCTGACACAATCCTCTTGCCATCCTTGGAAAATCCAACTGAGTTGACTCCCCCACCATTATGCCCCTCAAGAGCGCCACCAATCTGGACACCTCTCTCAACATCCCAGATCCTTACAGTGGTGTCATCTGAGCCTGAAACAATCCTCCTGTTATCAGAGGAGAATGCAACTGAGTTGACCCCATCAGTATGTCCCACAAGAGGGCCACCAATTTGGACACCTCTCTTGACATCCCAGATTCTCACAGTGCTGTCAGCAGAGCCTGAGGCCACCCACTTGCCATCAGAGGAGAATTCAACTGAATTGACCCAATCTGTATGCCCCTCAAGAGGGCCACCAATCTGGACACCCCTCTCAGCATCCCAGACCCTCATAGTCTTATCATCTGACCCTGAGACAATTCTCTTGCCATCAGGGGAGAATCCAACTGAGTTGACCCTATCAGTATGCCCCTCAAGTGGGTCACCAATCGGAACAGCCCTCTCAGCATCCCAGATCCTCACAGTCTTGTCATCTGACCCTGAGACAATGCTCCTGCCATCAGAGGAGAACCCCACTGACAACACTATACCAGTGTGCCCCTCAAGAGGGCCAGCAACCTGGACACCCCTCTCAGCATCCCAAATCCTCACAGTGTTGTCAGCTGAGCCTGAGACAATTCTCTTGTTATCAGAGGAGAATCCAACTGAGTTGACTCCATGGGTATGCCCCACAAGAGAGTCACCAACCTGGACACCACTCTCAACATCCCAGATCCTTACAGTGTTGTCAGCTGAGCCTGACACAATCCTTTTTCCATCAAGGCTGAATCCAACAGACTGGACCCAACCAGTGTGCCCCTGCAGTGCAAGCTGAGTTGCTGGCCATTCCTTAAGCCCCCCTACATTAATCCTAGCAAAGCAAGAGAATTTTGGTTTGATCATTCTTGCAAATACTGTGTTTGATGGTGTGAATGGCAATGCAGAAATGTAAAGGTGTGGTGTACTGTGGGCAATTACACCCCCAAAATTTTGCAGAAATTTGATCCCATCCTCTGCTAATGCCAAGGTATCTTCAAAACCACCTTGGCCCTTTCAAATCACATTAGTTGAAATCAGGTATCTTTGTGGATTACCCACCTGTAGCCATGAGATAGTGGAGGCAAGAGAACTTGTAGCACATCCAAGTCCACTGATGAGACTCAGTGTCTCAAGCCAAAAGAGAACCTTTTCACTTCCAACAACAACTTTTACCAATGTTGCAAGCTCCAAGTCAAACAGGGCTCTTTGCAGATGGTGGGCCCAATACTGACATGAGTAGGATAGATGGAGTGAAATATTTTTGTTGATCCTCTCCTGCAGATCAGCTACCTCGGAGTTGCAGTAGTAGGAGCTTTCCAGTCCACATACGTTGAATTTCAGCTCGCTGTGAAGTGTATCCAGCGAACCAAGGGCAAGGTTGCTATGCATGTCGGCACTAGGTCCACCAACAAAATATACCCTACTCCGTAGACGGTCAGTGAGAAAGCCATAGAAAGATGCATGGAGAGGTCGAACGACAGAGCTCCTGTCTGATATCCCACTCAACAGCGACGCCATGGATTCGAGAATGATTATGATATCAAAATGATCTTGCTCCGAGGGAAAGTGACTGCGCATCTCATTCAACGCGTCCAACGGCAGAAGCTGGGACGTCGACATGATCTGTTGCATCACGGGGCGAAATCGCGCGAGCGTGGTCTCCTCCTGCGGCACAGTGTCTTCAAGGATTGTTTTGTACATGACGTCCAACAAGATTCCTCCACCTCCAGAATGAGGGAACATAACCTCATTGTAGCGCTCCGTGACCGATTGACTTGGCCCATTCGACTTGATGAACGTGCATGCTAGACGAGCCCACTCAAATAGACCGTCCGACTTTTGAGTAATGTTCTGGACTTCCGTGGCTCCGATCTCTGGGAGACAGCAAAGCTCGGTGGAAACATACAGCCGAATGTCACGCTCCGCCGATACTGCAGAGATGTCGTCCAATGAGGTGACCTTCACATGCGTAGCGGCACCCAGGACACGTCGGATGTCTGGAAGCGGTCTGGACGTCAGAAGGATGCGGAAATTGGAGGGCAGATGAGTAGCTTCCGGCGAGGTGAGTAGGGATAAGATGTGCTCCCTCGATGTGTCTGGACCACTTTCGTCCAAGGCATCAATCACCACGACCACGTTCCCGACTATCGTTCCGTTGATCTTCGATAACGGCTCCAAAATGAGTTGCTCCCATTGTTGCACCACGTCAGACGTGGTCTTGAGGTAGTGGCCCTCCGACATGGCGTCCGTCAATGCCCGCCGAAAGGCAGGATCGCGATCAGCGAGATCACGAGCAATCGTGGTCAGAATCTTCTCCTCGCGGTGTTCAGCCTGCCGGTCACGAGCGAAACAAAAGTAAGAACCGACTCCTCCCACATCCTGGAACCACGACGCAATTGTATGAGCAATGGTCGATTTTCCCCTTCTCGCCTGCCCGTGAAGCCACAAGATACGAGGGGTATCAATGTCAGGATCATTAATCCAGTTGATGATCTCCTGTAAAATCTCCTTCCTTGTGCCGTCGAGGCATTTTTTCGTCTTGTTCAGCCCCGCGCCCCCTGCATAAGCCACACCATCGAGATTCAAGTCCTCAAATATGCGGTATGCGTTAACCTGAATGTCCCGGATAATGCAGTCGCGGTACTGTTGCATCAAGTTGTCTAGGGTCTTAGCGTAGCCATCTACAACGGTCTGCGTCTCGGACAAAATGTTCTTCGCAGTTCTTTTCCCTGAGTATAATAAGTCATGATATGGTAACCGAGGTGAGGATATGACCTACAGAAGCTTTTCGTTGCAGGATAGTTGTTGATGAACTGCACTGAGTCGCTTATCACTCGTGCGATCTTTGCAAGAGTGTCTTTCATTTCGTCGATATTGTTTATGCTATCTTCTTTCGTAAGAAATTCGTAGACGGTTCGCACCGTGTGGAAGAGGCCAGACACTGCGCCATCTAGATTCACTTGGTTTATGAGCAACTAATGACTGCGTGAGATGTGAAACGGCAGTGGAAAGTGAGCACGAACCTGGGCGGCAGAGGTCAAGATTCCTAGCGCAATCTGGGCGTAGGGGTGAACCTGGCGCGCACATTCAATCATTGTACGGATGCAGAAAGTGGGATGCTTACGTTGGCAAGAGTGGAAACGGCTTGATTGAAAACTTTGAAGGGTTTGAGATAAGTGTCACTCAAGTTTTGAACCTCGGAGAATGTGGTACTGGCGTTACCAACGGCAACAGCACCTTTGTCGATACACGAATTGGGATCAATACCACCGAAGTCTTTTACTGCAGTATCGACGCCCTTGCCAGCCGATGCTTCCGTAGGTTTGACGATTGACTTTTCAGCCTGCCCAGCAGAACCACTTAAATCACGGTAGCAGCCGCACATCAGAGATGACATACATTCTTGGTCGGGACTACCTTCGATTGCTCTTGTTCCTCACTGCCGGTACTTGTGGCGGCAGCCTGTTCAAGGAATCGCTCAGCATCATCGCAGTGATCAGATGCGGTAGACCACATACATCCTGAGCTGGAATTGCCTCTGTAGACTCCTCCTCTTTCTCCTGAGCTCTCCTACCAGTTCCCGCATCAGCAAGCCCCGTCTTGATGTTGGTCGAAGGACTTTGACTCGATCGATGGAAGCTCCTCATTCTGGCGAGCATACCAGGAGAGGTCGTGCTCGATATTTCAGGTGTGGAGAGGCGATCCCCTGTTCGTGTCTGAACCCGTCCCGGAGACTGTTTCTTTTTTTTCTGCATTTCGATAAGTAACTAAGCTCTAGGAAGCAGTAGCTACGTACTGAAGCAAGGTCGGACAGTTTCGCAAATCCCAAGAGACGACGTTTCTTGGAATGCGCTCTAGCCATTGGGGAATGAATATCTGGTGTAATATTTCAAAATTTCAACGTTGATTCGAGGTTGGGGGTGCAAACGAGGAAGTGATGCTGGTGTTGGAACTTAGGCGCCTGGCGTATATACGGAGCAGTGGTGCCGGCTTTAGTGCACATTGCCCCTGTGCTTCTGCTGTCCACAATCCCCCAAATATTCCCATCCGACAGATGCTCCTAGCCGGTGGTTTCTCCAGCACTCACCTCTCCTCCGTCCCTGCGACAATTCGACCCATACTCCCGTCATCATCATTCCACGTATACAGACAGGACGCGTTCTAGCCGTACTCAGAGGTGCTGGTCCCGGCTTCAAGAGCTACGGCACCATGTTATCGCCATCGAAGCCAATGGTGTGTCGACACGGGGTTCTACATGTACAGGTTAACGACGTCATGTCGCAACTCGCAAACTTGAAGTATCGACATCATCCACAGATGTCTTCTACATCCATTCGATTGACATTCCCATTGGGGCACGGTTTACTCGTGCACAGATAAGTAAAAGAAACAACCGTTCTGGTAGAGAGGTATAAACAGAGAGAGTGTGGTGAGACAGGGCGTACGTGAGAGTAACAATCATTCATCGACCACCAGCTCTAGGTGGTATAGGTACGTACGATATTGTAAACGAGAGAAGGAAAAAGAAGGGTATATATAGATAGCAGAAACACATAGCCCTCCCTGGGCTGGAATTTCACCCGTTTCAAACAAGAAAAAAAAAGAACGTTATCGATCGTAAGAGGACACTGCAAGTGAGTGTACTATATGTAGGTATGCTGTGTGGTGGGGTGGCGGCGGCAGTTACTTGTTTAACGATCGTGATCAATCAATCGGTACAGGTTGTCAGCGTTTACTTGGTAGTAGTAGTCTGGACGACAACCGGTGAACGAGGTGATTCCGTTGTCGGTCGTGGGGACACAGGGAGTCCAATCATACGACTTTGTCGGTCGGCTTTCCTGTTGTTAACGTTGTTCACAGCGATATTGAGACCGCGGCTAGCAGCAACGTTGGACGCGTGGCCTCGCCGTTGTGAGGAAAGTTCAGAACTAGCGGGTGATGAAGTGTCAGCGATGTTCTGCTCCTGCGAGTAGAACTGGCTTTGATTCGCGCTTTCGACGGTCGCGTCGTTTTCAGCAGTCTCGTTACCACTCTCGTATTGGAGGGACATGCTATCGCCATCTTCAGAGGGTGTCTCTTCTGTCGTTGCTAAGAGGAGGTGATGGGGCAATCAGCCAATATGCATTATTCGGTTGTGAAAGTGTAAACGTACCATTGTTCAAGCATCGACCCGAAAGACCAAGAAGCTGATCAGCAGCAGCATCCGAGTACTGTCGACTGTTCCTCCGGCTCAAGTCACCAGCTTTCTCTTCGCTCACGTCGCTAGCCGCATCAACGTTAAACACTCGGTTGAACTCGCCCAACATTAGGCTAAACACGCCTGCAGGTATACCCAGTGTCGGACTAAATACGATACCGACATTGCGCATGGTCATCTTGTTGAAAGCCGAGTTCTGCACGATCAAAATCAGGTGGGCGGTAAGCGCGCGGAGAAGGCTGTAGTTGGCGATCGGGAGGGAAGCAATGAGGAAGGACAGTTCGCGTATCCGCTCTTGAGGTTGCACAAAGTCTGCGGAAGTGTCAGCAGACGTAGCATACCGGTAATGCGGGACATACCCATGACAGCCAGGAACTTCATGTGCAACTCCCGCGTCAATATACTTGCAGGTAGTTCGCGCAAGAAGCTCTTCAACAACCCAGCAATAGCATGGGGGTCCCAGTACTCGTCCGACCCAAGCAGATCGATGTCGCCCTCTGAAGATTAGAGTTCATACCAGCCCTACCGACTGCCACGAAGCCCACTTACCCATATTGAACCGGTCCCGGAGACCCTTGATAACGGCAGAGCTGCCGCTCAAACGATAAATACCTTCTTCCTTCTCCGCCTTCTTCGCCTCCAGGTATTGTATACACCGGAACACTACCGCCGGTAGTCGCGCAATTTCAGCCACGTCCAGAGACTCCTCCAATGGAACTCCAAACACCGCTCGTGGAATATGCACCACTTTATCTGCAGGCTTGCTGCCAAAACCCCAGAACGACCTCGATTTGGCCTTCTCACGTCTATCACTTGACGACGACGAACATTCCCCGACCACATCCCTACTGCCGAACTTGTACCCTGGCGGGATAGGAGCGCCGTTGAGAGGTCCAGAAATTTTAACCTTTCCGTTCAACTCCCCATGCTTCAGGGGCGTCGATCCCACATCAGGAGATGGTGCACGGTCAGGGAACACTGGCGCCACCGGTGAAACAGATATCGATGATAAGCCCGGGTAATATGATTTCCTGTCGCGGCGCCCTTCGTAAGGCTTCGACGGATCAGTACCGGCTCCGTGATCTTGCCCCTGCGCGACAACAGAGCGATCTGCGTCTACGTAATGCCCCAACTCCGAGTTTGCCCTGAAAGACACAAGACCCTGGCCTGCAGAGTCAAGTGGTGAGGTCGTCGGAAGGGACGTGGACAACAGTGGTTCTGTCGGGGTGTTACTATGTTCAAGCAATCGTCTCGAGTTTCCTTCGGTGGAAATGTTGTTGTCCCTGTCAACAGCATAATGATGAGAAGAAGACTTCGTGGGACTCGCCGTGTACATTTGCGGGTCGTCAAGTGAGGTTGACTCTGGGATTGGGGGAGTCTGGAAGAACTTGGCATTGTTCGCATCCAATGCAAGCTGTGATATCGGCACTACAGCTCCTTTCGATATGTCATCCTTGGATACCGTCCTTACCGCACGTTTGCTCCCAGGTGTAGCAGTATGATCTTGACTCGAGCTCGTGCTTGATCGTGGTTGAGCAGAGCCTGCACCTTGATGATGTGGAACATTGACCGCTAGGGGGCTCGGGCCACCCGAAGTGGACGATATTGGATCCTCACTGAAGGTTCCAGAGACATAGCGAACGAGAATGTCCACCCAACTATCTCGTTCAATGTCGCTTTCGGCACAGAGAACGTGCCTTGGATTCGAACCACCAGGGCCTTTCTTTGCCTCAATAATGAGGAACGCGTGACGATAATTCTTCTCGTCGTCGTTATCGACAGTGCGTTGTTGGCGACCGATTTGGGCATTCGTTATGAGGATGGAACCAAGATGAGCACCGCCACGCTAACGGACCTTGTAAAGCCAATAGCGTTGCGAAGGGGGCGTAGCAACTTACACTCTCAAAATATTCGAGTACGGGTCCTTGGAGAACAAAGTAGCGTGTTTTCCATCCGCCAAAGTTCTTCCCGCGCTTCGTGAGGTATCCTTCCTTGTATCCGGCTTGCATAACGGGCTTCTTGGTCTCACGGACGATATCAGAGGTGAGGAACGCGATAAATTCGTCCTTATTCCTGACAGGAAGGCTAACCAAGGATTGCAAGTAAACTTCAAGTGCAACCTGGTGGGGTAAGTAAGGATTACCTGTGAGCAAGATTATCAGGCTCACCTTGCGCTGATCAGCCTTCGCCGGCGCATGATCCCTCCAAACTTTGCCATCGGGTAAAACACCCATCTTCTTCGCTACGCTCTTTCCGACCACTGCTCTCACTCTCTGGTCCAGACCCAAGAAATCTGAATACATCTTCTCGACTTTCCACGAATCTTTTCCATTCCTAGGATCAACATCAAGTACAAACGAAAGGACATCTTTGCCGCGATCATTGGGTTTTACAGAAGAATGCAAAACGGTGACACGTGTTGTCTTGAGATCATCGTAGACCAGCGGAAGAGATCTGAAAGTTGGGCTTGGGCCAACGCTTGTCCCACTGTGAACCGACCTGGCTGGCGAAAGATATGAAGACGGGAGTGGTGAATCCGGGGTGGTCGGCGACGGAACCGGTTCAAGTAACGACGACTGCGAGTGTGAGAGCGCTTGCGGTCTTTTTTGTTCCTGGTAAACCTGTAATCCGTGACGGTGCGCAGAAGATTTAGAATTCGCTTGTGTGGGTGTAACCATGTCGGTGCTTCCTGGCGACTGAGGATTCACGTTCATATTGTGCGTGGAGACGTGCACAGCACCGTGTGAAGGAGGCATTGGAAAGTCTTCTACCGTTGCACGGGCCTTACTCTTTTTCTTTGATGGCGACAAGGGACCAGGATCAGGATGGTCCAAGGCAGCACCGTCGCCTTGGTTCTCAGCGTCACCATCCAAATCGAGAAACTCGTTGTCATCATCCTTATCCGTGCAATCCAACTTGTTGGGTGAATGTCTTGCCTGCTGATGACCATCGATGGACAAATTGTCGGTCCGGGATTGACTGTTTTCGGACGCAGAGGAGCTGGTGATGGAACTCCCTGCGCAGTTGGGGCTGGGCAGCGGGCTGTCACCCGTGGCAGAGCGTGCTCGGGAAGACTCCTGACTAAGTCGTGGGTCTTCTATAATTGGAGTGAGCGTCCCGGCCGACGGATTGTGAGGAACGAGCGATGCTGGATGGGCCTTAAGTACAAGAGGCGATGCTTGTAGTGATGAAGATGAATTGCCGGCGTCGAAATGAGGGGCGCCGGAACGACTGGGTTGCGACTGAGATCCGGGTTGCGAGGTTACAGAGCCTACTGCGGTATTAATGGCTGGCAACAGTCAATAGGTATCGGCTACGTCACCTTCACTTGTTCGAGGTTGCGCCTCGGACGACGATACCGTGGATGAAAATGACTGGTTGGATGTCGGAGTAGGAGTTCCTTGGGGTAGAGAGGCGGACCTTGGGGGAATAACCGCTGGAGACACAGGAGTGTGTGAGGTGGCACGAAACTGGGGCATATGGTCATCAGGGGCGTCAAGTTGTTCTGACATTTTGGTGGGTGTAATGGGACGATGGTCACGGAAGGACGAAGCTAGATCACAGACATTGGATAGTGCGACAATGATAGATATTGTTCGTGCGCACCTGAATTGTCCGACTGATGGCGAACCATGCCCACTACCCGAGAATCGACAGTCGACATGGTTGCGTTGGACGCCGAGGGACGCAAAACCTTGCCCTTTTCTTTCTTTCCGAGTTCGATGCTCAAGCCTGCTGCCTGTAGACGACACTTGTACGCATCTCTCTCTGCACGGATGCGTTCGAGCTCCTTGAGTACTTGGTTGTAACCGCTTCGCTGTTTCTCGATCAGTTTCCATAGCTGGGTATTCTGACCTGAGAAAACGTTTCGTTCTGAGAGTGCCTGTTCGAGGGCAGCGAGGGTTGGGTTCGGAGCATCTGCATGTTGTGCGAGGAGAGCGTCGAGGGCGATGGGTTGGGTTGTTGGGTTAGTTGCTGTTGAGGAGACGAGGGATGCGGCAGAGGGTATGGACGAAGAGGAGGAGGATGTCTGGGGTCGGGCTGACATGGGCGACGAGCTCGACTGGGAGGAGGAATGATGGCGTTCTCGAGTCGGGGTGCTGTGCGAGAACGAACTCATGGCAACTTGCAGAGACAAAGTCCTAGACGACCATCGAATACAACATCAAACGCGGGGAACGAGCGAGAGGTGACGTTACACGAAGACATACCTCCAAGCCTGCACTCGCACGGACCACCACACGCAATTTGGACAAGCAAAAGACAGAAAAAATCTGGCTCCAGTGACAGCGTCTTGGCGAGTCGCCTGACTTTGGGTCGACCCACCCAGAGCGCTCCAAATCGGGGTGACAACTTCTGTCAAGGCCAATTCAAATCCTCACACTAATCTCCCCCACTAATAAACAACCTATCGACCGGCCAGAGAACGCGCTACTGGTCCAATCGAATGTCTGCCAGTACCCTAATTCTCCCCTCATATCCGCTCCTTGTTGCTGATCCAGTGATATCGATACCCTTAGATCAATTCATACAGTCCCCCAAAATTCATTCCCGCCTTTCCGAGACCTCGCGACGATCATACTGCGGCGATAGCCCAAGATAGACCTCACATCTATCGCATATCCGTAATAACCAGAAGTTTTCAAAGCCGAACGTCAAAAACACTTGCGTCGATTTATTTTACGTCAGTCGTCCAACCTAACCAAGGCTCGCGGCCGATTGACGCATCATTGAAGGCTCGAATAGGAAAACAATGTGCTTTCAGTACGCTTGGTTGACCGTTCTCACCCCCGTCGACTATGGCTGGCGGCGGAAGAAAGGACAAAGGTACTATGGAAGCACACAAAGTAGATTCCGAGCAAAGAATAAACTATTGGATGTCGTCAAGCCCCTCAACAACGTACTCCTGTCACCCTGGCCAGTGGGTATAAAGGGGACGATTGCAACTTGTGAATCGGTGAACCATCATTCCCCCGAGGTGGAGGCGGCGGGTATATGAATACCCTGCTCGAGACCGCAGTTCAGTGGGATAAAAGCTCTTCAAGACTGAAGTGCTGTTGTCGTACTCAACCGCGGTCTCCTCTTATCACATGTACGGCGGCTGCGGGAGCAACGGAATGTTTTACGAGACCTTCCATTTTTGGACGACCCTTGTAACTGGGCTCCGGAAGTTTAGTTGTATCTTTGAATTTGAGTCTTGCGACAGAGTATGTCCGCGTCCGGCTGAGCACAAGCACACCAGTCGCAAAGCAGAATAAACTCCCCCTTCTCTGTTGACCTCGACCATTTTACCGTAACCTAGAAGGATGTTGTTGGCATTGCTCGCCGGACTGCGTATATCCACGCGACGAGCGCCACATTCGGCCTCGACGGCGGTGTCACTGTTAAGACGCCACGGAACAGGGCGTGCTATATCATACACTGCTGTTAAAGGATACCCCACCAATGTCCTCACTCTCGACCAAGCCCAGGAGGATGGCGACGTCGTAGACAGCGGCCGTGTCAAACCGGAGCACGCTGTCATCTCCACCTTCGATCTCTTCAGCATCGGCGGTATGCGCTCTTAGACACTCACTCTCGATCTACGTCATTGAAAACTAATGTCCTTAGTCGGACCGAGTAGCTCGCATACCGTCGGGCCCATGCGCGCTGGCAAGATATTCATCACCGACTTGCAAGAACTAGGGTTACTGGATCGGGTAAGTGACTTGCCGCTAATTAGACTCGTCATCCCGCCGTTGACAAGGCGCACTATGTATTAGGTTCAAACGATTAAAATAGTTCTGTAAGTTGAAACAACCGATCCGTACTAACTTTTAGCTGATCCAGGCATTGTGGGTAGCTATGGCTCTCTCGCGGCAACCGGTAAGTAAAACTCAAGCCCATCTGTGGAGCTTAGGGCTGTCTAATATCGGGCAATCGTCGTCAGGGAAAGGGTACACCATATCTTATAGCAGTATAAGGACCATTAAGCTAAGAGCCTTTGCAGGCACCATACACCTCAGGCGATCCTTCTCGGCTTAGAAGGCTCCGATCCAGAAACGATTGACTGTGGGACCATACCTTCACGTTATGAGGCCATTCTGACCAACAAATCGTTGCATCTCGGCGGAAACCGTCGTATTCATTTTGATATGGACAGAGATATGCTATGGAGATGGGACCAGGTCCTCAAGACGCATCCTAATGGCATGCGCTTCTCGTGTTTTGACGCAGATGGTGGTCTCCTGGCAACCAACGAATATTTTAGGTAGGTTTAATGTTAATTCTTGGCTTTCCATGCCTCCGACGCTTGTCGTATAGTGTTGGTGGGGGCTTCGTGGTGAACGAGAAAACGAAAGGTCGGTGTTGGCTACATTCCATTGGGAACTAGATGCAGACCTCGTTCCAGTGGACGAGAATTTATTCTACAAAGGGGTAGACAAGCGCGTGGTTCACGGTGCACGTCTGCATCAGACGCACCAAGCCGAAGAGGGCGATCCCATCCATCCCTCCAAGGATGACGATCCAGGTCATCCTCCCTACCCATTCGATTCCGGGAATAGTTTACTTGCGCTTACCAGGAAACACAACGTACGTGCAAAGGATCGATTGTCCAGCGCAAAACGTCTATTGGCAGGTGCTGACTTTTGCAGTTAACGATCGCTCAAATCGTGCATGACAATGAGCGTTACTTTGGGCTCTCCGAGCAAGACATCGGCGACAAGGTACGCCTTAGCACTCCAAGGGTTCGGTTTACTAGCCTGACTTCTGCGCGGTAGCTTACGCGCATTTGGGCCGTCATGGACGACTGCATCCGCACTGGAGTGTCCACGACAGAGAGAACTCTTCCAGGTCGCCTTAAGCTTCGACGCCGTGCTCCAATGTTATACAGGCGTCTCATGAGAGGGTGCGTTCCCCAGCCTCCCGTTTTCCGAAGGTGATGTCGTCCTCATGGATGATAAGCTTCTATCCTGGTATTGGAATCCCAGCGACCCACCTCATCGGCGCAAATATGTCCGCAGGCGCAGTAGACGCACCTGACGACATGAAAGTAGATCAGGTCATCGAGGACCGTAGTGTTTCCCTGCCACGCAGCGGAAGCAGTCGCGCCCCCGTGGTAACGGGTTCATTTGACCACGCTGTCCTGCCTGTGCCTCCTGTAAGTCTCTACGGCTCGAACCATTTTTTCCTGCTTTCCGTGAAGGTTGTCGTTACCGATGTGGTTAACAGCGCAGGACGAACATTCCAGCCGTCGATTTCCTCTCCTGCTACGCGATTGCAGTCAACGAAGTGAACGCCGCAGGTGGTCGCATCGTGACGTCCCCCACGAACGGAGCTGCTGGTGTCATTCCAGCCGTGCTGAAATATGTCGTCGAGTTCGTGAGCGACGATCCAGAGAAATCGATAAAGACGTTCCTGTTGACTGCTGCTGTGAGTTACCTTCTTCCACGCAGCAGGTACATTTGATCATGTCCGTCGGCGGGCTGACTGCGCGGCGTCCCACGTAGGCCATCGGCATGCTCTTCAAACGTGGGAGTACAATATCCGCTGCAGAGGGTGGCTGTCAAGCAGAAGTTGGAGGTGCGTGGGTAGTTGCATGCTTTCATTTTCCTGCCTTATCTTCTGGCTCCACGTTGTTTCGCAGTTGCCTGTTCTATGGCTAGTGCCGGCTTCGCGGCATGTATGGGCGCATCCCCAGAGACCGTTCTGCAGGTCAGTGGCGTGATATCAACTGATATCGGTCACGATGCGCTAACATATGTACCTTGCAGGCGGCGGAAATAGGGATAGGTGTGTATCTTGGCGAGGGTAGATCTGGCTGTCCTCCGTTTCACCATGCCCGTTGTTTGTCTTCTGATGTACATAACATGTCAGAACATAACCTTGGCCTTACTTGCGACCCCATCGACGGTTTGGTTCAAGTGCCGTGCATTGTACGTGACGTTGCTTGGTGCGCAGAGATATGCTAACGCAAACATGGCACATTCTTTGACGTTACCTTAAAACCCTGCAGGAACGGAATAGTCTAGGAGGTAAGTGAGCTTATGTGAACTTCCGTAGCCCCACTTATTGGTTCCGTCGCTCGCACGCATTTGTACTTTAACCTGGACACAACGCAATGATTCGACACTCGGGCGAGCGGCTGTAGCTGTCAAAGCAATCACCGCTGCTCAACTTTCTATGGCTAGCGATGGTGTTTATCGGGTCACTCTCGATGAGGCAATCGAGGCGATGCGATTGACCGCGGCCGATATGAGTGTCAAATATAAGGAGACAAGTCTTTCTGTGAGTATTTTGGGTTTGGATGAAACGGTGACTAATTTCAAAAATATGTGACTCATTTTCCGACAGGGTCTTGCTGTAAGTCGTGGGTTCGCTTCCCTCGCCTATGTGCCGACTGATCAACACGTGCTTCAGACGACGGTCAAGATTCCCTTGACCGTTCCGGCTTGCTGACCGAACCGCCTCCTGTGCTGCGACAGTGGTACGTTCTGTAAACCGGTGTTCCGCATTCCCGCCATATTGCCTTTTTTTGCTGTTGCTTTCACTTAGTGCTGCTGCTGTTCAGATTCCTAGATCCAATTACGCATAAAAGCATAATGGGAAAATGCTTGGACTAAGCTAACGCTTTTTTTTGCTACCGCTTTCTGTAGACCACATTCGATATGCTTTCTGTTTACTGGTAGACCCCTCTTAATAATCTACGCATCCCGCAAATGTCAAAAAAAAGAAAGAGAAAAAAAGGAATGCCAGGACCGTGGATTGAACACGGGACCTCCAGAAACCAAGCACCATCTTCAGTCTGTTGCTCTCCCAGCTGAGCTATCCCGGCGTTAAAGACTGACGCGGTCACGTGCAACTACAGAGTACAGCGCAGATCTGCCCCATGGGGTAAATAGACGTGACGACTACATATGTACAAGTACGTTGAAGTGTTCCCAGTAAATTCGAGGGGGTGTTTTTGAGATATGCATTTACCTAGTAAGCATCAGAGGGTAGGCGAACATTCAGTGGGTACTGCTCGATATCCGCCCAAGTCATTGTAGACCAAGTTGCCACCCTCGTCTTTGCAGCGTGATAATGAGCAAATGCCAAAGCAGTCTGTTTAGCACATTGCTTCGGTGGGATGCGACCGATTCCGGTGCCAATTCCTGTCATAACCACCGAACGGATGGGGTGCAGCCTGGGATCCACGGCAGCCCTGGCATTATGATGATCGATCTCCACCAACAACGACCACACGCAATTGTACACGATCTCCTTATGCCATACTACCGAGCTTGGTAGACGCATGGTCGGACATAGTGCAACATAACGGCAGGAGAATGGGTTCCCTGCACAGGGTGTTCCTGAGAGCGGGAGGAGTGTGCACGTGCCCGGAGGTGCATATCCACGCCAGCGATCGTAAATGACCCTCTGTGCAACGCGTGTCAATGCGTCAGGGACTGTTGGAGGAGACAATCGATCCGATAAGACCTGATCAAAGCTGATATGATGCCAGTACTGTGAGGGAGGCAACAAGAAGTATCGGGAGGTCCAACTTACCCGCCATCGAACCTCCCGAAGGAGTTGGCAGGCGATACGATGCAAGTCAAAGGGGGGATGGAGATCAGAGATGCCACCGTGCACAATAACGACTCGTGCTCGACACTCGGCTGGCACAAGCACTGTAAATGCCTCTCGCCACTGGTCTATGAGTCCAGCAGATATGTCAAACAGGGTAAAATTGACAGGCATGTGAGAGTCTGCGGTAAAGATCTTGAGGTCATGTTGATTGATCAATGTGTGTTTTTATGGCAAGGATTCCTGGTAGGCGGGCACGCCAACTTGCACGTAGAAGTCCTCATATGTTGTCAACGCGAAAAGTGGATGCTCCAGACCCGAATGGAGTAATACATGGTGTTCGGGGATAATTGGGTCACGTGCGGCGTCGGCCCGCGACAATATCCCACCTTCGCCGGTCATCCCGAGCACCCATGGATAGACTTGCTCCTTCAGCGTTTCAGGTGCCCAATTCATTCTCAAAACACCATCATCCGTATTTCACACCAGCAGAGGTACAGCACCTTTCCGACAAGCAGCGCGGAAAGCTCTCGGTTTCGCAGGAAGAAAGGGCAAGACAGCAGGCTTGCGGATTTATAGAAGCTGTCAGCTCAAAGATCGGGTTGTGAGTGTTAAAGTGGTGGGTGTCTTGCGTGTGAGCGCCGCTCACAGTGAACTATCGCTGCGTCAGTCCTCGGAGAACCATCGCGACAGCTCAGAACTTGTATCAACGCTTTCACTTATTCTTTCCAAGGAAGGACTTCAGTTACCTATGTCAGTAGGGTGTAATTCCCGTTTGAAGTCAGTTACTCATGGGAAATTAGGACGTCTCCCTCGCTGCGCTGTATGTCTCCACGAAGATGCACGATACGCTCAAGAAGCCTAGAGAGATACTGATGGTGGCCTACGCCGTTCGATTCCCCGAGTTGGCCGCAAAATCGAAAACCATCGGTGGTGAAGTCGATATGGATCCGATGGTAAGCGGATTGGCATGCTGGAAGAAGCACACCAGGTTTTGACCTCATCTTGCAGACGGTGGAACATGACCGCCAGCGGGTGCTTGCTGTCGAGAGACTGATTTTGGAGACCATCTGCTTCAACTTTACATCCAAAATGCCTTTCCCCTACGTTATCAAACTCGGTAGGAAATTAGGAGGTAAGTATGAATTTACTGCCTTTCTGAAAGCCCCTCTAAACAAAATAAATATTTTTAGCGTCTAAGAAGCTCATCAAATTTGCATGGCGTCTAACTGTCGACAGGTGAGTGCCTTAAGAGGGAGAAGCTTCTCGTGCGTATTGAATTACCACATAGTCATCGGACTCCCGTTCCGCTTATGTACCCTCCAAACACCGTTGCATTGGGATGTATCTACACAGCCGCTCTTCTATCGACGATAGAGCCTACACCATCTTCGAATACGAATGACGAATCCGATCGGAAAGTCGCGAATTTATTGAGACAAAAAGGGGACTGGGAGGCCACGTACATGGCGGAGGCCGAGGATTTGGAAGGTTAGCTCACATAGCCCAATTGAGTTATCACCGTCTACAGCTTTTCGTCTCACCACATCGACGTAGAGATTGCCCACATACTCATCGACTTGCTCATGCAAGCCGCCCAAAACCCGTCCGCGAATACTTCGCCGAGGACACCTTCGTCGCCTTCCCCACACCCATCTCCGCGAAATCAGCACTTTTCTTCGGGCGGCTCTCCGCACATTCCGCAAATACCATACAAGTCCGACCAGCTGCTTCAATTGAAGATTGCAATGAGGGAAAACGAACACCCGCCTCGGCCGGATAGGCCGCTGAGTAACCCCGATCTGAGCGCAATGTATAGTGGGAATGACGTCGTTTTACTTGGGAAGAATGAAGGAACTGTGAGGTTTCTGTTCGGACCTCCGGGCGTGGTGGGTCATGGGGTGTAGACTACCAGGGAACTTACCGTGGCAATCATGATGGAACCGTTCTTTTACGAGTTGAAATATTTTGGAATATGGTGCAGCAGATTTAATAATTCACTGACAATTGTATTGCACACGTAAAGATGGTTACCCTTTTTTGCATATCTAGAAGTTGCTGGGAGGTGTACGAAAACCGGACCATCGCATCCGTCGAGTATAGCTTGGAATAAGAATTTCATTCGGACCGTGAGTAAAGGGGCCATTTTGGCCAACTAGTACAGTATCTGGTACAGCGAGTATGGTTCCTCACTACCACGACCATGTCAGAGATATCTCCCCCCGATCCTGTTGATGGAGAGCAGACCATGTTGATCCTCGTCGGTCTTGTTGCATCGGGGAAAGTGGGTTATCCGATTTCAACAGCTATCAACTTCTTTGACAGGTATCTTCATAGTCAACCTTCGCTGAAGCCCTTGAAAGGCATTTCCCAAGGTTTCGCCGTTGCAATCAAGATGATTTAGGCAATAGGCAGCTTGTGGAGGAGCTTGCTCATCAGACTCTTCAAGAAGGCTTGTCTCCGTGCATCGACCGCACCAACTTCAATGCTATGTGAGTCGGCCGACCAAAGATCTGCCACGGGGGGTGTATGATAAGCAAGCAGTACTAGTGTTTCTAACTCGGATTACGTTATAGACAGCGCTCCTACTGGACGAATATCGCGCGTTCGTTTCCTCGAACCACTATAAGCATTATTGTCTTTGATACCCCCTATCATGTAAGAAGTTCATATCTTTGCCACAACATCATTACATTTGGTAATTGCAATACAGGTCTGCGCTTCTCGCCTTCAACACCGTACGTACTAGACCACTCATTCCATCCCTGACCATCTGATTCTTGTTGGGGTGATCTAGGAACGTCACATCCCACAATCAACGATGCCCAACAGGGCTTGGTCATCTTGGCCAGATTCGCATCACAATTTCGGCCTCCGTCTCCTGACGAAGACTACGACCATATCCTTTATCTGAAACCCTCTGATCTCCCGAGTCCAGAGTATACTCGCGATGTCATTTTATCAATACTATCCCGTCTTAGAGCGTCAGCCGGGCAGACAGGAAGAGCTGTTCAGCCACACATATCTTATTTTGCGACTAGGGGACCACATAGTATCTCTCGCGGGGGCCCAACACGTGGCTATCGGGCGTTACATGGTGACCGAGGCTCCTGGAGACGATCAAGCCAATCGCGTCCATTTTACAGGCACACCTCGTTTCCCCCTAGCGGTACTAGTCGTGACGAATGGCGTGTTTCAGCTACTGGATCCCAGGAATCGGGTCCTCAGGGTCTACGGCCAGTTCAGGATCGCACTTCTCAGCGCGGCAACAGCTCCACCACCAGGGGTTGATCGCGTCCGAAACCAGAGGAGTTCAGAGTGGGCTAGCCTTGGTGACGGTATTCCGGGTGTGAACTCATGATCATTCTATGTGATGACTGTTTGGTTTTGTGAACTGCTACGCCCTCCTTACGATCTGTGCCTAATGAATGTTTGGCTTTTTCCCGTTGCTGAGTCACACAGGCGTGGGGCTGGTTGCGGTGTGGATGAGAAGTACAATGACTAAGACTATTAGCGAATTCCATGGTCCGAAAGCTGACGGTAACAACGTTGCTCTTCCCTTTCGGTGAAGACATACAGTTGCGCAATAAGCGTGGGGTTGGGTCTGCCACTCCACGTGTACCGCGGGGAACAAGTGACTCAGGGGTTCGGGGTCATGAATCCGGTTTCTTCGGTAGGTCTGGCTCTCCTTGCCGGTCTGATTCCTGAACCGCTTTCAGCTTCTTGCCTAGAATCTTTGCGCTAACCTGAAAAATGTCAAATATACATCAGGCTCATAACGTTCTGATGGATGAAATCAAAGTAGCTGACGTTTCGAATGTGCATTGCCGCACGCTCAACGCCGTTCTCTTGCGCGCGTTTGTAATAAGTCAACGCCTCTTCGAGCTGTCCAGCTGCCCCCATCAAGATGAGATAATTTTAGAGACAATAAGCTTGATGACTCACTCGCTTCCAAAACCGCAGCGAGATTGAAGGCAATCTCAGGGTCCTCTGGTGCAAGTGACGCCGCAATGCTGGAAAACAATAATAAGCATCACATATGGTAGGACGCATGGTTGTACGTGCTGTAAGTGATGTAGTGCGAGGTCTGGCCGCGAAACAGGGGATATTATGTACGCGCTCGCAAGGTCTGAATGTATTCGTGTCATATCTGCACCACGAGTGACAAGAAATGAGTGCTCACTGGTGTGTACATCAGAGCTATCGGGTTGCAGTTCTATGGATTCTTTCCATGCCGCAATAGCCTCGTCGAACTCTTCTACAAAAATATGAAATTGGCAATGCTTGAATCTTCCTTCATAAATTGGAAAAAGTGATTACTCAGGTGATAATGCGTAACGCCAAGATTGAAGAGGGAGCTCGCGCTTCGCTTGATCTCTACGCTACGTCTGTACAGCTCTTTGGCACCCTGGAGGTCATTCTCCTCGAGTTTCTGGGTGCCCTGCTCCAGACACCGCATCGCTTCGATGTCTGCGGGATCAGAAGCTGTGGAGTGTGGCGTCGTTGATGTTGCCCATCCTGAAAAGTGATTATAGATTCGGAAATCGAAGAAGGGTTCTGGAAGTGAGACATACTTTTGGCCAGATGACGGTGGCAGGAAATTCGTCCGAGCCGGATGTCCACGGGCAATGAACGCGGTACAGACCTAGTATGTAAAAGACCCAAACGGCCAGCTCGGTTCATTACCAGGCGGTGTGCATCTGTCCGAAAATGTAGCAGTGAGGCGCGCGAGGCCCTGAGGGACGTTGGCAGCATTTTTTCTAATTGTTATGGTCCAAAGCGGAAGGAGTGTCATCTTTGGCCGGCAAGGGGCTTCCCCCAAAAAGGAAATAATTTACCACATGCCTTCGCCTTGGCCAACGGAAAAACTTTGCAACAGCCTCCCCAAACCAGCGACCACGTCTGCCTCGCCATGGCTGCACCGGACTCACAAGACTCACAGCGGACAATACAGGACGACCTACGTTCGGTCAAGTTTACTCACGAGAACCCCACTGTCCCCGTGGAGGGTGGTGCGGTCACCGCAAATGACCTCCTGCTGGCTGCCTATGACCCGGCGAAATTACATCCCCTCGCTCAGCTTGGGGACCAGTTAGACTATCTTGTACTAGATGATGCAAAAAAGAACGAGTTGCCAGGGGCCGGAACAGCCATACCTTCTCGAGGTTTCAGTGATGATCTATGCTACGGAACGGGTACTATGTACCTCAGCGGTAGGTGTCCCCTCCCTCGGCTCCTTGACATGAGTCCTGCACGAGGATTGTACGTTTTGATCGCGTACCCTCTTTGTGCACGACTGGGCTTCTCACCTTATCATCCCAATGTTGTCATCTCCAACTTGGGCCATTCTTATTGTCTTTCGTCCTGTCACATGCTCACACATGTTTCCACTAGGCCTGGCCCTAGGTGGCCTTTGGGGTGTGAGCGAGGGTGCCCGACGACCATTAGCCGTATCAAACATGCGATTGCGGATCAACAGCATACTCAACTCTGTCACGAGAAGGGGTACTTTCATAGGTAACTCGGCTGGCGTGTTAGGTGCGTTTAGAAGGTCGCATTGCATCCATGCGGCGATTAATGTCGATCTATAGCGCTGGTTTACAACGGAATCAACTCTTCTATCGACTCTTTCCGCGGAAAACATGATACTGCGGGTAGCATGGCAGCTGGAGCTTTGACAGGCGCTCTGTACAAGTCGACCGGTACGCCACCTTGTCACCCTCCCTGTCCGACCTTACGTTTGGATTGACGAAAACGTTTACCCTTACTTTACTTGTTAAATAGCCGGAGTCAAACCCGCACTGGCTGCAGCGACTCTGATTTCGGGACTTGCGGGCGTATATGGAGTTATGTGAAGAAGAGCGTATGATTGACCGAGTAATACATACCACTACATATAATATATTCTTTTTTTCTCTCTCTTCTCCGGCATGTTCAACGTTATCCTTAAGCGCCCCAATAGGAAGACAAGGACGGAAGATATCACACCGGACGAATCGATATTTTTTTTTTCAAGGTGTCGTTTTCTCGTATTTGCTTGGATGAACTTCGCCATATCGGTCCTTCTCAGATCTGCAAAAATGATGTTTCGTTGCACTGAGATTCTGACACCCCTTGTATGTCTTCCTTAGCCCCCCGGGTTCCGCTCCTGGAAATAAGTGGGTACGATCATGATCTGTACACACGAATGCGTAATTGCTAGGTTCTCTCCCCCGGTCTTATATCATAGATATTAGGGACCCCTGGTGGCCGAATCCTACTTACCTTCGCCTGTTCCCCCCCTCCACAGGTCAGCCCGCGTCACTCGGCTCGCCACATATGCTGGCCCTTGCTGACACTGCCTACTGGTCTGCAAAAGCCACATGGGACGAGACAACCTCCAAGAATGGTTTGGACAGTTCTCATGAATATCCAATGCACGCTGCTTATGACCACCACCATCGTTCCTCATTTTTCAGCGACGAGGGTGGACAATCGGTAGGCCAACGCTCACTCCACCTCCCCACCATCGACCCGCACAGCAGGTGGGGCTAATGTCCGCGATTATTTCTTTTGTGACAGTACACTCATCAAATACACCCGATCACGCCTATCACTCCCGTCGAATATGCCCCATCGTAAGAAGTTCCGCGCTGAATTTTTGTTAGCAAGCGCTGATGGCCCGCTGGTGTTGTTTCAAGCAGTAATTATAAAAAACTGTTTCTCGATGGACCTAATGAGCGCGCGTGCAGCTCGCCTAGGTCAGTCACTAGCAGTGACCACTCGCAGTCGCCCCCGTCCGCGTGGAACTTTGCACCTCAGTCTGAGTCGCCTGCCCACGCTCAGAACAGTAGCTGGAACCAAGCTTCTCCTAACAACCGACCCAACTCGCCGCCCTCCCAGTTCCCAACGCGTGTTCATCACTCGTCGTTCATCCACGACAGTCAAACAAGGCATCTATCTGCATCCATCACTGCGTCCTCCGCTGCATGCTGACGCTCTCCTGATCTAGGACATATGAGCTTGATGTGGTACAGCATCCCCAAAGGACGGCCGAATTTGGATCCGCTACCCTGTCTCGCCTCCCACTAGCGCCGCCAATTGTGGTGCAGCTCATCGTGCGAGACCGCTTCGGGAATTCCATCATCCCGTAAGTATTCGTACCCGTAAGACTGGAACGTGGATACATAATTTTTTTAAAACAGGGAGGTGGAACTTCCGTTCCTCATTGCGCATCTGTCTTTATTCTCTGACGATGGGACACGATCGTTGGACATGGGGAGATCTCCCACCGGTAACTCACCTCCCCGACGGCTACTTTATGGGAATTTGGTATCTTCTCCGCAGAAACTTCGCGACCTCTCTGGTCGCCTAGGTCTTTATTTTCTATTCCCTGATGTGAGTATTCGCTGGCGAGGTCGCTTTCAACTAGGTGTCTCGCTGTTGCGATTGTCAGAGTGAGTATCGCGGGGAGCGAAGCGGGAGGGGAAGCTAATCTGGCAACTTGTTACAGAATAGACGCTTCTGGCGCCATGAGCCTTGCCTCCGAAGGGACCGTTCTTGCGACAGCCCGGACACGACCGTTTGATGTTCTCACCCACGAAAATTACGTTGCTCCTCGTAAGGGTCTTCGCGCTAGTCTTTATTTTTCAGTTTGGGCTGACGGGCGGATGCCAAAAAAATCCCTGTCGGTGCCTCGCAACAGCCACTACACGTCTGACGCAAAGTTTCCTCCGCCAGGGAGCGAGAATTCATGCTTTCCCACCCAACACGCCTTAGACCGTAGATAATCGCTGCACTCGGACGTCTTTCCGGCGCATTTTTGTCACATGTTGTACTGTTGTATATTCGACCTTCTCTCTCGTGCTCTGCATTCTTACCTATTCCTATTCGACGTCCGAACCCCCCACCTTCGCTTTTTGGCGGTATGCATTATCTGTCTGGCTGTAATGACAAACGTTTTCACGACGTACCTGGTGCTGGCACGCTGGGCGGATCTAGGTGGACAACGCATCTAGAGGGGATGATAGTACTAAGCTGACCTCGTACCTGGGGCCCACCTAGGGTTGCGACTGCGTGCGCAGACCCGGGCAAGTGGCTATGGGTAAGTAGTTTTAGCAACTATGTCTCACTGTCGTATCAGATTGCCACCGTCGGCAAAACAAATCATGGCCTATCCCTATCTCTCACAAACACGAGCAGTGCAGTTGCAGGAGGTGGCGGTATTTATCTTGGTATTCAACAGCAAGTGCTGAGACCACCACAGCAACGATAACAATTATGGGTGCGCAGTCGCATATGAAAACGACGAGCAGTGGGGAAATGCTAATCTGATACCAATACTGTGCGGCGCAGTCAGTCTGCGGGCGGGGCTGTGAATGTCCGTCAGCCCCACAAATCACACCGTGGGAATGTCTTGCCTATACCTCGGATAAGGGCGTGAACTCAAAAAACCAAACTTCACTCTCCTCTCCACCTCCATCATCATGTCAGGCAAAGATTACTACGGTGGTGGACAATCGCAATACTACCCTCCTCAAGGTACGTCGCAATAAGGGCATGTGGGCGGGATGGGGTGTAGTGACGGCACTGCAGGACCTCCGCCCGGTCAGGGGGGATACTATCCCCAGCAGCCTCAGCAATCGTACCAAGGTCCAGGTGGTTATCCTCAACAGCCTCCCTATGGTGGTCAACCCGGCTACCAACCCCAGCCTCCTCCGCAGACTGTCTATGTGTGAGTGGCGAGTTCCTAAAAACACGAGGCGGCGGGTCGTGACAACACGTTGCATGCTTTTTTTGTCATTGGTTATTCTAGACAACAACCCGGTCAGAGGTCTGATTCTGGAACTGGGTGTTTGGCCTGCTTAGCTGGTGCATGTCTCTGCTGCTGTGCGGAAGGTGCGTAGTTTTATCTTTGTACCTGCAGAGTGAGCGGGTGGCTGAAATCGCCCAACTTGCAGAGATGTTATGCGACTGCCTATTTTAGTTCTCAAGTTGCGTGGGCCGAGAACGGGAGCTGGTTTTCGTTATGGATTCTTTTTCATACCATCATGCGCTTGGCTCGATGTGGCTTGGAACGTTTTAATGCGTTACCGTCGTTTCACTGTTTGTATCATCGGCTAGAAAGCTTCAAATGACCGGACGATTCACGACTATTTCTTGAAATTGTGATGAAAAGTATGGCCTATTAGCATGATGTCCGACTTGTAATCTACGCCAGAGCATCCTTGTATAGCCTACAAAGTGACGAATGTCAGTTCTACCATTGGTCGTCGGGCGGGATGAGTTCCCGGTTCGTTCCGTGTCACGCGTGACATTGTCACACTGTACTCTTCGCCGCTTGCTCTGCAAAAATCTCGAAACTGGGCTCTTTATTCCATCAAAATGTTCAAGCTGCCCTCGGGCGCACTCAGGAGCCAGCTTGTTCGCAGCGCACCCCGCTCGACGGCTAGCGCAACGCGCTCAGCGTCTGTGAGTCTGAAATTGATGCTCTGGAAGTACTTGGCCCTGACATGAACAGGTCCGGTTTGCTTCGACCAACTCTACATCCTCTGGCACCTTAGAGGTACGTCGGGCCAACATTCGGACAACCCGTTGATTATAAACCGAGTTTTTCTACAACTCTTTACAGTCGCTGTTGACGTCTCGCGTGTCTCTCGTTTCTGTCACGCTTTTTTCCGTCGGGTCAATAGCATGGTATACCCATCTATACGGCTCCCTTCCCTTCATTGGAGAAGCTCACGCGAGCTCGTTGGCCGACGAGGGTCTTCACCCCCCTGCATACCCTTGGCCGCACAAAGGCTGGTTTGATACGTTTGACCATGCAAGGTAAGCCCCACGTTAATCACCGACTGTTCCAACATCACCGCCGTGCTCAATCTGCTTGCCATTTCAGTATTCGTCGTGGTTTCCAGGTATACCGCGAGGTCTGTGCTGCTTGCCATTCGCTTGACCGCATCGCTTGGCGCAATTTGGTTGGTGTGTCGCATACCGTTGACGAGGCACGCGCCTTGGCAGAGGACATCGAGTACACCGACGGCCCGGATGACAATGGGGAGATGTTCCAGCGTCCGGGAAAACTTTCCGACTATCTCCCAGCACCATACCCTAATGAAGAGGCTGCACGAGCTAGTAACAGTGGTGCACTCCCTCCCGACCTCAGTTTGATCGTCAAGGCCAGACATGGCGGTGCGGTGAGTCGAACGCTTCATTGCGTATAGGTATTTGGTGAACTGTCGTCCTGTAGGATTACATCTTCTCCCTTCTGACTGGCTACATCGATCCTCCCGCGGGTGTCGACATTCGTGAAGGCATGAACTACAACCCTTACTTCCCTGGTGGCGCTATCTCCATGGCTCGTGTTCTGTTCGATGGTCTCGTCGAGTATGATGATGGTAGGAATCCTGTTGCTGTGTGTGAATTTGGTGATTGGTTGATATCGACGAATGTCTAGGCACCCCTGCTACCACCTCCCAGATGGCCAAAGACGTCGTCACGTTCCTGAACTGGGCTGCAGAGCCAGAGCACGACGAGCGGAAAAAGATGGGTTTGAAAGCCGTGATAGTGTTCTCGACCTTATTCGCCATCAGCATCTATGTGAAGAGGTTCAAGTGGAGTGTGATCAAGAACCGCAGGATTTGTAAGTCCACCCATGCTGCCGTATGTGTTCGGTTATGTGTATTTACTGACCAACGACAGTCTACAAACCACCGACTGACCAGGCGCATTAGAGAATTGTATAGCGTTGTAGCAGAGCGAGTGTCCCGTAGATTCTTACAATCCTACACCAGCGAACCCACACTTTTTATTGTTTCTTTACTATTTGCTCCGAGACCGGATGAGACCACCGTGGGAACGTGCCTTCGTTAGCCGGTGTAGTGCTGTTGCGTGACACACTCGGATGAAACCTGCCTCTTCCTGTACACTACTATCATCATCAAGAAGGTCGTTGATCCATCGTTGTATCTGCACGTTCACAACTCAGAACTATTCAAGCTTTTACGATGTCTTCGGAGACATGGCCTCCACAGCTAAAGTAACACTTTTTGGTGGAACCGCTGTTGCAAAACAGGCTCTTACATTTTTGACTGCAGAGAATGGGTCGCAACGTGTCTAGGACAGATGACTGATGCCAACAGAGCAGAAGCACAAACTGAGCTGAGACAGGTAATTGCTGATGCTTTCACTGCAAAGACGCTCTGGACGACAGACTGGGCTGGCGTGCAATTACAAAGGTGTCGTCTTACTTCCCCTCTTGATCGTCCTCTGGCACCTTTCAGTGACGTTGTCCACGTTGCAGTCTTTTACCTGAAGCCAACGCCAGTGGTAAATGGTTTGAAGCGAAAGATGTACGTCTCAGTGTACCCTCCCGTTGGCTGCTGTATTTGACCGTGCATATTTTTGCCAGGGCTGAGCCTGCTGCGACAAGTAAGAAAGCGAAGAAATCGTCGGCACAAAAGAGTACGTCAGCTACCACATGGGATCTAGGGGATCAGGCCACGTTGAACCGACGAGCGGAGCGATTTCAACGAGAACATGAGATTGAGCGACAGAAAAATTTGCGCATTCAGCAACAACAACCGCAATCACAACAAGGTGCTGCTCTTAAAGCCAATCCTCAGGGTGCCCATCTTTTCAATCGAATATGGCGAGCTGATTCACCGTCTACGCATGGCTCAAACCCGGACAATCCGGAGGCGGATCCTGTAAGCGACTTCCTTTTCCCTAACCTCGTGACTACCACGCTAAATGCGCCCGGCAGAACGTACCTAATTGGGACCGGCATACGATCGTGGGCACGAACCAGGGAATGTTCAAGGATTACCTACGATTGACATCGGTGCGGCCCTCAAGATGTCACTTTGATCCCCCAATAAGTCACCTGTGTGTTGCAGGAACCGAAGCCAGAATTGATTAGACCGTACCCTGTGCTCCAACAGACTTTCAATGAGCTAAAAAGCCGCTGGCAAAGCAAGTGTCCGTACAACTGGATATGTAACCAGTTGAAGAGTTTGCGTCAGGATTTGACGGTGCGTCGAAGCAGGTGGTGGGATACCTCATTTACACTCTTTCGTCATCAACCAGGTACAACGAATAAAAAACGAGTTTACCGTGTTGGTGTATGAAATGCATGCGCGGATAGCACTTGAGACCGTACGATGTTGCCGCTGATGTTCTCACAGCTGCACTCATAGACCGCGATATTACTAGGCTGATATGGTAGAGTATAACCAGTGTCAAGCGGCCCTAAAGAACCTCTATGAACTTGGTATACCTGGAAATGTCGAGGAATTTACGGCTTATCGTATCCTCATGCTTTTGCACGGCCGCAATAAGAGCGGTGCGTTGTGTTCGTTCATCGTATCGTCACCATGTTTTGAATTGACGCCCACGTTCTTTTCCAGAATTAAACTTGTACGTAGGTCAACTAACACCCAAACAGAAAGCGGCCGAGGTAGTGCAGCATGCATTGCGTGTACAGCGGGCGCTGTCGATTGGCAATTATCATGCCCTGTTTCAACTGTACTTGGATGCACCGAATATGGGGGGATATATCATGGACCACTTCATGGACAGGGAGAGAGCTAAAGCATTAATGATAATGTCTAAAGCGTAAGTCCATTGTGGTGTCGTGCAGCAACCTATCTGATATGTGTACTAGATATCGGACACTTTCCCTCCGATTCCTCTACAACGAGATGGCATTTGATTCGTTAGGACACGCTCGCGAGTTCCTGGCCGCTCATGGGGTGTCAGCGTTCACAAACCCCAATAGCCCTGACACAGAGAAGATCCTAGATTGCAAAACTGCATTTCCGCTGATTTCACAAGCTTACGAGGAAAAATATCGTAAGGTTCAAATCAAGGGTGCCGTATAATCGGAACACAATACAGAATAATTCGTTCCCCACACCATGGTGTCTTCTCCGCGCATCTCGCGAGTCCTTTACTTGTCGACCTCATCTCGTAGTCAGTCCACGTGTCTTTTATCTTGTCATTCCCCCTCTCTGCCCTCTTCTCCCTCCCTTGCTTATATTCCTCCACACCCATGTTTCATTGACGCACGCCGACATATTCGGGACTTCAATACCACGCAAGGATAACATGCTAACTTTATTGATACGGGGTGGATATGACTCCCCAAGGCAATACCCCCAGCGCCATCCTGGTTTACGCACAGGTGAATATATCTTTCCATGGTCGTGGACCCTAACGGTAATGCGACTTATGTGCATGGACTGTTTGTGGGTGGGTGAAGTCATCTTGTGGAGGATGGTGGCGGTGAGATTTGGGTAGCTGGTTCGTGTAATGCCTGTGTATTATTTATGATATTGCTGTTGAAAAATTCTTTGATACATGAGGGTTGATCACAGGTGCACAACCTAAGCTAGTCTCGCATACGAGCTGGAATGAACCGTCTGACTATGACCTCCCGTACAGAGTAGTGGTTAAAGCAAGCAGGCGATGACAAGACAGTGTCAGGTACCCGGGAACGAGCAGGGATGGTCACGTATGACAAGATGAGCGTCTATGAACTCGGTCGGTATGCTGGCACTGGGAAATATGTAAAATCGCCGACCTTTTGGACCTGAGCGTTCACACGATTGAGCGTGCTTAGCCACGACCAAGAGAATGGGGACGTGTTTTGGAGTTGGAACGGAGAGGACTCCTGATCAGCCGGATCTTCATATACAGGGCACACGACGATGGCAAATCTGGGAACGGTGGAGTCAGAGACCAGACGCCCGATCGGATAAAACGACTTACTCCGCATGGGAAAAGACGGGCCCACGTTTATACAAGAGGTAGTCTACACAGAACTTGATACCGTTTTTCACGACCCAGCCTAGGGACTTGTAGTGATGATATGCGACGTAGTTGACGAGAAAGGGATTGTCAAAGCGGCGGGCTGGAGGATCGAGATTCGAGGATAGACTTGGCGATGGAACGTGTGCATTCTGGAATGCACACCATATCTGATTGAGGGAGAGTGCATCACCCTATATCGGGTTGGACGACGATATGAGACTGTGGGGGCGAGGAGTTAGCGTAAGTGGTAGGCTCACCGTTTCCGGATGCGTGACAGACAGGCAGTCCAGGTTCCACAGGAGAAAGAATGCCTCGGAGAGTGTAAGCTGGAGATGCTCCACATTCTCGATGGGCACATCGTTGTCGTCCTCGTCCTCGCTTTCAGCGGGGGAGGATGCTCGTGGTGATTCTGGTAGCGTTTGACTTGGTTTCCAGGTCGCCGCAGAGGGTATAATGCGCGTTCCATCCGCTGAATATACCGTCGATATTACACGGCCCTCCTCTCTAAATGCAGCTTCGGCTTCTGCTGCAGCTGCTGCCATCGCTTTTGCGCGATCAAGCTTAAACTGTTTGCGTTCAGCCCTGCGTTTTGCGGTCACCTCCTCGGATGTGAGGTCTAGAAATTCAGTATTGATATAAGTGAAAAGGAGACTCGAAGTACAACTTACCGGTCCTCGCTTGTTTTCTGGCATTTATCTGACGTGCTAGCCAGCTGGGTTCACTCCGGGACAAGTCTCCCTTGCCAAAGAACCCTCTCTGCCACAGCGTCATGGCTTGTTTCATATCTGTCACCCATACCGAGCGCGTCGTAGCATCAAAGACACCTTCACAATGAGGGTTCAGAACCCGGGTCAGAGAAACACCCAGTAGTAAACCGAGAGCCTTGTGCCAGACAGCAGATGACTGTTCTTCGGCGAAGATGATTGGGAGGGGGTTGGCATATAGCTTGTTGTTCTCATTGCGACGCCCCGACGCTTTCTGAGAGGCTTTTGGCTGAGTGCTGGGTTGTATCAGGGACATGATTATCACCTGGTAGGTAGACGCGGTTTTGTTTTCCACGGTCGCGTCGAGGGGCACGTCACTTCACAGTACAAGTTTAGTAGTTTACAACCTTTCATGGCAGAAAGACGACGAGCAGAGATCGAAGCTAAGAAAGCCAAGCTCGAGGCACTCCGGAAGGCGAGGGCAGACAGACAACGAGCAGAGAACGAGCGACGTCAAACAGAGGTGTGTTCGCAATCCACATTGGCACTCTCAGACTGCACACAAACCCTTGGCAGGTAGCAAGCGCATCCGTCGCGGCACGGCGTGAGGTCGATGACCTGGTCAATGCGCTCGTGGGCAATCGGGGCCTCGACAGCGGAGGCGATGTCACCCCTTCGTCATCTATGCCTGGTACACCACCGCGCCAGAGCGCTCTCTTCTACGGCACATCCGCCTTGTCACCATCGGGTAGGGTTAGCAGACAGAGCGATGTTGGCTCGGATCGGATTACAATGGGTACCACGATGGTGGCAATCCGCAAATTCTGGTACAGAGCATGTCATAGAGAGGTGCGTTGCCATTCGTTGACGAGTAGGTAGGCAACTGTAAACGCGACTTAGGACTTTAACGCCTCGATTTCTCCCAGATTTGATTGATGTAGAACAGGAACTATTCGAACTGCCACAACGCGTTCGTCAAGTTCGTGTGGACGCATATACTCTGTCTGACATGATGTTCAGGAAAGGGTAATATACAACAAGGAGGTGCAGACGACTGCGGTCGAGGTCGAGACAACCGAGGTATCTATAGAAGACCTTCGGCAACAATTACAGCGGGAACGAGAGCGTGAACTGGAGGCCGAACGAGCTGCAAGGGAGGACCTAGAGGAGGAGAGCATACAACTTGACAAAGAAATAGAACAAGAAATTCGAGGCAAGATTTGCTCCTCCCCTCCGATGCATATTTGATGAACTCTTCACGTAGAATTGACTGAGGAAGAGCGGACAAGTATCCTCACAGCCCCCGAATTCCTTGATTTCGTGGAGCAGTCGTCTAAAATCGTTCAGCGAGCTCTAAACGATGGCTACGACTATATCCGGGACTACACGGTTGGCACAGAAACAAACGGGCAAGTCCTTCATTTCCCGTGATGATCTCAAAATTGATTCCGGCGTAACAGAGATGATTCGGAGGGTAAACGCGTGAAACGCATTTGCGCCTTCTATGACGAAAGATACGGGAAGAATCGTTCGATAACTGATATCGACTGGTCGCCGAAGGTATGTTTATTCTTAGGCCCCTAAATGCTTCTCCTCAGTCGTATGTAGTACCCCGAACTCAGTGTGGCCTCTTACAACAAAAATCCCGCTGCCTTAAATGAGCCCGATGGTATCGTTGCAGTTTGGAATCTCCATTTACTGGAACGGCCCGAGTTTGTTTTCCATTCTCAGGTTGGCGTGTTTTCCCCCTGGTGCATTTTGTAACATCTTGCTAATGGTCCCGATATCGAATAGTCTGATGTTCTCTCCGTAACATGTTCCCCCTTCCATTCCAATCTCGTGTTTGGTGGCACCTACTCTGGCCAGATCCTTCTTTGGGACACACGGTCAAAGCATTTGCCGGTTTTGAAGACGCCACTGTCAGCTGCAGGTCACACTCACCCCGTTTACGCGATGCGCATGGTCGGGACCCAGAATGCCCACAACTTAATTACCAGCAGCACGGACGGAACTGTCTGTAGTTGGCTAGTGGACATGCTGGCGCAGCCACAGGTCCGTGGATCTGCTTTTTTTTTGCGATCTCGTCCGAAGTACCGCGCTGATGACCCCTCGTGCAGGAAACCTTGGAGCTGATTCACGCAGGTCATAACAAAACGGGCGAAGTGGCCATCACCACGCTTGATTTCCCTGACAATGAAACAACGACGTTTTGGGTTGGTACCGAAGAAGGCAATGTGTATCAGGCAAACAGGTACGACCGAGCTGGTGCGAAAGCTGGGCTCAACCAGCACGACATCTATAAGGGGCATGCTGGGCCCGTCATGGGGCTGCATTTCCATCCCCTCGTGGGCCCTGTTGACTTCTCGGATCTATTCCTTACGGCGAGCGTGGACTGGACAGTAAAGCTCTGGCGAGCCAAGAGTCTTGCGAAGCCGTCAACAACAGCACAGGCTATTTCCCCGATATATTCCTTCGATGAGGCTGATGATTATGTCTACGATGTGAAATGGCATCCTGCTCATCCTGCGGTATTTGGTACCGCGGACGGTTCTGGCAAGTTTGAATTGTGGAATTTAAACAATGACACCGAGGCACGTTGTGATACTCTACTTGGAACGCAATAGTGCCATGAACGACCCCTTTATGATATTCTAGGTCCCTGCCGTAACTACGAGCGTTGGATCGGGTCGCGCAATCAATAAACTTGAATGGGACCGCAAGGACGGCCGACGCGTTGCACTTGGTTGCAGCGACGGAAAGCTTTACATATACGATATCGGTGACACAGCAATACCCAGAGAGTCCGAGTGGACCGACCTACAGAAGACTATTGCGGGGATGGTCGGCAATAGCGGTCAGACAAATGGAGTGGTGGATGGAGATGCGACGCGGATCATCGCTGGGCGTTGACCTCACTCACTTCACAGGAGTATTAGCGGACCGACAAGTTAGCGATACCTTTCTTCTTTCATGTGATAATACTTTCTTCGTCGGACATATCATGGGGCACCCTCAGTGAGATCCCCTGAGTGGATGTTCTTGTGGACTTTGAGTGGGATGTCGGCTATTTGACAGAAATATCGCGGGATGGATGCCCGCGCGTTCACATGAAAGGCTGTTGTGGCCTGTTATTTAGTGGTGCGCCTGGTAGACGTTCAGTGCTATCTCTACCATCAATCGTAGCCTCGTGCCAAGTATCTCATTCAAAACCTGCATAATGTCTCAGGAGTGCGAATTCGTTCAGGTCAGGAGCACCGAGTACCCCTCCGGCTAATACTAACATTCAGGGGTGTGCCAGGAACCCCACAAGTGAGGCACATTATCACTAATGTTTGGCTCCTGAGCTACTGAACCTCGCGACTACTTGTGATCAGGTTGCTGGTGTGAGTCTTCGGATGACCCGAGATACTCGACGTTAACTTACACCACAACGTGCAGCATTCCGGGGCCGATAGAAGTAACCGATGAGGTTCTTCATCTTCATTTCCGATCCCATGATAAGGTATGCCTGACAAAGTTTTGCTTATACTACAGGTCCTCTACGCGAATGCGCATCCTTCCATGTCGCACATGTCCCCCGACTTTGCGTCTGTATTCGGGGACTGTATTTGCATGACAAGGTACGGCAATAAGAACGGAATATTCGCGAATAATTAAGCAGACATGTATAATAGACAAATTTTGTACTCTGAAGATGCGCAGCCCTTCTTGATCGCTGGTTCTGGAACGCTTGGCTGGGATCAGGTATCTGCCAACCTTGTCGAACCAGGCGAGAATGCCCTCGTTTTGCACAGCGGGTATTTCGCAGACAGCTTCGTTGATTGGTTCGTCATACGCCGTTGCAACTCCACGTTACTTACTCGTTGAAATATGTAGCTTGCAGACATACGGTGCGAATGTTGATCAGGTGAAAGCACCGATTGGGGATTCTGTGAAAGAATCAGACGTAGAGACTGCTCTAAAATCGAAGAAGTACAAGGTCGTTACTGTCACACACGTCGATACTTCGACAGGTATGTATGTGTGGCGTTTTCTTGCTTACGCGGTGCAAATGGTAGTCTGCAGGTGTATTGTCGAACATCAAAGGCGTCGCAGAAGTAGCGAGAAGGGTTTCACCGGACACCCTGGTATGTGTTGCGATCGCTCGTAACTGTGAGCGACTTCATACCTTCGCAGGTCGTGGTAGATGGCGTGTGTTCTGTTGCGAGCGAAGAAATCCGTATGGACGATTGGGGAATTGACATCGTCATAACTGCTAGTCAGAAAGGTCTTGGTACCCCACCTGGCTTGAGTATCCTCGTGGCCAGTCAGAGGGCGATGAAGGTAGTCCGTAATTTGCTCTGCTTGACCATATACTCAAAAGATATATCTATCAGGTCTTTCAAAACAGAAAGACACCTATCACTTCGTACTACGCCAGCTGGAAGAAGTACATGACTTAACTTGATATCCTGGGCTTAGCGAGACTCATACTTGATTCAGGTGGCTTCCGATCATGCGCGCTTACGAGAAGAACAGCGCTGCGTACTTTGCGACTCCGCCCGTCAACCTCATTTATGCCTATCATACGTCCTTGCGACAAATTGTTCAGGGTCCCATCTCGCTCGAGGACCGGTTCAAGGCACACAAGAATGCAAGCCGACGCGTTAAGGACGCAGCGGCAGCACTTGGGCTGAGATGCGTTCCCTTAAGTGAAGATGTTTCTGCAAACGGAATGACAGCTGTGGGTCTGCAGTCGCGCAGCAACTAACGACTTGTCTAACGTCGTTGGTTTGTACCGCAGATCTACTTCCCTGACGGCCTAGCAGCAAGCGACATCATAGCTCGCCTTCTGAAAAAGGACGTCGTCGTGGCAGGTGGTTTGCACGCTAGTATTAAAGGTCCGTTCATATTACATCTCTTGTCAAGGCCTACGATACGATTAACCGTTACATCTTGGTTACATCTCTCTCAGAGAAGTACTTCCGCATTGGGTATGTCCCCTATTATCTGTGGCCCTTGACTCCTGCTCATATTAGTTGGCCGCAGACACATGGGTGCAACCGCTGTTGATATCGAGAGAGGGGACATCGACAGGGTTATCACGGCACTGAACGAAGCATTGGCTGAAGCCAAGGCAAGCAAAGCTTAAACAACACACCGTCCTCTATTTGTATTATCTGGTATCTGTTCTACACAGAAGGTTTTATACATGACCTTTGTCTCCTAAGACAATTAACCATTGTCATGCGTAGGTATCATAGTCTTGGGAAAGGAGGAAGTCTTAGATATGGTTGGGTGAATAGGAGAGACTGAAGTCCTACAGAATGCAGTCACGCAAGCAGCGCTGACACAGTCTTCCAATGCATTTTGTGGGTCGAGTCCATCGTGTTACAGGTAGACGCCACGTGTAACCCAGGCATGAGAAGGCGCAAATACATAGCAACGTTCTCGGGTGATGAAATCGGCGAATTACCCACTTGGAGAGACCGGATCTTTGTGTTCTGGACTGGGTTTCCATCGGGATGACAGGCTATTTTGGGAATTTCCGTCGCATTGAAAACGAGAGAAAATCCCTCTAGGTTCGGACAAAGCTGAATGAGGGCAGCAATGCCCCCAAGGGAGAGTCCAGTGGGTAGCACCCACCCACAGGTGTATGTCTTCAGATGAAGTTCAATTAGCAGTGGCCAACACTGGACCATCTGCATGAGGTCATCATCTGTGAGCTGCGGACTATAGCTCCGAGACGCCAATGTAATATCGAGAACCTTGAGGTGGCGGAGCGAGAGGTATGGAGTCAAGATAGATTTCGTCAATACCCAATGCCTCGGCTGACGAGGAGGAGCGAAACCTAAATTGACGTGAATCCTCTCTAAGAAAGGGCGATGCAAGGGGATGAGAGTGAGAAGTTCTTCGAGGTCCTCCGAATAATCGCTACGAGCGAAATCCGTAGCGAGTATGCTTAAAGTTCGGAGTTCACTAAACGATGCCCAACGATAAAATCTTAACGTTAGCTCTAAGGAAGCGATATGGGTGCTCAAGTAGCGTAGTCCCACGAACGCCTCGTTTGTCGGTGGGGGGGCTGGTGAACCAAGTGGTCTACGGAAATTTATAACAAGGCACCGTAATGTTTTCTTTTGAGCGAGGGAGGCAAGGAGGTCCCAAGACACGTCATGTATCCTGACCGTCTCTAGTGATTGAAAGCTAGAGATGTCGGGGGTGACGAACGCAGGGAAGCCCTCCCGCGTCTCGAGAGAATCGGTGACGGTATGCAGCGTACGGAGGTTTGGGCACGACGCTAGAATGCCCGACGCGTTCAGGGGCACGTAAAGCGTTCCACCGAGAAGTAACTCGAGCGTAGACAGTTGCGGCCGAACGAAGATACGAAGTAAGGTCAAAACGTGATTTTGGTAGTCACTTGTCTCTAACGAGAAGCCCTGGCAGCGGAATGACAAATGCTGAACATTCGGAAAAAGAGACTCTAAGGACTCGTTCCCTGGAGGGTGGAGGAGAAGGGAGAGTGACCCCGGAGTTATGGAATAGCAGCGTGGTTTCTGAGTAACAATGACATGTATATCGCGAACTCGCTGTGAAAGCCGCTTGAAAATGAGCCATTCTTCTGACTTGAGCGGGCGCGTCACCACCTAATGAGACCATAGAACATATGTAAGTACAGTAATTAACAAGTAGACAGTGCTTACTATGGGTGGTCCGTGACGCTCGTCGGATTCGGGATCGGCCCCCCGCTGTTCCGTCCACGAAGTTGCGGTCGCCGCTGGGAGCAACCGTAAAATAGGCCACAAACCCATTATGTCCTGCCAAATCAGCGCAGTGGCTGGTTCATGGAATGCCTGACACGTCCTGGCGAGGCTGCATAGTGTCCGACGCCCCGACTGAGAGAATATGACTTCCAAAATCTCGTCAATAAGGAGACAGCGATGCATGCCGTTGAACGAATACGTTTCCAAGCAGTCTGGAAGATTCAACCGCTGGGATGATGCGCGCTCCAAAGAAAGGGAGCTTTCCGGCCATCATTGGTGACTCTTTGTGCGCTTCAAGTACAAAAGGTGTGAAAATTCTGCACACCCGCAATAGCCACCGTCAGACCGCCTTTCATAACAAATTACAAAGAACACAACTGAATTACGAAGTCATTGCAATGGAACATTCATAAAAAGATCCATAAAAGATAATCTAAATCGTTTACTGTCGGTATATGCAAACGAAATTACTGAGCAGCCACTTCACGGTGTTTTCCCTCGCCACCCATTCTATCATACCAGTTCTTCCCTTCCGTAGTTGGCGCAATGTATCCAGCCCGAATAACGAAGTCTCCAAAATGCTCGCCTTGCAGTCGCTCGAGGGCGTAACGCTTAATCATAGGTCTCAGGATAGCCAGAATCTCCGGCTCGCTGACGCTTTCTCGGTATATTTTGTTTAGTCGCTGACCGTAATAGCCTCCGCCAAGGAGCATGAGGTAGCTGCCGGGTGCTTTGCCCACGAAAGCGACCTCTGCAAGGAATGGTTAAATATAACTCTTGCAGACAAAAAGTCACACGTACCGGCAACGTATGGGCGTGCGCATCCATTCGGGCAACCTGTCATACGCATGACTATGGAGTCGTTACGTAAGCCATACTCCTCGCATATCTTTTCCACTTTATCGACGAGGAGCGGTAAGTACTGTAAGGTGGGAATGTTAAACTTAAACGACGGGATAACACACTGAGACGTACGCGTTCAGATTCCGCCATCGCGAGACCTGTATCCACTATAAGCTTTGTTTTGGTTTCCGCAAGAACACTGAGACCTACCACATGTCGGGAATGCTACACAAGCGGACGAAGAGAGTCGTAATCCCGTAAAATTAAGGTTGTCCAGCTTGTACTCAGCAAGGAGTCTCTTAATCTGAGGAACATCGTCCGTGTCAATATCTGAGATAATGATATGTTGGTTCGCAGTGAGTCTGAAAGTGCCCTTGTGTATCTTGGCAATTTCGCGTAGGCCCTTCTTAAAGTCTTGTCCAGGCTCGTCTTGGACACGGCCGTTCTCAATGAACAATGTCACATGATGTTTTCCATCTTCACCAACAGTCCACCCGAAGTCATCGACGTTGCGATCAAAAGTGAAGGGACGCGCAGGATCGAACTTATAGCCAAGACGGGACTCCACTTCAGCCTTGAAGACATCAAGACCCATACGATCAACGGTGTATTTCAACCTGGCATTCTTGAATTCAAGTCAGTATCAGTCTCAGTCAGGATGGCCTGGGCTTGGACGTTTACCTTGCGGTCCACGCGATTACCGAAATCTCGCTGGGTCAACATGACCTTCTCGGCCACCAGAGGACCCTGCTCGACAGTGCAGAAACCAATCACGTCCGCAACTCGAGGGTAGGTTTTCTTGTTGCCGTGCGTGACGCCCATTCCACCGCCGATAGTTACGTTGAAGCCAGCCAACTCCCCGTTTTTGTCTACGATAGCAATAAAACCAAGATCATTCGCGAAGATGTCGACATCGTTCGTCGGCGGAACTGCAACGGCAATTTTGAACTGCAGAAGAATAAGGAAGACGAAGCAAACGAAAGAGTGGACAAACTTACTTTGCGAGGGAGGTAGAATTCTCCGTACAACGGCTCGAAGTCTTTGACTGCTTCACCGGCGACCATTTTGTTGTCAAGCCAGATCTCATGGTACGCGGTCGTTCGGGGGAGTAAGTGGTTGCTAACCAACTTCGAAAACTCGTAGACACGAGCGTGTAGTTTGGACTTGGAGGGTATGGCAGAACAAATGACGTTTCTGGCGACAAATGAGCCAGCTTTAAATAACTAGCAATTTTACTTACCGATTGACATCACCACAAGCGGCCAGTGTATCAAGGAGGACTTTGTTAATACTCTGGATGCTGGGTTTCAGATGGCGTTTAATGACACCATGGAATTGGAATGTCGAGCGCGTAGTAATCTTGAAAGTTCCATTACCATGCTCGTCGGCTATGCGGTCCATCTGTAACCATTGCTTGGGCGTGCAGACACCTCCCGGCATGCGCACTCGAATCATGAAACTGTAAGCGGGTTCAACCCCTTGTGCTTGGCGTTCGTCACGGATGTCACGATCATCTTGTTGGTAGATACCGTGAAATTTGGTAAGCTGTGTGTCGGTGGGAGCGAGAGCACCAGTGCTCGTGTCTTGAAGACCTTCAACAATGGTGCCACGCAAGTATCCGGATGCTGCCTTAATGTGCTCGTTCGTGATCGGCTCGGGCTCGGCCTCCTTCACCTCGATGCTATCGACACCAAGGGCTTTCCACAACAACGGTTCCCATACTCTGTAACCAGTCTCGGGCCCGTCCGCGTCCTGGTCATTGCCGAGGCCGAGGGCCGCAAAACGCTCACCGCCCAACTGTTCCAGACGCAAGTCAAGCTCTTTACCGGGTCTGTTGTAGAAGTGCGCATCCTCCGGTCGAGGCCAGTAGTGGCTGTCACCCAGTGCAAAGACAGCGTAGCGCAACTTCGAGAATGGTTTGTCTCCACGTCCAACGGCGGTGTTGAATGCCTTGAAGAGCGTTCTTCCGTTCTGCGGGGGCTCGCCCTGTCCGGCAGTGGAAGTCACGAATGCCACATACTCTTCGTTGGCAAGGGTCTCGATAGACATCGAGTCCATCGTACCGATGCTCGCCGACAAACCCCTCGCCTTGGCCCGATTCATCAGTTTCTTGGCGTACTTCTCCGCAGTGCCACCGTCAGAGGCATAAAGGATGGCTAATGGTGGGGCGTCAAGTGCAACAAGTAGATCGCTATACGCTTCTGCCGCCCGCTTTCTACGAGCCTCTTTCACGCTCTCTCCCAAACTACTCACCAGCTCCGTAGCTAGCTGAGGTTTCGAACGAACTAACTGGGACAGGTGATTCTGCCTATCGAGGAATTGCTGAAGGTCGTTCTTCACAGAGTCAGAATCGAGCGTGAACGGCTCCTGCCCGCGAGCCTCCTTGACGGGATCCCAGCGATAGAGTGGCCAGTATCCCGAGTCCACGGCGAGTTTAGTCTCCTTCAGTACGTCGAGAGCTGGGGTGTTCTCTGACTGATATGGTAAGTAGGCGAGTACGACGCTTGGACCTTTGTGCCTGTCAGCCTCCGTTATGGCTTGAAGTACATGAGCGTAGGAAGAGTACACGGCGACGCTGGCGACGTAGACATCGCCATGATTCATCGCATAGAGACCAGCATCCTGCTTGCGACGGTGAGGGTCGGCAGAATGACGGGCAGAGTAGGGAACACTGTCGAGAATGAGGATGTTAATGTCAAGACCGGATGCAATGGCATGGTGCAGGCCAGAGGAGCCCAGATCATAAGACCAGGCATCCGAGCCGATAATCCACCTGGACCGGGCGGGCAGATGAGCTTGCAAAGCGAGCACGCAGTTGACGTGCGTGTTCCGGACGCTCGTCGACTTGAGCGCAGCGACGACCTGGTCACCGACTGTGCGGCTCTTGGCACGATCATCTTTCACAAGAAGCCACTGACCGAGACTTTTGTGCAGTTCGGGGCTAATACCTTCCACCTCCATCAAAGCCTGTATGGAGCTGATGAGCTGCGCGCGCTGCTCCAACTGTCCCCTCGCACGCCCTAGAGCAAATTCGGGGCTGGTTGCGATCGCACCCTGGGTCGGCACGAGTGATGGGGAGTTGGAGATTTCTAGGTGATCGCCAAAAACGTAGGAAAGTATCTTGGTGTACGAGACCTCATGTTTAAGTACGTGAGGTACTTTCACGAGAGGCCCCGAGGGGGCGTCGCCTCCAAGCTGCAGAGGCGAAGCACTCTTCAAATTCGATGTCGCAATGAGTAGCTTGAGTAGGCTGGCAGCGTTGATTTGTTCTGGATCTGCAAACCAGATACTTTGCACAAGTATCCGGTGGCTAGCTTGGCGCTCCTGTAGAATGGTGACGATGTCTAAGAAAAGGGAAGTCCATTTTGTATTTGAACGGCGAAGCTGTTCAAGCAGGACGACACGAGATGCGGACGGAGGGACTACGTGGAGTACTTTAGACGGTAGCAAAGGAGTCAGAAGACCGATGGAGACGAAGGCAACACCGTCAATTTCAAGGCCATGTGGCAGGCTACCGAGGACGAAGGCGACAGTGTGTGGGTTATCTACTCCACGGAATGTGAACGGACGGCAAGTGCGACGAGTACAAGAAACCGTCGAGAGTACAGCTGCTCCGTAAACCTCATAAAGGTTGTCATTGGCATGCGAGGGACCGTTCGCGACATCACCGGAGCCGTTAGCGACTCCGTTCGGGACGCCGGTGTCCGTGGGGCTTTCAGTACCACTTGGGCTGTGGTTGCCGTTGGCGCCATTAACTCCGTTCCTCACGGCTGCATGGTCAGTGTAGCCGTTTGTTCCACTTTCTGGTGAGAAACTTGCGCCTGGTGCGAGCTTTTCGGAGTGGAGCAATCGCCATATGTCACCTTCCGGAGTCACGTCCGACACATCGCCGTTGTGCTCATAAAATGCGTGAACTACTGCCTTTCTCTCCACGCGTGCGATCCGAGAAGCCAGCAGAGCGTTGTCATGCGCTTGTTGAGCAGTGTACGACACCAAGAAGAAAGGTATGGCAGATCGAAGCAAGATCACATCGGAAAGGTCGTCGGTCACTGCGATGTGCAGAACAACAGGTAACGAAGATAATTCTGTGGCATGGAGCACGAGCCGGACAGCTGTATGGGACGTGACCGAAGCGGTAAATGAGACCAATGGTACGGTAGACCCGTTTCGGAGGATGGTCGAAGCTGGGTCACCGGCTAAAGGTACTGAGAACGTCAGTGGCTGGCGACCTGTTGTCTCCGTGAAAGACTGGAAGTGTCTTGAGAACTGCGAGGTCGCAGGAAATGCAGGCTGTGAATCTACGAGCACGTCGGACGCCAAGAAGGCTATCCGAGATACGGCTGCGATAGAATTCGACATTGTGGTCTTCTGATAGGAGAGAGTATGTTTCAGAACATGTCAGGAAAGTTAGAGAACGGGCTTTACCTGCAACTGCTAGTTCTGCTGGCAACCCGGGAGAAAAGGGTGATGAGCTGATTCATATTTTCTCGCTGACGAGCCTTTAGATATGCGACTGCAGCAATTAGCACCTCATCTATTTGTCCGCCAAACTTGAATTCCGAATTCATGTTGCCACTGTACCCACGCCCATCTCATCATCTCAGTAGCGCGTAAAACTTGATCATTTCGGACTACATACACATGTTCGTTAGTAGGCTAACTGTCATGTAGGTACGGCAGTAACGGGGATGCAGTGTGGTGAAACATTGCCCGCATTCAGCTGGGCGTTTGAATTGGGAAAATAACATATGTACATGATATCTGCAATCCGACGACAACCGACGCGTCAAGACCCTTCCAAGCACTCTCAAGCTGTCTTTTTCCCCAAGGATTTGAGATACATATGTGCCTTACCAAGCATCCAGATAGGGAATGAGAACTTGAAATTCGGGTAAGAAATCGCACAGTTCTTGTTGAACACCCCTTCGATTGCTTCTTGAGGCCAAGAGCCATCCTACGCCACATATGTCAGGTAACGTCAACCAAAGAGCATCCAGAGCCAGCCCTCACAGGGAGTTGCCGGGACATAACGAGCTTGACTGCCTGTTCTATAGGTTTCGGATCGGGGTATCCCGCGTACATGAGGGCCATGGTTGCCCAGCAAGTTTGTACGACTTGAGTATTTTCATGTTCGACCCAACTCGCCAGTTCGCAGGTCTACGAATGGTTTAGGTGCATGAGCCCACATGCGCAAGCCATCATAGCACGACCTGACCTTGTAGCTTTCTCCCCACCCGCCATCCTCTCGCTGATGTGATAGGAGAAATTTGCATGCACGCTGTACGGACGAACTGTTGGAATAATTCTCCCCCACCAATGATAAACTCTCTAGCGCGAATTGCGCTGCGTAAGTAAAGCAAATACCCCACGATCCCACCCATCCACCATCCGGTTTTTGCGCGGCATGAAGATAGTCAATTGCCCTCCGAATAGTAAGGCTGACAAAGTCAGCCCAAAATAATAAACATAAGAAACGTGGCACATACTCAATTTCCGCCGAGCGATAGCTTGGATAGTGCTTTCTGAAAATGGACAAGGCCGTGATGACGGAGGTTGTACATTCTGGATAACAAAATTCAATCATGATGTCCCCTGCAAGTGTATCGGTGAGCTCGGCCGAACGAATTTATCGAACGTTGCTTACCAAAAACTTCAGCAGGGTTAAGCCATTCTAACCACTGGGGGCCCCTGACGAGCTCGTAGCTAGCAAATCCGCCGTCGGCGTTCTGCATGCTAAGCATAGTGTCGACCGCATCAAACATCCGGTCATCTGAAATCAATTTCTCCACACCCCTGGAACATGGTTGAGATAACAACTCGTAAAAGAAGTAAAGACACTGACTCGACATTGTTTTGGATATACAGAACGGACTTCAAACCTTCTCCGGTACAGTCGCTGACCGTGTAACCTTGCTCCCTCGTACTGAAAGGCCATGCTCCCTTCGTCCTGTGCCGATAGGCAGACTCGTAATGTTTTGGGTTGTCTCTGATTTGGCAAATGTCTAACCACTCAAGAGCTTTCTTCAGGCTCTCCTTGTTTTCGCCATCATTCGCGAGGCCTGTTTCCACAAGTGCCTGTGAGATGAAACCGATATCCCAGAGTTGGCTACCGTTCGTTCCACACATCCTCATACCCTCCGGTCCGAGCCACATGAAGTCGGCGCGTTTAATAGCGTGTTGTTTGTACACCTCGTTGTCCGCACCTTCGACTATGAACCGACAAATCAGGTTCATCATCTTTGAGACAGGACCGATAGTCTGGTACTCCGTGTTTTCATCCTCATAAACGATAAGCTCGTATGCACGCTTTAATGCCGCTTGTCGTGCAGGAGGGATGGTACAACCTTCATACATGCTGAGGATGGCATTGAGAGTATCCAGCACGGTAGTGTGAGGATAATAGATGTCGACGGATGCAACATTGTTGCGCTGCGCCGGCCAGTAAATGGAATGATAATCTGTAGTATACAGTTCCTGGTGACGGATTAGAAACGTCAGGAAGTAGGGGAAACGTCAGCTCACCTGGCGAAGGGAACGGATTAGATCATTTTCTCCTATCTGGAAACGTATGCCGTAGAGATAGCTCATTGGAATGTAGACATTGCGGGTGTGAATCCACCACTTGTGAGGGTGGAATGGAACCCAGTCTGGAAGGAGCCTTGAGCGGCGAACAAGTCAGCGGTGACTTGTCTTCCATGGAAGGAAATGGAAAAGTCACCATAGTTCTGGAGGAATAGGATTGACTCCCTCCCAATCGTACACGTTGAGTACTGCTAGCCAGAATTTGCCCCAGGCAGGAGTACCAGTTGCACCCCCTGAAAACGATCAATATACAGGCGGACTAGGACAACGGAGAATTACCCAGTTTATGTAGGCATTCCCGAGCTTTGATGGCGACTGAATGGTCAGCGTGCATACCGAGAATACGAAGAGCAGCATAATTGAGTGCCGTTCCGAACACAGTAGAGTGACCCTCTATATGACTGAAACGACTCGAGTCAGGAAGTGTGCCAAAAATTCCAGTGAGATATCTTACATTCCCCACCCTCCGTCCTCGGGGTGTGCACGATGCATGAGGTAACGAATCATCTCGAGACGCTCTTCTAGCGTGAACCCCATACCCGCAGCGTATGACCCGATGACCAGGCCCGGCAGCAAAAACATTGGGCCGCCATACTCCCCGGGCCAATGACCATCATGCGACTGGAGATGCTTGTAGAACGTGTACCCATTCTGTGCTGCTTCCAGGGGGTCCTTTGGTTTTGGGAGAGCAGGCAAGTTCTGGCGACGCGGGTGAGCCTGGACAGTGGGGTCCGCTCACGGGGTACACGCACCAGTGGTATACCAAGCCAGTATTTATCCACGTCGTTCTGAGGCCAGTCCTTGCATTCCTCGTCGGTTCTCATATAACGCCACGTGTGACGGCCACCATCATTGACGAGGAGCCGCCAACGAGAATAGTCCGTGAATGGCTCCTTCCCGGACTCCGGAATGTCCAGGGGAGAATACAACTGTGCGAGCCTGTTGGGGTCTACTGCCATGGTCTCTTAGAAGAGTAGCTTCGTGCGCAGTTGTTCGCTTTCAGCTTTATTTTATATATCACGCCATACGAGACGCGCGGGTTACATAGCACTGGTATGGGCGCGCGTGATTTCAAGTGAGGAACGGGCTCAGCTCAGACAGCCATGGCCTCCTTCAGAGACTCCTCCATACTCATCATCGAAACTGGGAGGACCACGATACGAGCAGGTCTGGGAATTCATGAACTACTCAAGGCACCGGCCGTAGTCAGTATGTCTCTGTTACCCGACATCCTGGCCCTCATATACCACTTGGCCACAGGAGATATTGGCACGCGTTGGATTTCGACAGGTTACCGAAGAACCGTCAAACGGTGTTGACACCAATGGAAAGCAGCTCTCGAATGACTCCGATATCTCGCGTCTATCATCCTCTCTCAGCCGCCTGCCCTATCATTCTAACCCAGCTGCCAAGGTCAACGATTACCTCGTTGGTACCCAACTGGACGAGGCTTTGGCAACAGGACAGGACATCCTAATCTCGTGGCCATTTGCCGATGGAGATGTTCGCGATTGGACGCAGGCAGAGGCACTCTGGTGCGCCCTTTACACGCTGGACTATGCAACTCCTCTTCCATCTGCTTCACTTCCAGGAAATACATCATTTTTAACCAATTTCAGATCAAACGCACTCAAAATGAATCACCAGTCATACTTTCGATGCCAGCCGGCCTGTCGCGAGACTTCCTCGAGCAAGTGTGTCAGCTGTTCTTCGAACGGTTTAATGTGGCTGGGTTTGCAGTCCTCGAGCGTCCAATGGCACAGATCTACGCGACCGGACTGCTCAGCGGTGTCGTAGTGGACATTGGGTATGAGCAGTCGGATATTTCCCCCATTCTACGAGGGCTTCATTCTGCAAAACACTCGCACTTCGACATCGATAGGCATACGAGACTGTGAAAACTACCTTGCCAACATCTTCCGCTCCAATCAGTCGGTCATGGCTGCTGCTTCGCCATCAGATTCCCCCTGCGACCCCCAAACTACCCAACAATTCCTAGTGGACTTTGTGCAGCACATATGGAAGGAGGGTCTGGTCCGTGTTCCATCTGATGGGCAAACAGCCGATGTACCTGAAGACGAGGGTGTCACCGACATTGCTGCAGTTTTAGTGGCTGGGAAGGAGAAGGCTGTCATTGAAACTGGAATGAAGAAGAAGGCTACTGCAAAAGCATCTGCCGCCGAACAGGCACGAGCAAGGGAAATAGAGGCTCTTGACCTCGTCACAGTAGAGTTTCGTGGACATTCGATAACAGTGGGGAAGGAGCGGCATCGCTTCTGTGAACCACTGTTTGATCCAACTTTACTGAAACCCCTACAACAAGTCCCAGTAGATGATACACAGGACCAACCGCTCCCCCTGCAAGATGCCGTTGGACTGGCTGTGAGGCAGGCAGAAGTTGATCAAAGGCAGGCCATCTGGCAGGGTTTATTTGTCACTGGTGATCTCGGGAACCATGTAAAGGGTACGTTTTGCAACGAGAGTTTCCCTTACATCTATTTTAATTCGAGTTGCTAGGTATCGGCGTAGCACTGCAGTCCCGACTGTCGCCTTACATCTTGAGTAATCCTGAACAACAAACGGAACTGCAACCACGATCAATCCGCGTTGTAAATGTTCCCGAATACTTTGCGGAGTTCAGAGAAAAGGGTGATCGTTTAGCTACATTCCTTGGGACAAGCATTGTCGCCAAGGTAAGGAGCAAAGGCTTACTCAGGCGACGACTAACGAACCATTCATTCGACCAGATTGTTTTCAGCGATTCCCAATTGAAAAGCTTTGTGTCAAAGCCCGATTATGATGAGAGGGGCCCACACGCTATCATAGGAATGTGCCCCTGCATTGTTTTGATCAAGTTCAAACTGTATCTCTATGTAGTTTGCGAACCAGGGACTAATAATTCCCTCGACCACTGTTAGGGGGGTGTGCTGAGTTCGAAACTTGTAAAACTGTACAGTATGTCCTTGGCCCGCCTGGCGGTCAACGCGCAATTTCTGATCATCGTCAAGGCAAGTCAAGACCTACGCCCGTCAAGTTTCACGACTCAAAAAAATCATCAATGGCACCCGCAAGCAAGACAAAAGCCGCTAAAAACAGCGAGTCCATTGCATCCCGCCTCGCTCTCGTCGTGAAATCGGGCAAGTACACACTCGGATACAAATCTGCATTGAAGCAGATGCGCAGTGGAAAGGGTGAGCACCTTGTCTTCGTACTCACGGGGACTGGAGCGTGAGGCTGAGAAGGTCCCTTGGCTAACTATGGTTTTCGTTGCCACCCTTTCTTAAACAGCCAAGCTGGTCTTGATCGCTGGTAACTGCCCTCCTTTGCGTAAATCTGAGCTCGAGTACTATGCCATGTTGTCCAAGACGTCCGTGCACCACTTCAGCGGCACGAACGTCGCTCTTGGCACTGCTGCTGGAAAACTTTTCCGTGTCGGGTGAGTGGATGGTCTGATTTGGTCACTATGCTTCGGCTGATCCAAGTCTTGTAGCGTCATGACCATCACCGATCCAGGTGACTCGGACTTGCTGACCTTCGCGGAAGGAAACGCTGCATGAAACAATTGTGTACCTAAGAAAGGATTACGTGCTCCTTTGACCATGACAACTTTTGGGATTCATGTTACCTTCGTCGCTATATCATTGTGTGCAATCACCTGTGACACGCAAGGCATCTACCTCTGCAGTGGAACTGCTGTTGGTCTCCTAAATTTAACACGCTAGTGTCAGAAGAGTGTTCTCATGAGAATTGGTAAAGATGCGTGGGTGTTCCCAAGCTCTTTGGGCGCTAGTCAGCGCCTAACTGAGGTAGCGCACATGAAGGACCCATGCACATCGCTATGGTGAAAACACACGTCGGTATTTTTAAACAGTACAATGCAATTATTGCCGAGGGGTAAAACATCTGGGAAACAGCTACGCGACGCGGCTGTTAACAGCTCGGGTAGTTTTGCAGATGAAGTACGAAAACCACGAAAGCAACATGCGACGATTGAATTAACTTTACGACTCTAAGCGAATTTCCTCTACCTCTTCAGAATCCCATCCGCAACGAGTTTGTCCACCCTGCGAGAGAAAGTCGGATACAGTATGCTGTCGGGCACATCATCCGTGGAGATGGGTGGAGAAATAACGGGTTGCGGTCGTGATAGCTGAGCCTGGACGTCGAGTAATTTTTTGCTCACTTCCACCGTAACTGGATCCACAGACCCCTTGCGAAGCTGGACGGATAGAAGATCATTGAAAACAATATCATTGTGGTTTTCATCCTCGTCCGAGTCGTCTTGGGCATTCAGCCTACTCCACTTCCGAGGAAGTCGGCTCGTGCCGTTCAACGATGTCTGGCCTGCGCGACGCTTGGAGCAGGTAACGGAAACCATCATGGTATACGAAGGGACGACGAGGGACAAGGGTGGCAGCGGTGGGACAAGAGTGGTGGGTATTGCAGGGGTAGCTTGATGAACGATTGCATGCGCAGGGACGTGATCACCAAAATCTTTGCGATGGACCTCTTCAAAATGAGTTTCTAGCAGTGGTACACGAACAAACTCTGCATTACAGCCTGAAATACGGTGTAATTATGCAGCAAATAACAAGAACTGACTGCCACCACACACCTTGGATTGGACATGGCAGTGAAACACGCGAGAGGTGGCTCAGTTCTACATGTGATTTAAGTGCATGTTGCGAGCTATGAAGTCGACCTGCACAACGAGAAAACTTGCAGTGATACATCCCATCCTGCACAACTTAGTCAACATCCAAAACACAACTCCCAGAAAACAGCATCCACATTCACCTGCTGTGAAACATAAGCACAGTGCCTCAGCAGGTGCTAAAAGCAAGCATCAAATGTCAGTCACTGTCTGAAGATCCATCAAAGAGCACCACTTCTCCTTGAAAGCCTTAAGCAATCCTGCAGCTGATGCAAAGCACCAATCCTGCCATGCATGGGCTGCAGGATTACTTTGGGCTATCAAGGAGGTGGGAGCCTCCTTGCAAGTAAATGAAGGCAATTACCTTTAACAATGTTTGCCAGCTATTTAATACTATCTGACAACCCTCCCACTCGCAGGGTGTAGGCTTGATTGCATTGCATGCAAGAGCAAGCAACTCATCCCTAGACAGTAAGAACCTCAAGGGTTCTACCAGTACTTCAGTGGATGTTGACATCTAGCCCATGAAAGATAGATGGTAAGAAGGAGAAAAGAGTGGAGCAATTTACCAAACAAATACAAAGAATATGCATGTGATGTTGATGCAAATGTTTGGCACTGTTATGACCCTTTGGATACATGACTCACCCTGCCAGATTTCACACTCCACTCCAAACTGATGGCAAAACTCCATCCTCAAATTTCAAAGCCCCCTTCAACCCTAACTGAATTACATGGCTTCACAACCCTAAACCCAACTGAACCCTAACTAAATTGCAAATGTGAAGTTCAAAAGAATTTAACATTTAATTTGATTTTCTGTGGCATGTTTCAGCTTGTTGGAGATATATTCTCCTCTGGGTTTACTTGACTAGAAGATAAGGCTGTTGGGGATGGCAGGCACCTTGTTTACGGATGTGACATAGATCCCCATAATTTACATGCAAGATTTTGATGTCTAAAGATCATATACTGCTCATTGCTCCACTGTCAACTCCTCTGTCTCCACAGTGTCTCCCAATCCTTGTTTGCAAGTACACAGTGCAGCAGTGCATTGGCATTGAGCTTGGATGGGCTAAGCCTACAATCCTACATAATTACATGCCTACAATTCATTGCTACCATGATTTGAATCAGACTTTGTTTTCAGGAGGATTGCAGTTGCTGAAAAATGGGTGACAAATTTTGGGGTGCAGTGACTTGTAAACAAGGTGATGTAGGTGTGATGTTTACTTGCTTATGTAAGTGCTTAAAGTGCACATTTTACAGTAGTTTTCTTTACCGTTCCCTCAGTAGTTGAGTCACTGCTGAGGCTGCCCACAGCACCCTTTCAATATAGCTATCAGAAGCAACACTTGAAATTTAAATGTTTGTGCTGATGCCCATTGCCTTCCTTACAGGGTATGTCTTCAAATGACTCCAATGCAAACTCTGATTGAGCTGGATAAAATGGCTGCCATAATAATGGTCTGCAAAGCACTGTATTCAGAGAAAAAGAAAGTGCAGTGGTGCAGACAGCTGGAACATGTTTGCAAGGTGCCAACCAAGCACAAGGTCTACTGAGGGAACCTGGAGGAAAAGTGCACAAAGTGTATGCTCCAGGGTGATTATGTAATGAGGTAAACATCACACCAAAAAGAACAAAACACAGGGGAGAATATATCTCCAACATAAGCAGTGACATCAAGGTTGCACTCCTTACTGTTCACTATATGATTGGTTACCTTTGGACACATTTTTATATGTACTCAAGTTCTAGAGCAGTTGGAGATGAGCAGTCCTGATTCATCACAAGGTAAAGAGCAATTGCGACACTCACCACTATTTTGCTTGATCTGCAATCCACAAGTCTCTTTCATTGCAATTTTTCTCATGGGTCCTTCGTCGATCATGGTGGGGTGCTGACTAAGCGATCTAGGTAGAATTTTTGGGACACATATTGTGCAGTTTACCTCCTGCCTTGACCACTCAAGAGGGCAAGGCGTGCTTCAGCTGCTCGGGCCCTCCTCTCTCTTTCCACTTTTGCCCTCATCTCCGCAGTAAGGCCAATTATTCCATCTGCACGTCCAGAGGACCCACCCAACCTTTGAGGTCCACCACGGGATTCTTGGTGGGTTTCCAGGGGTTCAGGGGTCGTTACCTCAGATGCTTCCTCAGCCGCCCTTGATCGTAGCATTTCATCGCGCTCACGCATCCTTTCTTTCAAGCCCTTTCTCCTTTGTTTCCGTTTATCATCACGCTCCTCCTCTTTTTCCTTGCTAAGGCCACTAGGCACTCGTGCCGCACCAAACCAATCCCACCAATCAGGGTGGTCGGCTGCACAGCGACGCAGCACGTCACGGACAGCACGAGACCGTGCTAAATCATAGGCGGTTCGGCGTGAGCTTGGCACGTCTGAGGTATCCGATTCGCCGCCAGCATCATCTGCTTTGGTCCATCTAGCTGAAACAGAGACCGTTGGGTCAGCACGCAGGTCGTAGAGCAGCCAACGGACTATTTCTTCGTGTCCGGACTGCGCAGCAACTTGCAGAAGAGAGGCACGCCGGTCGCCTATCCATTCTGGTATGACCACGTTGACGCCGCCAATTGATCCGGCTTCCCGTTCCCAGAATGATTTTAGGGGGTCGAGGCGACCCTTGGTTATCATGTCGAGGAGGCGAGACCACTTCTCACGGTATATCTCTTCCTCCTTCGTCAAGCGCTGAGGCTTTGGCTTCTCGGCGTCTGCAGTCAAAACGGGCGTTGGTTGCAGCTTCGGCTTTGGAAGGGAAGCGAGGAACGCTTCATCCTGTGCACGGAGGTCTTCTTCCGTAAAGTGTGAAATCTTGACCTGGGTGAGCTCTAAAAGGCACCGCGACAGCTCGGATTGAGTCTATTGGGCAGTGAAGAGATGTTGCAGGCACGTGCATCACGAGGAGACTTACCGGACGCCGTGTCGGGAACGGGAACGTTCGCAGTCTGTCATCACCTGCAAGTAATGAAAATGTGTTGTATCGACAAGAAATTCATGACAGTACTACCCACCTTTATTGATGATGCACCCTTCGTAGTCAAGAAATATACGCCTATTCGATACGCTTGCTCGAATCCATATCCGCTCACAATCGTGAATGTCTTCCGCCCAGTCCTGCAATAGACCACGTATATCCTAGGAGTTGGATTTAGTAATCATGCACGCCACCAGCTACCCGACCACTCACGTCACGTAGCGCTTGTTCTCCGTACCGACGTAAAATGGCGCCAGCACTGATGGCTGCGCCTTTCGCGTTGTCATTGATCGATTGCGACCCGCCCTGCTTCCGACGCGCTGTTCCAAAAATGAAATCTCAGACTCAACATCGCGTGGTGACCACTTACTGGTGTATCGATGGAATGTCTTATGCTTTATTACTAGAGTCTCGGGCTTAGGTTTCGGAGGCTTCTTTCTAGCATTCACAGGCGCTAGTGCCTCTTCTTCTGCGGCACGGCTTACGCGAACAATAGCTCCTGCGAAGTGGCCACCTGCGACCATGAACATGGCCCACTTCCTCCCACCCTCAATCGGCGTTTGCATTTCCTTTAGCTCGGACAAATAGGCTGAAGGTGGCGTTTCAAGTGGGAAAAGCATCCTGTAGGTGCCGATCTGTGTAGCGGGCGGCGAGTGAAACCAGATTACGGCGGAAATGGGAACCTTTGATGTGCCTTCTTCCGGATTATCAGTTAAGACATTGCGCTTGACCCTAGTGACGAGTGTATCCACTGCATCGGATTCCTCTGCGCTTTCGTCATCTGATGCTGACCCCGACAGGGAGTCCTCCAAGCCTGTCGCCATCGAGAATGTCAGGGCGCGCAACAAACCAACATCAGCAGTAGCTACCCTCTACCAGTTGTGCAAAGACCGATTCCGAAACAGGGTTTCCGCCCTTGAGACGTATCTTCACGTTGTATCGATGCCAATCCGAGTGGAAATGGGAGCGTTGTTCGTCGACATCCGCAAAAGCAGCACCCAGACAAACATTGCAGGTTCTTGCACCTGTGCTTGCTTGCTCCTTTGCAGCGACTGGCGGAGGAGAGGGTTCGCGCTTCGGAGTCCGGTTGGTGATCAGGTTGCGGGGTGTTAGGGTATCTAGCAAGTCTGGTGGTAGTGAAAAGACGTGGAATCTCTGAGACATCTTGTGTCGTTCAGTTGTGGATGAGCTCTAGAAGTAAAAGATCAGTATGTACTCTAATGACTCGATGATGATGACTTGGAAATCTAGCCGACTACTATTTGGTTCCGCTTTGGTTAGTCGGGTCCCTGTTCGAGTGAGATCTGAGATCTAAGACGCGACCATCATACAACAAGCGCAAGGATGGTCTCTGCAGATTTCGCTGATCGTCCCCAGAAAAAGCTGGTTCTTTTCGACGTCGATGGCCCACTCACACTCCCAAGGCAAGCCAGTCCGTGGGGGTAACTTGCATTATCTTACACGGTATGCTCAGACAACAGGCCACTACAGAGATGGTCGACTTCCTTCGCAAACTGAAGGATCAAGTCGCCATTGGCTTCGTTGGCGGCTCCGATCTCGTCAAGATCACTGAACAATTATCTGTCAACGGGATTAATGGTGCACTCCGCGTAATCACAGCCCACTGAGATCTCCATTGCTGATGCTTCCAAAAGCCCTAGAATTTTTTGACTTTGGGTTCGCAGAAAACGGGTTGATTGCGTACAGGCTAGGCAAGAAGCAAGCCTCTCAGTCGTTCATTAATTACATTGGCGAGGAGAGATATAAGAAGCTAGTTAACTTCATCCTCCACTACCTTGCGGACTTGGATATCCCTATCAAGCGGTCTGCATTTTTGGGCTGATTTTGGGGATCTGCACACTCATGCAACACCCAGAGGAACGTTTGTTGAATTCCGCAATGGGATGATCAATGTGAGCCCTATAGGCCGCAATGCAACGTAAGCGATTTCCTCGACCCCCGTCAACGAGACTGGACCCTGTTTCAGCGTGAATGAACGCAACGAATTCGAGGCTTATGACAAGGTGATCAATCATATCTCAGGTCACGATTCGCGCTGATCGGAACCCAGATTCACCAAATACGAGCCGCTTTCGTTGATGTCTTACGAGAGAAGTTCGCGGATTATGGACTAACATATTCAATCGGTGGCCAAATATCTTTTGACGTGTTTCCGAGTGGTTGGGATAAGACATACTGCCTTCGTTTCGTAGAGCAAGAAGGGTTTGACGAGATTCATTTCTTTGGGGACAAAACCTACAAGGTCAGTTTCTACACTCGGTTCCTACAAATGTCTGAGTGACGGTATGATCCAGGGGGGCAATGACTATGAGATCTTCACTGACCCTCGCACCATCGGACACAGCGTTAAAAACTCAGCGGACACCATGCGAATTTGCACCGAACTGTTCCTCTCTTCCTGAAAGTGCAGTCTGCATGAAGCAATTCCTCCGGGGGTTAATGTTCATTCGTTCATGACGGTTTTAGACAACGGTTTCCATGACTCAATACTTCTGGTTTAGAAGGTGGAATTGGTATACCGAAGAACGAGCCTGTTTGATTGGGTGGCTGCTAAACATATGTATCTGTAGACCGATGGCAGTCTCGTACATAGACGATCCACAAATATTCACTTCATTGGATTGATTCAGGGGTTTGTTGGGTGTGATGTGATGACGTGACAACCGAGAAAGGCGTTACGTAACGCGACAGGACGCGCCTACATTTGGTGCTCGCCGCGCACGTCTGCTTTCGACCTGTCCGCGTCGACGAGCTCTGTCTTCACCAGTTAACTCGAATTCGCTTCTGAAATGCCAAGTAAGAATGGAGCCGGTCTGCAAAGTACTCAGACAAAGTCAATATGCAATCTTGCACTCCAAACGGCGCGTCACTGACATAATGTCCAATGTCAGGTATAGGACGGACACGGAGCCATCTTTAAAAAGAAGAAAGCTTGGCCCATCGGGGTCGCAGTCCACGCAGCAGTCGTCGTTTGCGGATGTCTTGGAGCAGCTCACAATCGAACAGTCACAGAATGGCGCTGGCACGTCTTTTTGTCTTCGGTTTGAAAGTGGCAAAGGGGCGATAATTCCTACGTATACTTAGTGTCCGAAGGAGGTGCCGACTGCTGGTCGCGTCCTTCATTAAAGCCCATTAATGAGAAGAGAGATACTATCAGTGAGCATTACTGTGAAGCGTCTTGCCGCTGCCTCCTTGATGTTACCCCTACGACAGTATTCCAACAGATTGATATCGAGGAGGGCACAGATTATAGCAACGGAAACATAATACTGCGGATGTTTGGTGTGACCGAGGTATTGTCCCTGTACTTCGACAGACGAAAAGCTGACCTTGTTGACAGGATGGCCATAGCGTCATGGCAAATGTAACAGATTTCCCCCCTTATTTCTACGTACCCGTTCCTCGAGGATTCGATGCATCTGATTCGGGCCCGCTCACGGAGGCACTAAACGTACGTTCCTCGTTCTTCAGTGTCGGATAGGGTAACAAAAGTCATCAAAATAGAAAGCCTCGGGGGGTAATTATGTCCGCAAAATTGAAATCGTTATGAAGCGCTCTCTATGGGGGTACCGAGGAGACGATTGGATTCCATTCATGAAGCTCACGACATCAGAAGCTAGGTCACTTCCCAAAGTCCGAGATAAGTATCTGCTTTAATTTGGAAAGTTGCATTCTTACATTTGGTTCTGGGTGATCACGTTTATTCGAAAGGGGCGAATGTCAATTCCGGGACTTCTTCCCATTGGGGCAGCCATATCCTACGTTCGAGAGTAATGTTCCATATGTACTTCGCTTCATGATTGATACGAAGGTTCGTGCCGTTTCGTAGGAGTACGTTGTGAGCTGACGCAGCGCAGGTGGTTGGTATGAACTGGATCGAGATTCCGGCGGGGAAGTATAAGCTCGTGTCGGAGGGGAGAAAGTCTACTTGTCAAATTGAATTGAGTATGAGGTATGATGATGTTCGTTTCACTCTCCTATGTGCTAATACGAGTGTTGAAAGATACGACGCCTTCATCTCTCACTCTCCAGAAGGAGACTGGCAAAAGATCGCCCCGTTGCGAATTCTCAGTTTCGATATCGAGTGTGCCGGACGAAAGGGCATCTTTCCCGAGGCAAACGTCGACCCCGTCATTCAGATAGCCAATATGGTTACTCGTCAAGGCGAGAGCCAGCCATTTATTCGCAATGTCTTTACATTGAAGAGCTGTTCACACATCGTCGGCTCTCAAGTACTATCTTTCGAAGACGAAGACGAAATGTTGCAGGCTTGGAGGGATTTCATCGAGGAAGCGGACCCAGATCTTGTGATTGGCTACAACATGACGAACTTCGATTTTCCGTACCTCATGGACAGGGCTAAGCATCTTAAAATGAACAAGTTCCCGTATCTTGGTAGGCTCAGAGGTAAGCTGTGTTCTGTACGGCGTGCTCGCCATTTTATTCATATTGGTCCCAGGAGTCAAGACGCAAGTCAAGGACACCCATTTCTCCTCGAAGGCTTATGGGCAACGCGATTCCAAGGACACCGTCCTCGAAGGTCGCTTACAGCTTGACGTCCTCCAGTTTATGCAACGCGAGCACAAGTTGCGCAGCTACACTCTCAACTCAGTCTGTGCAAAATTCCTTGGCGAACAAAAGGAAGACGTGCATCACTCTGTTATTACAGAGCTGCAACTTGGGACTCCGGAGTCTAGGCGGCGACTTGCAGTGTACTGCTTGAAGGTACATTCATGCATAGCACATTGATGGCAGGGTTAACGTTTGACACATAGGATGCCTACCTCCCACAAAGGCTGCTAGATAAGCTCATGTGCTTTGTGAACTACGTTGAAATGGCTCGCGTTACTGGTGTCCCCTTCAATTACCTGTTGTCGCGTGGACAGTCCATCAAGGTTCTTTCCCAATTATTCCGTAAGGCCAACGAAGAAGGGTATGTTGTACCGTCTCTCAAAGGTGAAGGCACAGACGAGCAGTACGAGGGTGCCACCGTTATCGAGCCGAAGAAGGGATACTACGATTCCCCAATCGCGACCCTCGATTTCAGTTCGCTGTATCCTTCGATCATGATGGCCCACAATTTATGTTACACCACCCTCTTGGACAAGGCGACAATCGACCGATTGAATCTCGTCAAAGACGTAGATTACATCCAGACCCCTAACAACGGTAAGTTTATCCTTCCCTTCTGGGTTGTGTGAGATTTCCCATGGGGTTACCTTAGATTTCTTCGCCACGAAAGCGAGGAGAAAGGGACTGCTACCCACTGTATTGGAAGACCTAATCGGTGCCCGAAAACGTGCCAAAGCTGACCTTAAGAAAGAAACTGACCCTTTCAAACGCGCTGTGCTAGACGGTCGGCAACTTGCCCTCAAAGTATGTTGTATTTTGCTTCTGGTGCGATGTGGCTCACGCCACTTAGATCAGTGCAAACTCTGTGTATGGATTCACTGGTGCGACCATTGGCAAGTTGCCCTGTCTTCCTATCTCGTCTAGCGTTACCTCGTACGGCCGGCAAATGATCGAGAGAACCAAACAGGTTCGTGGTCCAATCGTGAAATCCTGAGCTTGATTGAATTTGTTATGTCCTTCTGTTTCACCGAAAGGAAGTCGAAGCTGAATTTTGTATCTCAAATGGACATTCGCACAATGCAGAGGTTATCTACGGTGACACTGATTCGGTCATGGTGAAATTTGGTCCAACAGAGTTGAAGGCAGTTATGGATCTTGGTTGGCGCCATGACACCTCATTCTCCTACTTGCGTTAACTGAGCTCTATACAGGGAGTCAGGCAGCTGAGTTCGTCACTGCCAAATTTGTGAAGCCGATCAAACTCGAGTTCGAGAAAGTATATTTCCCATATCTGCTTATTAGCAAAAAGCGATATGCAGGACTGTACTGGACCAAACCGGAGAAGTACGACAAGATGGACTCGAAGGGTATTGAAGTTAGTGTATACTCTTCGACTCTGATCGAATCAAGATTGACTGTGCTTTGTTCAGACTGTTAGACGCGACAACTGTCGGCTGGTGCAGACGGTTATTGAGACATGTCTGCATAAGATGCTCATCGATCGCGATGTCCAGGGTGCTGAAGAGTAAATATAAGTTACTTTAACCGGTTGCCAAACTGCTAATGTGCGTTGTAGGTACACGAAGCGTATCATATCCGACCTTCTGCAGAACAAGGTGGATATGTCGCAACTCGTGATTACCAAAGCACTTGCGAAATCAGGTTTGTGGAGTCAGCCACTGTTGTTGACCATAGTGAAATAACAAATTTTTTGTTCAGACTACGCTGCAAAGCAAGCTCACGTTGAGCTGGCGGAGCGGATGCGACAACGAGATGCGGGTGAGTGTTCTATTTCGCTTCCTTTTTTCCTGCGCTCACCGTTGCCTGTAGGATCTGCGCCCGCGCTCGGTGACCGTGTGGCATATGTTATCGTCAAAGGCATCAAAGGTAAGCCGATGATCCTCATCATAGTACATTGTCATTGACCACCCTCAGGTGCTGCCGCGTATGAAAAGTCCGAAGACCCCTTGTACGTTCTGGAAAACAACATTCCTATCGATACCAAGTACTATTTGGAGAATCAGCTCGCAAAGCCATTGATGAGAATATTTGAGCCTATCCTTGGTGAGAAGGCGAACTCACTATGTGTGTATTTCTGTTGTTCGTTTATCCCGACTACGCTAACGGTGCTTTGTAGTATCGGGTGGCCATACAAGATCCATTGCTATAGCAACACCCTCCGTCGGTGGCCTGATGAAATTCGCAGTCAAAACGGCGATTTGTCTTGGCTGTAAAACACCTCTGCGTCCTAATAACAGCGTGCCGAGTATGTTCACATTATCACTCCTCTGTTCGTTTCACAACGATTCCCTCTAGATGGTGCGGTCTGCAACAACTGTCGACCGAGGATTGGCGAACTGTATAGAAAGCAAGTTTCCTTTGCTTCCGAACAACAAATACGATTTTCACGACTTTGGACACAATGCCAACGTTGTCAGGGATCCTTGCATCAGGTATGTTAACGTTTTAACCTGAACCTCTTATTGGGCTCTCATACCTTCCAGGACGTGTTATGTAGTAGTAAAGACTGTCCGATATTCTACATGCGAAAGAAGGCGCAAAAGGATGTCGAAGACGCGAATGCGATCATGGAGCGATTCGATGCAGACTTGTGGTAGTCTGTTTTTTACGTGCCTCTGGCACATGTCATCTCTGCTTGCATACCCATTGTAGTTTGGTTCCTCTGATCGTATTTCTGTAGCACGTTCGCATATAACAGTCACTTGCAGTTTTTTGGAGTACTTTTTGGCGAGTAAGTTGGTGTGCTGGTACTTGGCGTGTAGTGCGACGCGACGCGGTTTGGTCACGTGTTTCGTGTTTCTACCATAATCTCTTTGTTCGTGACCATCATCGGCGACCGCTTGCAGGCCTAACCTCAAGTACGTGTGGCGGGTGTCTGTAGCACTCACAACGGTGTATTCTTCAAGGACAAAAGAATGGTTCGATCGAGACAAGCGCGTGTTGTGGTTCAAGAAGAACACGATGACACTGACACAGGTGGAGACACGGAACCTGACACCCCGATACCCTCTCAGAGACAACGCAGCAAAAGACGCATCAGCGAACGCTTCGAAACAGACGGTAGCTTCGGTGCTGACGGAGGAGGACGTGCCCCTCTGCGTTCTATGAACATCAATGACGACACAGCTGAGAAACGCAGGAGGCGGAAGAGCACCAAGCTGACCGTTATTGAGAATGCAGAGGCCGGTCCATCGACTGAACGGCAGGAACACTCCTCTGAACCCTCTAAGACACCCCAGGCGAAGCAACGTCCGCTGAACTCGGTACTTCCGCCACCAGTTATCAATGTCCCACTGGACGTGATGAATTCAAACTTTGAGGAGTGGATGAAGATGGCTACTGATAATGTCGGTGATTCCTGCGTGATGCGATCTGTGTCTGACCATTCCTTAGAAAATCAATGCAACCAATTCATGGAATTTTGCGCTCATTGACTATTTTCACGATATGTCCCTACTTCGGAACAATATCGACAACTCGATCAACTTCCAACGAGCTTCATGTACCCTGGACGGGTGCGTGAAGATCTGGACGAGCCGAGTAGACAGTGTTGGCACAGAGACGGGCAAACTGCTTAGTAACCTAGCTAACGAAAGTGCGGTTGCGGAAGATGACGAGGGAGCTACGTCAGATAATCCTGATCCCCAGGACCCCTCCCAAGCTCGTAGAAAGAAGAAGGCACATCGTCCGGATTCGACTCTTGCGAAGGACGCGTCACAACTCCGAAGCAAGAAGCTAGACCTTGAATTCAGCGTTGATCCCCTGTTCCGAAAGACCTGTGCCGACTTCGACGAGGGCGGCGCTCATGGATTACTTATGAACCATCTTAGTCTTGGGGTGGGTAGTGAGGCCAACATGCGCGTTGTCTTCGACGCAAGTGATTCCATGGGTAGGGTGATGGAAGAAGAGGAGCAAGAGTTGGAGCCAGAAGACAAGGTAGATTTGAGCCACTTGCGAAGTCTGTCGTCTCTTCCGAGAATGAGCTAAGTGGCTGACCTTGCCATAGGCGAATTCTTGCCCGACCTGAATACCCTCGAGGAGATGGAGATAGCCCACTCTCTTGCAGACTTCTCTTTCTCCCAAAGTAACCTCACTTTCGACGACACTACCCTCTATCGCGATGATACTCGAGTAGGAGGTGATGATGATGATGGTAACGATGCTGGTTTTGATGTGTTCGGTGCTGGCGATACAGCTATGGACGTTGACGGTGGGGGGCCTCCGCAGACAGAAGATTTCTTCCAGGGTGACCAAGCCGTTGATGATGACTTTTATGCTGGCGGAGACGATGGTGATTACGGACGGGCAGAAAGTGGATCAGTCGCCACTGAGGGTGAACAAGGTCAGGGCCAAGCAACGCGATCCGGGCCCTTCGTGCCCTTTGACCCCCGTAGGGTGCCGACTGAACGTGACCTCGTCGTGGCCATGACGGACGCAGACGGCCAAAGCGACGTGCTGGGTTACTTTGATCAGAACGTGATGAAGAATTGGGCAGGCCCCGAACACTGGAAAGTGAGGAAAGTGATACGAAAGCGTTAGGTCATTCTCGCTGTAACTTGAGTTAGAACTAACTGTGTACATAGCGGAACCCGCTGCGGAGGGCGCGGCTCCCAAGTCCAAGCGGGAGAAAAAGGAAGCGTTTAAGATTGATTTCTTAATTCCACCCGAAAAGGACGTCAAAACGATGGCGAAGGAGTTGTTTGCTCCAGTCACTCGCGGACACGGCATCACCCTTCCCCACTACAGCGCCCTGAAATCGGCAGGAAAGAAGAGTAACCGCAGTAAGAGGATGAAGGAAGAGAAGAGGAACGAGCATACACTCCCTGATGATATGCACTTCTCCAGCAGACAGCTAGTAACCCTATTCTTGAAACCCAAGTTCTCCGTAAGTAGTGCTCTGATTGTGTTTCGTGTCCACCTGATGAGGGTTTCAGTTGAAAATGCGTGGTCAAAGAGTCCGCTTTAATGAAACTGGCGACGGCGAAGTCGACGAGAACTTCTGGGCACAGGCCGCAGCAGATCAAGCAGCAGGTCTTCTTGCCCAAGATGGTGATGAAAGTGGGTTTTCACATCTCTAATAGGCGAATCATGTACTAAAGAATACATAGGCGGCGAAGCTCCCGCGCCGTTCAATACCCAATTCTTCAATGACGATGACGATGCCCCAGCTTTCGACGATATTTACGACGGTGATGGTAGTATGCCCGATGATGCAGGCGAACAAGACCTCCTGGCCGCGACACAGGGCATGAGTCGTCGAGTACGACCAGAGTTCGTCAACTACGCTCGACGAGCTAAGCGAGTAGACGTCCGCAAACTTAAGGAAAATATCTGGAAAGGACTTGACATTAAAGTGGCACAGAAAAATGAAGAGGACGAGGAAGATGAAATGGTACTTTATACTCTTCACTGCCACGCGGACCCCACTAATAAGTAATAAATATTCAGGATGTCGACCATCCACAATTAACTGATCCCTCCGAGGCACGGGACTTCAGTTCGGTCATATCTGGTTTACAACGGTCATATCCCAAGGACAAAATGGAAGATATCAGCACAAGTTTCTGCTTCATTTGTTTGCTCCATCTGGCCAATGAGCAGGGCTTGAAACTACAATCAACAGGCGGTCCCGGGAAAGATGATCAGGAGGAAAACCAAGAGACGACTTCGCCGTCACAACTTTCCGACAGAGTCGGAGATATTTGGTGTTTAAAGGTATGCACGCTAGTAATCCTGGTGGGAACATCAACCTCAAGAACCTTGAATACAGGTCTCCAGGGATCCAAATGCCACACCAGCTGCATAGCGATAACTTATACGTATTCTAGTCTCCGTCTAGTTATGCATTTCTTTGTATCTCGAGTAATGTGTTCCCGCCTTTATACTTCTCTATCTGTAGTCACCCTACATAGCGTGCTGTATGATGGTCTCCTGATCACCTCCGGCGTTGTGGTTGCTAGACATGCACTTGCGCGTGTGCGGCAACCCCAAGCATCGTTGCACTAGCTCAACAAATGCATGAACGCTGCTTATTGCAAGAACCACTCATGTCAAGCATCTGAGCCGCAGACATACACCAGCCTAACCAAGGACGATGTATAAGAAAAATGCCCGTTGCTGCAGCAATACATACCTGTTCCAATGTGATGATTTTGCCTCACCAGACTCTCATTCGCCGAGAGTGAAGCAGCCACATCCGGCTCTAGGCCATGATCATTGCGCTGCGTGGGCAACCAACGAACTAATGCTACCTTCACAACTCCTACAACTCTCTCCCCTAGTAACAGGTAAGTAACGGAAACAGTTCATTGAAGTACATGAGAGTAAGAAGTGCGCAGCAGAAAATCAAGAAGAGGTATCAAAAGTATATGGCTACAAGGATTGAGCTACAAACCCGATATTGATACAACATTAACGAAAAGAAAAGGAAAGGCAAACTGAGTGCTCTGGTCACCCTGAAACCTGAGTTATGTGGGGACGCCTGGTGTCCTGAATACCGCGAATCACCAGCTGAGGGCCCTCCTGGCCTTGCGGCGGCGCCACATGTTTTCATACTTAAGCCGATGTTTTGCATTGAGTTCCATAAACTCCTGGTAAGCTTGTTCAGAAAGCTCGATCATATCGGTGGTGGGCGTGCGGAAATGGAATATGGCCAGAAGGTCAGAAGATGCGATGCGCGCATAGGGGACAGGCGACGCGAGGAACAACCGGTCGCCAAATGGTACATATGTATACACATCCAGCCAACGGTCATGGCGAGCGTGCGATCGGCAGGCTACGATATCCACACTATCAGAAAACAAGTTACAACTTTTGAGTCAGCGAAACTGCTCACCCTGAATGATCATGACCTGGCGTTGCACGAGAGCTATAGCGACAGTGCCGTGGTTCATGGTGAATTGCAAGTAGAAGAATTAGATATGGATACAGCGAGTTTAACTGAAAGACGAGAAGGAAGGAATGAGGAACAGGCCAATGCAAGACCTGAGAGTCTATAGGTGGAGATTCTAGTAGAAGAGTGGATATTCCAATGAGGGACCCACAGTACCTGATCGAAGGGCTTAAGTACTCATGCTGCAAAACAGGTCATTGTTCTTCACATTCTGCGAACAGTACCTTAACATTACGACATTCTGCGAACGGTACCTTGACATTACGATGGAAAGCTGCCTCGAGCCCCTGCCTCGCAAGGCCGACAATAAGCAGATGCCCAAATTCGTTGGTCCTGGCTTTGTCGGCGTTTCGTCGAACAATCCTTCCGGAGAACAATATCACGACCATTGACTACCATATCAGGAAGGTGTTTATGAACACACTCCACTGCGGTCACTGGAGGACCTTGGCGGGAGACTTCGAACTCGACAACACCCGTAGCAAAGACCCCGAGGTTTGTCTATATTGTAACAAGGGTGTTTCTGACGCTGAGTTTGAAGCAGGAGCATACAATATAATATGTCGAAGTACAAGCGCAGGTTCGCAAATTTTTGCAATGCCTGGTGACCTTCGTCTGGCAGCCACAATTTGCAACCGCGCACGGGTGACTCTCTTGTTCTGCCTGGACGTGAGTTCTTCTTTCTTATGGAAGCTCCTGGAAGGTGGGTGAGCTTTTTGTGCTATTCGGGATATCAAGGTGCATTTGTAAACCCGCCAACCCTTCCCGATCGTGCTGTGGGAACAAGCAGTGCAGCGATGGTGTGGTAAGTTTTCGAATCCAGTAAACCAGAAGGTTTGAATGCAGCGTACTTCCAGGAAGTTTTTTTATAACTGACGATCATCATCGTAGGTAATGTTTCCTGTGTTTGCTGAGTGAACCCATATGTAGATTGTAATCCCGAAAACTGACAGCTGATAATGGGAATACCACATACGGACAGGGGTCATAACTGGATAACATGGTAACCGAAACATTCGAGAAAGCCGAAATAGCATCTTGAACTCCAGAAAAAGATAAGCAAACGACAGTTACCTCAAGGCAAACGGAGTAGGACGACGGTGCTTTGAGGTGTAAGTACAAGGCCGCACTGTCTCTATTTTGACTGTACGCATTGACCTTGTTCTTGGTAGAAACCGGCATCTGCTTCTGAGCAGGCCCTCGTACGGGTTTACCAAAGCTTGCTAAGGGTCTCCGCGGGGGATAGAACAACAACAAGAAATGAAGGTGAAAGTCTTCATCAACTTGTTGGTAACCCGAGTTCTATTCGAGTCTGGCTAAAGTGGCCTCCACTAATGCGTGACTCAATGGAACGTCGAAAAACTAGCCGATTTTCAATTTCGTTATAGACATTTCGGCGCTGTTCCATTGGAATGTCCCGCTCTCATCGGTTGTTGTTTCATGCTCCCAGACACTGCAAAAGACACAAATACCTTACACCCCCGTCGGCAGGTCGCATCGTCTCTTGAGCACAGTTAATGGTGGTTAGAAGTATTCCATCATAGAAATACCTCCAGAACAGCAAGGTCCTGATGGAAGGTCTCATTCTCGGAGCGACGCACACAATTTTGAGGCCTCTGGTTGTACCGACGCAAGACGGCATCCATGGAACTGTGAGACCGTGCCACTTCACCATGACAGAGTAATGGAATGGCTTGCTTCTGAAAACTTGGGCCAGTGGCGACAGGTTCGTGGTCCTTTCTATCGATGATTTCATGCTGTGGCCGAAGAAACCGATCGAGTTATGGCGGAACTTCTTCGTTTACGTGTGTCAGAACTGCGGTTCCTGCGGACACCGCTTGTCACTGCATTTTCCTTGCCATAGTAATTCGCTGCTCAATGACTGACACGCGCAAGTCGCAGAAATGCAAGCCTTATGAGAATGAGCGCTTGCATGGCAGGCCGTCGTTATGTTAGTACTCCAATGACGGGCTCCGAAGTGCACAGTTACCACGTGACTTTCTCAGGATAATTGGTAGCCCCTCTCCCACCTCGAGTTTCTGCGGGAAATGTGGCCAGACCGACAGGGCCGATGTAAGTCCGACAAACCCCAACCGACCCCCTTTCCCCGTAGGGTACGTCTAGGATTCCGCCTACCACTGCAATGGGGTTGCCTGGCCTTCCAACTTGGCTGTCCCTTTGAAAATACGTATGGAAGCCCATCAATTCACCCAGCAGTAAGCGACTTGATGATTGTGTGTGAAACCTCTCACAGATCTCCCTAGGCAGCGGCGCTACTAGTATACCTTCATATGGGTTTGCGGGTCCCATTCGCTGCACCAGATGTAGCTCCGGCACATGTTCAACTTCCGATATTAGGGATGTTCCTACCGCTCCGAGCCTAGCAAGCGCCAACTTACGGGATAACAATACGCAGGAGTTGTTGCTGATCGCCGCCCAGTGGCTTACACTATGAATCTAGTGCGATGATGTGGAGTGCTAATGTATTTGCCACCTTCAAGAACACAATAGAAGTCACGGAAGTGAATTGGAACGTCGCGCCTGTGGCGAAGACCTCCACTGATATCTGAGCCACAGCACGAGGACCGCCACAGTTCCGCACCGGCGGGCCGCCTGATATACTGCGGACACTTCACGTATACAAACATGATTCGACTTGGCCCCTCACGACTGCGGTTCCGCAAGCTGTCAAGCAACAGAACCCACTGAATGTGTTTGATTTGTCCATGCAATAACCAGGGAAATAAACGAAAGATGAAAACACACCTTTTTCAACTGACTTTAAATTTGGACGTGTGGCCATCAACACCAATATGTAATTCGGTTTCAGACTGTCGGGTGCGGCGTATCAGAGGCGCCAGTACCTTCCAACCATGGCTGCCGGCCTCCAGGGGACGCCGCTCGACAAGACCACCACTGAAATTGATTCTTGCAATCGGACCTTGCCATCAGACCTCCATGCACATAGTTCACCCGAATTTTCAATTCTGTCACTGATCGGCCAAGTGGGATGTGTAGGATATCCGCAGCTAGTAGCCAATAGGGGCTGATGTCTTTCGCCCCCGAATTTCATGTGTCGTTCGTTAACATCAACTTGAGTGACTGCGCTCACGCGCTGCCACCGATACGTGGAAGTGGCTATAGGCGTTGGCGTTGAGTTGATGGTGTAAATCTCAGTCGAGCTCAACATCAGGCATGTTGAGCAACCTCGCCCACCCAGGTACCCTTGGACCTGCTGAGAATTTACAACGGCCATTGTCGACGAGCGAGTCTCAGTTGTGCCTGTGCCTATGTCCCTACACACGAACCCACCCTCCACCTAGTCCTGGAGCCAGAGTTGGGACTGGGTCACGCAAGATTAGCTAGGTTTGTCATCTCCTGCGAGATTACTGCCTGCTTGTGACTCTCATTATCGTGCTTACGACTTGTTATTTCCGTCATCTACTACCTCAACTCCCGAAATAGTAAAGAACACGAAGCCATGCTACACGCCAACGCTGCCATGAAATTTCCGGCAATCCCCCAGATCTATTCGCTATTCCTATGATAGGGTCTAGATGGACCTCGCGATGTACACGTGCACTGTGTGGGGTCGGACAGGGTCGGGCACGTTCTGACTCGAGTCACGATGTAAGAGGACGCTGAGATACCCTAATCGGCGTAACCTTACCAGAGCCCGGTAACTTCTTGTGGTGGCTTGTCAATATCGCCCAACGGCGTCCCGCCGCCGCTACTTACTGAAATGAATAAAAGTCGGAATGTGATATATGACGCGCGCAGGATCTAACGCGACGTAAATATGAAGTTGAAGCTGTACGATGTTGGCTGTGGTTCCATGCTCACTCCATGAGAAACTTCGCTGGGTGCCAGTGCCTCACACAGCCATACAACCGTACTGCCGTTGTCATCGCCATTCAGTTATTTTCCCGTGGAACTTTTTCTTCTCCGTAATTCAAATTATATTTCGGTCGTAGACAGACGTGTGAGTTATCATTCCTGATGTAATAGAGACGTGATAACAAAGTGTCCACTTGACAAGGCATGCAAGCTTGCAAGCTAAATCCACAGGGCGGGCTAGTCGATAACCAAGGGACCATGAACGACACCACAACAGCAACCTGTAAATCGAAATGTCCAGCATTCGAAAGGCAGGGGGGATCCTGCAAACAAGAAAGCAGTCGCAAGGAAGAATATACACAAAAGGAAGATGCAACCTGGCGCTAAAAACGAAGCAAAGCTATTACAGACAACGAAAACGAAAGGTCTTACTTGAGGGATAACGGTTATAGTGGTCCGGGATATGCTATAGTAACATGAAGGGTTGGCTACATTTGGTTCTCGTCATTGTATTGGTCTTGGATGTCGTTCGTGGGATTCGGGCATCGCCTCGGATCATAGAATCATCGAGGTCCCGGCCGCAACAACCCTCGAACGGTGCACGGGCAGTTCCGGGAGAGGCCTACGAAGGCGTAGCTGGGGCTGCCAACTGCCTTTTGAGACGTGGTGGAGGGAAACCAGTATCAAATCTTCAACTTTGATATGCTTCGGGCCAACCTTCCACCTGCGGTCAGCATTTGTCTCCATAGGTTGCTTCGCTGCCCACTGTAATGATCGTCAAAAGAAATTCTAATGCACAGCTATCCAAGCGTACCTCAATGAAACGCTTGACACAGTTCGCTAGGTTTTTGGCCAGCTTGGCTCGAGTGATCGGTCCTTTGGGCGTTTTGAAGTCATTGGTGGGGATTTGCTTGGTCCACGGGCGATAACCAGGCCACTGTTTGAGCGTGATGAGCGAAGTGTATTGGTAATTTTACGAAGGGGCGCACCTCGATGCGGATGGACACGGACGGACCACATCCCGCAAACATTGGCTCGTCTTTGTCCTGCAAATCCTTGTGCTTAGACCTTATGGCGTCCTCCAGTGTGACACCGTATTCGTATGGATTACTGGAAAAGAAATAGATGATTGGCTTCAGTTCGCACTCAGCGATGTAGCGTTTCTGGTCCGCCTCCGTGTACGGACGGTATATTTTCTGGGGAACGAAGATTCCAGTTCCAGTCTCGATGATGGCGAATCTCTGAACCCAGAACCAGTTCGTGACGTGGGGTAGCATGGCCTCAGCTACTTCGTCCTGTGATTGGTTTGCATAGCTGGCTACTCGAAGATGTCAGGAAATCTTACGTCATCGTCATTGCTTTGCTCGACCTGCACACCCTCGATGGGTGAAACGGGTGAGAGAGCAGAATAAGGGGGTGACTTCGTTGGACTCTACGAAGGGTTCGTCGCAAGTTCCTTGAATCTCTTTAGATATGACCTACGAGGTGTGTAACCGACGCATCTAGCACCGAGTACGGTGAGGTATTGATACGGACGTCGGGTAGCGGGGTGTCCATCGCCGACCCCGGACCCGGCGTGAGAACAGCAGAAGACGGAGCACGAGTCGATACTGCTGATCCCCCGGAGTCATAATAAGGAGGGTGCGGTGTAAGTCGTCTTGTGTCGATGTGCAGGTCAGTCGGGTAAAGCGACCCTTGATCACTTCCTGAGGAAAGGTCCGGAGGGTGGAGGAGGTAGGGAAGCGATTCGTTGTTACCAAAGTCTTCGGCGTTCTAAAACGTGTTGATAGTCGTCATGTGCGTTATGTCATCGCTGTGGAATGGCTCACCGACAGACCCATCGAGGTCAAAGACAAACAGTTATCGCTTGGGACATAGTAGTCGAAGTCGGACGGCAGGAATTGAGGCTCATCGTAGAGTCCAGGGAATTGCTCTTCCTCTTGGTTGTCGCCCATGGCGGTGGGGGATGGTTGGTACTGGCTTCAACGGGGCATGGTTCCTTTATAAAAAAGGGGGCTCATACAGCATGTTGCTGTATTGGGTTGAATCGATCGGCGCTCGTGTATGTACTGTTTACTGGCACTCCGGAAACTTTGTTTATTACATTACGTCGGCATCTTGCCATATTGAAAACGGATTTTGCCTCCGAGGACAAGTGCTAACAGGAACACCTCCCACTGAATGCTGAGTTCTGATGTCAGCGCCGGAGTGCATCAGTGTGGGGTTAATAATATCAAAAAATTGAACGACGACCATGGCACATTCCATTAGAAGATCACAGCACGTTGCCACCGACAATACTTTCTTTTAGAAACTCGAAGAGAGAATGGGTACAAGCCGCCGTTTTCCCCAAGGACCGCCCGAGAGTGACGACCCATTCGGGTGTCGCTGTCAAGGAGGCCATCCATGACCCACGTCCATGACGCCGCTGTATGAAATCTTGGGGGATCTTATCAGAAAGAAGCGAGATCCACGATTCTGACACTGGCAGACCGGTTGTAACTACAGTACCGCGTCACCGTCGTTGCCTAACCAGTTGCATCGTGTTCAGCTCAGCCGTGGCTGGCAAAGGTCCTCTCAGTGTTGACAGGAGCCGTAGCCTCGGTAAGCCAAGCTTGGCCCAAGTTTATTGCTGCCGATTCGTGGAGCACTTCCTTATTTGGTCGACGTCTATTCCCACTGGCAATCGTTGCACGTTCAACAGTCTTCAACACTTGCCTTCGCGCTGAAACAATTCCACAATGTCATCTCTGGCAGGTGCTCTTGGTCAACCAATACACCAGAGTACTAGTTACAGCTCCGTATATGGTTTGTCTGCGCGGCCAGAGGACGTAGAAATGAGCCCTCCGGATTCCGAGACCAGAGATAGCCCCAAGGAGGAGGATAGCGAAGCGCACGTCGCTGGCGGTGGCGAAGGGATGGATGACCTATTTGGAAACGAGGCGGAAGAAACACGACCCGGGCGGGAGATCAAATCCGAAAGGTAAGCACAAAGTACACCTCTACTTTGTTGCGGCAACCTCACGATATACTTCATTGGCCGTCAGCATTCTTACTGGAACACCGGCGGCGGAATCGGGGTACGAATCAGACAACCTTTCCCAGGCCGAGCGGGAACGACGGAGAGCCTTGGAATATGCTGAGCCGGAGGAACCTGGCGGCGTCGCCGCCCCTCCTGCTCAAGAGTTTAATGTCAACATTCCCAACATCCCCATCCCACGTAGCAGCGATGGCCAAGTGAGGCTTTTTTGCGATGTGAAGATCGTATTAAATTTACACGGTTCATAGTATTGGGTCATACGCATGCCTAATTTTGTCAAGGTCGACTCAAAACCATTCCACCCCGACACATACGTCGGTCCTGAACAAGAAGACGATGAGATCTCCCAGAACGAAAGTGTTCGTGAGAAAAGTATGACTATCAAGCTTAAAGTCGAAAATACCGTCCGCTGGAGGTGGATAAAGGATGAGTTCGACCAAGACGTAAGTCCACAACTTGGCGTCCTTGCCGCGTTGCCGGTTCTCACAAGCCATCAATAGAAGAGACAGTCTAATGGACGGATCATCCGGTGGTCAGACGGCAGTTTAAGTTTGCGACTTGGCAAGGAATTATTTGACATCAACCAAACCTACGAAACGTCTAGCAGCTTGCTAGGTAAACCAACTGCGGGGTCCCAGCCACCCGCATCACAAACCAGTCCATCGGCATCACAACAGACGCTCGCGGCGTCGAAGCCCCAGGCCCAGGGCCTAACTTATCTCGTTGCACAGCACAAGCGATCAGAAGTCCTTCAGGCAGAAGCGGCGGTCACCGGGTACATGTCGTTGCGGCCAACGGGCATGCAGTCCGAGACCCACCGCATGTTGGTGCGTGCCGTCGGACAAAAACACAATAAGATCGCCCGTTTGCGTATGGCTCCTGATCCAACGAGGGACCCTGAACGGGAGAAAATGGAGTTGATGAAACTTTCCGCCAAGAAATCCAAAAAGAAAACTGAGGAAGGAGAATTTTCAACTCGCAGAAAAAGGACAGGTCATTCAAGGAAACGCGCTAATACAGATGTCTGGTCGGATGACGAAGAGGAACCCGACTACGAGGGGTCTGATGCCGATGACGACATGGGAGGTTCAAGTTCCGCCAAACGCAAGATGTTACAGGAAAAACGGAAAGGTCCAGGAGAATATCAAGAGGATGATTTTGTTGTGGCAGATGAGTCAGACGAGGACGGCGAATTTGGGGGAGGGACATCAGACAAGAAACGTCGCCATCGCGACGAGGAGGAAGAGGATCCACTGGATAAGCTTGATGCAAAGATTAGTCAATTAGAGGATGAGAGAAAACGGAAGAACCAAGATTCTGGAGGTGAGGTGGACGATGCCGATCAAGACATGGATGTAGAAAGCGAAGAAGACGAAGAAGAACACAGAGTACGAAAGGCTGGCCTTGGAGCACGGAAAAAGAGAGCAATAGCTTTCGATGAAGAGGAGGAATAAGACACCGTTCGTTAGCGTCATGTCTCCTGGTGCTACTTACTACATCTGCAAAACTACCCGAGGGAGTGAGCAGGTTATACCTGCCTCCGTTTGGAAGTGACTTGTCGTAAGACTCGCTAAGACACTTGTTGGCCAATGGGAGAGCTCGCTTAAGTGCGGAAGAGCTGTTAACAGCCGCGTCGCGTAGCTGTTTCCCAGATGTACCTTGGGCAGTTATCTCCCATATACGGTAGCTCTAATTCGTTCAAAAAGGTTTTGGAGGGCCGAATGCTGTGCACTACAGCTTGATTATCCGTATTCCCTTCAAGAAGGTTATGCAGGGTAAGAATCGCATGTTCACGGAGATCTTTCGCCAAGAGAACGTTAGTGTGGGGCAGACCGGTTCGACTGCATGGCACTCACATGGATTGCGCTCGTCAATAACACACATATTCATGATCACAGGTATGCCGTTACACTGGCGGATGCGGTCTTGTGTTACCCTGTCCCCGTGACAAAGAATGCCAACTAAGCGCACAAGATCACGTTTCAAATACGGAAAACCGGTTGGGTCAGTGACATCAACCGGACATTGTTGCCGGCCGGATTGCGCGACTTGCCTCCCAAAATTTACTTTCGGAAGAAATATATCCAAAAGTTGTAGCAATTCTGATCGCAATCAGTGTGTTGGCTCAAGAAAGGAAGGCGCGAACACTAAACACCTACCTACTATATGCTCGGCGATGGGGCGACCATGGGGGGAGGTGGACTCTCGAAAGGGTGGCCAGATCCCTCCTTGCAAATGTGTTGCTTCTGACGCCAACATAATACTTGTGATACATTGCGTCACGAGCACGAGAGCTTCGCAGGCCTTGGGTAGGATGGGGTCCGGAGCCGCGCGAATGCCGTTGTCTCGGTGTGCGACTTCGGCTCGATCAGAGCCAACTACATTTCTAATAGCGCCACTGGAATACATTGAAAGTTCGAAAAAGCACGCAATTAACATCGGGGTCATTCCAGAAAAGTGTGTTTCGGAGGGCGAAGACTGAAGGTATGAGTCCAATAATTTGAGTAATACGGTTTGGTGAGGGACGATAACCTCTCCGTCCCTATTTTGGATTTGAGTGGAACCACCAAAAAAGAGGGTGAGACTGACGCCTTCAAATTTCCAAACAAGTCCGGCGCAAAACCTCCACTAAACAAGTGGGAAAAGAGATGGTACCTTGACAAGGTGGTCAACTCGGAGGTAGAAAAATCACCTCAGAACCCTTACCCGTAGTCAAATGCCCTACCTGCATCACTAGACTCCTCAGCGTCATAGAGATCAGTCATACGATCCAACAAAGTGATGCAGATCCGGACTCCAATTGGCGTGTGGACTAATAACGCCCTAAGGAATACCTTAGCAAACGGAGATGAGATAACGCGTCAACCTACTGGCGTGCGCTGTTATCATAGATACAGTTTACCAGTAATACTAGGAGAGACAAGATTGTCCGGGGGTCGGGTAAGCCCAGCACTCTGCTACAAGGACTGTTGTCAGGCGCCACCCCACAGGATGCTTCATCCGCAAAAAAGGGCTTACACAAATATAGCTTGTTCCTCTGGAAGATTCATGTGTGTCTGCCAGAGACTTGACATAAGGCTTTCATTTGTTGTGACCATATTTGAAAGTGTCTGAACCACCATACGAACGACGTGGAATGCTGTAGGCGCGCCCGTTACCCGTCGCCGCTCCCTCCAGAGGTGATAACTCACATCCAGGATCTTGAGATGCTGTCCAAGAGCTGTATGTATGCAATATTTGCCTTAGTGCGGGTTCATTTTCGCTTTTTCGTCTTCAATCAACACGTGTATGAAGAGATGGAATGGAGGACTTACAAAGCATGCTCTTGGTTTTTGGCCACTCCAGCAACTAGGTTCCTTGTAAATCTGGAAGTGCTGATAACGATAGTCCGAATCAATTCTTCATCCCGGTGTGTGGCGGCCTTCTCAACAAGCATGAGCCAAAGGCTCCGAAGGTTGGGCCAGATAGTCGGTTGATCAGCGCCCGCCGCTGTTCTGCCGGGAGTTTGTTCGCGTCTCACGGTTTTGTATTTGATTCAATACGTACCTGAGTCCCTCGTCCCTGGCGAGGTCAACGGCAATATCTTCCAGTGCCCGGCTTAGTTGGGGAATGGCCTCTTCACTTTCCCAACTCAGTAAACTCTTGGAAAGATCGCAGAACCGAACGTTGATGGAGACTTCTTCATTTGCGCTCATCGTAGCTCATGACAAAAATGGGAGAGGGAGAAGGAGAAGGGGCGTTCGCGATACACCTCAAACTTTTTGGTTGTCAAGTTGCAACGCCTGTGGGGGCCGTGCAAGTGATTGCAGTCGTGCCAACTATCAACTGTTATGTCATACACCGAAGAATATCATCGTTGTTTCGTATTACCCGATTTACGAGTACTGCCACCGCGAGCCACCACGTTCTTGTGACGATCCCTGGATATTGACACCCCAGCGTCAGAGTCCTGCAGGTAAACGTTGACGACAGAAACAAACCTGCGGAGATGTTCATTGCGTTATGAAACGAGGCTACCACATACGCATCACCGTACACAGAAAGGTAGAGATATCTCAGTCTCATCCGCACGCTCTCGACACTTTCGTACCGGAAACGCTATTCCAACGTCTGCCATCGCATCGACCAAAGTCGACGCTGAAAAAGAACGCAGTCTTCGACCCTGCCCGCAAAGATTACAGATACGGACCCATTCGATTGGACTGGACTGATTTCGAACAACACATGAGCACCACTGGATTGTCTAGCGGCAAGGAGAAAGACCGCATCGGAGGTACGCAATCTGAAAGGCGGGCAGTGGAAGTCATAAAACACTTGCATGACAGGACCTCTGATAGCGAATTTCGTTCCAAAAACCAAGTCTGGCTCGACTAATCTGCCGGAAGGAGTAGTTCATCTCTACCGCGACTGCGAACAACCTCGAAGTAGCGAGACACAAGCGTCGGGGGGGCCATCTGATCCAGCAAGCGGGTCAATCTCGGATGACGGGACCACGCTCGGGGTTTTGTCTGTTCCATCATGGATGACCCCCTCTGATTTTCTCGCTTTTGTTGCCCCAGCTGCAGAGGGGATGGCCCATCTTCGGCTGATCCGGTCAGCGCGTTCGCGCGTATTCGCATGCAATTCTTATGCACTCTGACTTGTTTTTACTCAGTGACTCTATGCCCAATCGTTCTATAGCCATTTTAAAATTCCGTCGCTCAGAAGAGGCCACCGAATTTGCCGAAGCTTACAATGGAAAATCGTTTAACTCGATGGACGTAAGTCTCGCGCACGAAACCCTCCAATACTCTGAATGGCTCTTCGTTGTTTTCTAGCCAGAGACCTGTCATGTCGTACGCATTTTGTCCGTGGAGATAGAGACCGAAGACGCTGTCCAGAGTATGCTAGGGCGTTTGGTGTCCCCACAATCATCGACATACGAGTTGCCCACCTGTCCAGTGTGCCTGGAACGTATGGATGCTGCAGTTACTGGTCTCATCACTGTACCTTGTTCGCACACGTTCCACTGCATGTGCCTGAGCAAATGGGGCGACAGCCGGTTCGTTTGTTTCGGTATCCGAATCTCCCCCCTCTCAACCCGATTCCGTCCTCCAGGTGCCCAGTCTGTCGGTATTCGCAGACATTGCTTTCCTCTCACCCAACCACTTCGGGGTCGCGCTCGCGGCCCATCCCATTTGCCCATACGTCTTCCCCGTCGATGTCCACTTGTGTCGACTGCTTGTCGACGACGAATTTGTGGATATGCCTTATCTGCGGCAACATTGGTTGTGGCCGCTATGGCCGAGCTCATGCGCATGCACATTACCAGAACACGACTCATCTCTACGCCCTCGAACTTGAGACACAGCGCGTTTGGGATTACGCCAGTGATGGCTATGTTCATCGTCTCATCCAGAATAAGGCTGATGGGAAGCTCGTGGAATTGCCTTCTGCTGCGTCGTCGATGGGTACCAATGCGAGGGACGACGGTGCTCTAGGACCGTCGCATGCTGACACGCTCAACGCCGAAAAGATAGAGGCTATCGGTATTGAGTATTCGTATCTACTCACGTCCCAGCTCGATTCTCAGAGGGAGTTTTACGAAGAGCAGACTACTCAATTAAAGTCCCAGGTAGAAGAGCTACGTGGTCTAATGGAAAAGTTAACCCGAGACGTTGAGAAGGAGCGAGCCGAGGCGCGGCAACGTGAACAACAACGTCGTCGAGAAGAGGATGAAAAACTGGAGGCTGTTCATCGAGAGAAAGCACGAGCAGAAAAAAAGGCAGAGAAGATTACCGAGCTTGCGCGGAGACTTGAAAAGGAGCTCAAGGAAGAGAAGGCAGTTAGTGAAGGTCTGCTCAGAAACCTGGAGAAAATGCAGGAGAATGTCGAGCGTTCAGAGAAACAGAGGGAAGAATACGGCACTAAGATAACGGAGCTACAAGATGAACTTAGAGATGTCATGTTTTTCCTGGAGGCTCGTTCGAAAATCGAACAAGGAGAAGGAGTTGAAGGAGAGGCGGCTGGCGGTTCGATTGAATTGCCTCCGTCATCGGCTACGAGGAAGAAAAAGGGAAAAAAAGGATGACGACTGGTAGCCTTGGAATGACTCGCCGCCTGCAGCCCCCCGTTCCTCGCAGCCAAGCAGGTGATATAGTACATAGTACGTCATTCCGGATAACTCACCGTAGATGCCGATTGAATGCTGTGATTGGATCTGCGTCAGAAAGTTTGGAAGGGACCTCGTTGCAGTCCCGTTTGCCCCACAAATGGCATAGTACTGTCAGGAGACATTTATTGGATTGGCTTTCGATTATTAGCATGCTACATGTAGACCCGACCCGAGAAGAGCCCAACTTCTGGTTTGAATACCGCCCGGGGTGGTGTTGCCATGTCAAACGATGTGGGCACCTAGCAACAACACTGTGTACCGATCGCCTGGGATGCGGGCACGAAGGGCCCGTACTTGATTGATCACAAAACAAAACAGGAAGGGCCCCTAATTGGGCATCACACGAATGCTTCCGATTCTGTTGTGAGGAAACCTGATTGCAGAGGCAATGTCGGATCACTACTCCCAGACATGAGGATCGGCCCTCTGCAACATCATCCCGGCACATAGTTACCCCGTCGCGAGGGTCCTGCCACGAGCGTGCCCGTCGTGGGCTGGAATCTTCCTCTCGCATATATGGTCAAATGTATTTGCATTCCTGGGCATGCACGTGCATTGGATAGTTGTCCACAGGAGAAAAAATAAATTCACATACTACCCATTAATCACGTCATTTGCGGGATTTGTGACCCGATGACGAAGACCATCATCTCCGCTGTAAAGAGCGGTGCCAGTAGCGTGCACTGGGACTTGCACAGTATCGGCGCGATCATCGTTATCCTTTTCGCCCTTTGCGACGCCCCTCTTTCGTAACTTTCTTGTTTTTGATCCCTTTCGAGAGTCCCAAATTATATACAGAATGATCTCCGAAAATGCAACGATGAGGGCGGTGGCTACAGCCAACAGAGCTCTCTGGAGGGGTCAAATCCCATGAGCATGATGCCGCATTCAAGAGGTGGGGGATGTCTAACTCACCCATTCGAGTTTGAGTCCGGTCCACTCGCTGGCCCACCACGTGGCAGCACCTGTTCCTGCGACGCTGAGCACGCCATTCACCACTGTCGCAATAGCTTTCCTAGTCTCTGCTGCCCGTTTACTTTCCTCGAGCGGGTCATTGGCGACGTATAGAGGGAAATGTTTCTCCGGCGACGTGCGAGAACCTGCGAGTAGAGAAACCATCGAGTAGGACTGTGGATCGAGTGGCGGAGAACAGTCTTGCAAGACTTTCATTCCTTCTGGTGTTCGGGTCCATTTCGATACCCTTTGTAGAATGTCGTAGGGTATGACAGCGACATTGGTGGTAGGTCGCTCATCGGAAGACACGTATGGCGCAAGGTCGTCGGAGAGTTTCGCTGGCGTGATTTTCTGTATGGCCGCCAGCGTTTCTCGAAGGTGGGTTTCCAGAGAGACGTTCAGTCTGTCTTTCGCCATCTTGAACGAGCAACTAGCGCTGGTTTCGACGCGGTGACCAACTGTGCAAACTGCGCTGCGCCACCAACTTCTTGATCAATTCACCACCAGGAAACCTATTCTTTGAGCGAAACGTCTCAACGCAGCCTGCGGATGCTCAGACAATCGCTCTGCACACGCCGTGAACGGATCCGTTGTTACGGATAGGTGCAAGCGCTGGGCACTATTTCCAGAGTTCCTTGCTCTCTGTGTGCATTACGAACGGATGGCAAGGCACATACGTTGTACGTGTACCGTTGGTGAAGTTCACCCCCCAGGCAGTGCATGCGACAAACGGGCCATGTACCTGTGTATACCAGTGAGCATGCGGTGTGCTTTATCATTCTGTACGTGTCGGATTCATGTGTTCGCACTGCTTGACAACGTTGACACGACGGACCGGACACCCCGCCTCCGCCGTGGCCAGTCACCCCTTACCCGCACCCGCTTTCCTTGTGATATCGGAGAAGTCGCCTACCTCCGCCACGGCAGGTAGGGTACCTGTTCTTGACAACTTAGTCCGTAGGTTTGCTCATGCTCGCAAACTGTGTGGGCGTTGTTCAATGGACTGGGGTGGGCGCCACCCAAGATCGCTCCTGTCACAAAGACATGTACGGTGACGACTCGATCCCTCCAGTCCCTTCCCTTCTTCAGTAACTGCGTTGGCTTCCAGCCCAAAGGGAGTCCATTCGACTCACTCAAGTTGGTTATTGTGGTTTGGAGAGCATGCTTCACAACGTACAACTGAAACCTTGCCTACTTTCGTAATATGCATCGCGCAGGCGCTTCTCCCTGGCGTTCAAGTTAAATCCGCCTGCGGTACCTGAGCAGGACAAACGATGGGCTCGTTCGAATCTACGCAGGCGCCTACGCGTTGGAGGCACTACTGCTTTGACTCACTTCAGATTGTGAAGACCAAGGAGATATAACATTTAGGCGCCTTGAAGGTGGGCGAGACCAGTATAGTCATCCCAACACCTGATGCATTTGGCCACGGACCATTTCCATTGTTTCCCCCGTTGCTGGAACTGCCCTGGACGACGACTCTAGGCTGGATTGGAGTATCAGCTAAATTGCCGACTGTAAATTTGGGACACGTTTCTGTCTGTCAATCCTGATGTGACACGATGATTGTTACGCTTTCACCAGCTCATTCGCCATCGACTATGTCTCAGCCCACGGGGATGGAGACGACGACGAGCAGAGCGCCGCTCGTCGTACTTGGACCCTCCGGAGTGAGGAAAGGCACGCTCATATAGCGTCTCTTTGCGGACTACGCAGACAGGTTTGCCTTCAGCATATCTCATACGGCGTGATTTCATCTCTCGACGTTGTCTCGTGAACTTGCCATGGGAAAAATCGATCATCGGCGTCTACCATACATACTGCAAGATACTACCCGTGCACCGCGTCTTGGCGAGACAGAGGGAAGGAATGCCACTTTATTACCCAGGATGCAGATGCATTCTTTCTCGAGCGAGAACGCGTTCATCGAACGCGCGCAGTTCTTCAGCAACTTTACGGTCCTCAATGTCAGGCGCGTCGCGTCTCCGATGAATGCACGTCAACGACATCTGACCAGAGCACGGATGTCCAGGGTGGCAGGCAAGTCAAGAAAACCGATTTAACATCCCGTCTACGTCTTCATCTCTCCCCCATCGATGGGAGTGGTTCGACAACGTCTGCATCGTCTTGCGATGGATGCAGACGAAGCCGTTCAAAAGCCCTTCACAACTGCCATCGTGCAGATCTCGTACTCGCAAGAGCAGGGACTACATTATCGTCAACGACGACCCCAACATCGCGTATAGCAAGTGTAGAGCGTTGGAGTGGTTGGACTCGACTTCGGTGGGATGAACTGAGCTCGTAGTGTATCGTGTCGTAACTGTACATGTGCCTCTGCATGTGTGTCCGTCTGACTAAGCACACTGTGGCTGTATCCTTGCCTCCTGTCCCTGGGCCTCCCTACTCCATGTGCCCCCTTCAAAAAATGATGACGTCCTCGTCGTCTGCGCGCGCAGCTATACCTGCTCGCCCTCTCTCCGAGACGCTTCGTCTATGCCCTCTCCGCCGAAGTACTTCCCTCCTCTGGGGGATCCTTGCCATCCTCGCCCACACCATCCTGCTCGTCGTCTCCACTGTTCTCTTCCTCTTCTGCGATTTCTTCTCTCTCGGCTCTCGCGCCCGTGTTGTTCCCAGCTCCCCTTCCACTCTGTTGTAGTTGTTGTACGTAGCGTTGTTGGTCACTGTGTAGACCTGTGCCCTCTCTCGGTTCGAACGCGCATAGGTGTCTCGCGCTGAATTCACCTTCGAGTGGTGTGCCTGCTAGGGTTTCCAACCTGTAGGAGTTTCTCAGATGAGTGATGATTCTGTGAGGAGTGGACCACTTAGGTAGTAGTTTCTGCTCTGTTCTGAAGGTGTAGTCCAGGTTGTTCCGGTATATTTGTACAAGGTCTCCTATGTTGAATACTACTTCTGCTGGCTGTTGTTTCAGCATGTGATGATTGAATGCTGTTTTTCGTTTGATTGCATGTTGCACTGCTTTGTCATAGCCATCTAGTCATTGTTGTGTGGTGTACACCATGTGTATTGCTGCATTGAGTGCTGACAGTTCTATGGTACTAGATGTTAGCTCTGTGTGCTTTGTGTCAATGACCAAACCTAGGAGCAGTTCTTTTGGTGTGAACTTGAGAGATGGAAGGAGGCAATTGTTCATGGCCTGGACCACATCATCCAGGTGGTCTGGCCACATTCTTGGCAGTTTCTCCCAACCATTGTTCTCCACATTGTCCTCTCCCACATTTGGTGCACACAAGCATTTGAGAATGTGTAATAGCAACTTGTTAGTTCCTTTGACTAGTCCATCGACCCATGGTGAGTATGTGGCTACTACCTGGTGTGTGCATGACCACTTAGTGCAGTACTCCTTGACCAATTCATTATTGAAGTGGTGACCTCCATCTGTCATGAACATTTCTGCAGCAGTGAAGCTGTTGAAGATGTTTGCCAGGCTGTCCACTGTCATTTTGGCTGTACCTGCTGTTTTGAATTTAATGACCCAAAGGTGCTGTGAAAACATGTCTAAGAAAAGGCCTAGCATGTGGTACCCACCCTTGCCTGTTGGCATTGATAGGTAGTCTCCAACTAGTAGCTCAAACAGGTGTCTTCTTGTTATGGGCTCTAACAGTGAGTTTAGTTTGGGCATGCTGAAGTTTTTGCATTTTGCACAGTCATGTATGGCCTTCATTACCACAAGATCTATTTTTGGTGCATAGTAGTGATCTGTTAAAGTGATTTTTAGTGTGTCCCGACCCCAGTGTCCTCTGGTTTTGTGCACTTGCTGTGCCTTTTCTTTGGCCTCTTCTTGTGAGATACACTCTACCTTACGTTGCAGCCTGATACTGGTGCTGCCATACAATCTCCATAGCTTACCCTCCTGTATCATGTACTGCTTTGCCCAATGTCTTGCCTTACTATGGTCATGAATGGGTGTGTTTGTATCAGTGTTGAGTATGGCATCTATGACCCCATGTAGTCCATTTAGTCACAACATATAGGTAGCCTGCATGCCAAAATGCCAACACTTATATAGACCCTGCGATGGGCCCATCTAAATAGATTAGCCATGACACATGGACAGGCCTGAGGGCCTATAGTGAGAGCAACATATGTACAGGCCCATAAGCACAATTCCACAACATATGGGAGGGCCTGTGGAGGGTAAGGATGCTGCAACATATAGATGGTCCCATGATCAAGTAAGTATGCTGAGCTACTGTAAGACATGGATGGGCCTGTCCATGGTAGGGTGCACCCCAGTCACAGTATCAGGATGGGCCTGCCTATTGTATCATGAAGAAGGTTGCAACATATGGATGGGCCTGCCCATCATATGCTTTATAGGGTCACAACATAAAGAGGGGCCCCTCTACAATAGATTACAGAGTTGGCAACATATGGAAGGGCCTGTCTTTGGGATAATATACCCCTGTCACAACATATAGATGGGCCCATCCATAGCAAGATGTACACCTGTTGCAACATAAGGACAGGCTTGTCAGTAATATCATTGACAGCATCACAACACATAGACAGGCCCATCTAGTAAGATGCATCCCTGCCACAACATAAAGATGGGCCTGTCAGTAATGTCATTTATAGCATCACAACATATGGACGGGCCCTTCTGTAATACCATTTATACCATTGCAACACATGGGCAGGCCTGTCCATAGTAAGATGTACCTGTCACAACATAAAGACAGGCCCTTCAATATATATCATTTACAGGGTCACAACACATGGATGGGCCTGTCTAGTAAGATGCACCCATGTCACAACATAAAGATGGGCCTTTCAGCAATATCAATTACAGTGGTCACAACACATGGGTGGGCCCATCAATAGCAACACATATGCCTGTTGCAACATAAAGACAGGCCTGTCAGTAATATCACTTACAGTGTCACAACACATAGATGGGCCTGTCAGTAATATCAATCACACAGTCACAACACATGGACAGGCCCATCAGTAATATCATTTACAGTGTCACAACACATAGATGGGCCTGTCTAGTAAGATGCACCCCTGTCACAACATAAAGACAGGCCCATCAGTAATATCATTTATGGCATCACAACATATGGAAAGGCCCTTCAGCAGTATCATTTATGCAGTCACAACATAAGGATGGGCCCTTCAGCAGTGTTATTTATATGGTCATAACATATGGACAGGCCCTTCAGTAATATCTTTCATATCACCATAAAACAAGGACAGGTCCATCTAGTAAGATCCACCCCTGTCGCAACATAAGACAGGCCTGACACCAATAGCATGTATAGCATCACAACATATTGATCAGATCACAGCAAAATATTGAGGCAAGCATCCTGACATGCCATAATTTTCCAACAAGCTGCAAGCAGCTCACCCACTATACAACTCCAACCTCATCCACCCCAAGCATGAATACTATGCAAGACATGTCTAAAACCCCCCATGGATGGTGAATGGAACTAACAGACTGCATTGCATCATACATGAAAGCCAGATTTCAAGAGGAGGTATTCAGCAGACCTCACACCCTTCCAGATATATCGATTCCATTTCTGGTGTTATGTGAAGTGGATTGCATATTGTCAGTAATCTCACAGGCCTATCATTGCCCAAGTAAGTCCATCATAATGGTGTGATGGAAGTTTTCATCTTTCTGCAGTCAATGTTGGGAAAAATTGGGGTGGAAAAACCTGCAATGCAGAAGCTGCTGAGAGATACATGGAAGTGACTGAGCCATCCATTCTGGTGACTGACTCAAACACCGTCTGCATTTGGTATTTGCCAGATGCTCTCAGCCCAAAAAGAAGGGTAAGGGAATGCAGAATCTCATATTCTACTGACTTAATACAATGGCAGGCTGATGTATGGAACCACCTTCATCTTCTGAGGGAACCACTGCAGGAGAGCATAAAGGCTTCCCCACAGGCATGGCAGATGGACAAGTCATATTTCTGCAATAATGCTAAGTTGAAAGGTGCCATCAACCTGTCACCTGCATGGTTTCAACAGGGTCATGGGGTGGGTGATCATTTCTTTCCTTGTGAATAAAGTGCTCATCTGTCTTGAAGCCCCAAAATGGCTTCCCAGAAGCCTCACCACTGCTCAAGTCCAGGATGGAAAACACTTCTACAAGGGAATGGGTTGACCAAATGTCTGACACCAATGCCCTGTTATCTGTGATCCTGCATGTCATCCATCCACAAATGTATGCAGATGGCAGGGAAGCATTGATCCACCTTGGCAAACAGGTGGAACAGCAGGTGGATTTGGATATGAGCTCCATACTGCTGATATGGAGCTCCACATATAGCAGCATGTTTGTGATGGTGAATTGGGCAACTTGTTACCACAGGGATATCAATGGACAGGATCCATGGTATGACATGCTGGTAACCATGGGCAACTACCTGCCCTTGGACTTTGTCATTCCAACATTGAATCTGCAGCTGCACTACAACCCAGGGATAATCATTGCATTTTCAGGTTCAGCATTGGAGCATGGGGTGGGAGCTGTAGACAGTGACAGAGCATACCTGGTGTACTACATGCATGCCAATGTACATCAGTTGGTGCACATTCCCATGTGTCAATCACTGCAGATGGACAACCTACTACCTAGACCAGTTGCAACTGGAGAACTGTTGATTTGAAGCTGCAAAATTTAATGTCAGATTTAGTAGGTGATGTGGATCTTGTATTTTATTAGGATATGCTGGCTCTTGAACTTTGGACAGGTGGTGTTGCCAAGATTTTGCAAATGGGTGGGTGCTTCAACATCATAGATTGGGCAGGTACTCAGAGCTAAAGGGTGTGCATCATAAACTGCAAAAAAAATAAACCTACTCAGGCCATCATGCAGATGGATGGATTGTCAGACATCACATGGATGGGTGGGGGTTCAGACATCATGCGAATGGGCAGTATCTCATAAATGATTGACATTCACAGCAATGTATATTCAACCAACTCCACAGTCAATAACATGTAAACTATTGAAGCAGCATGCCCAACAACCCATGCAATGCCCACCACCTAGCATAGAAATGGTCAATTTGTCAACCCCAACCATTGAAGTTTACCTGCTCCTTGATATGGCCATTGAGATGGTCTGCAATTGGCGCCTCAGGCAATGGCCATAAGCCCTGGTCCATCATCAACTATTTGCAGTGATGAGAATAAGTGGCATACCTTAAAAAAATCCCAGGCCATGGAAAACAATCACTTGCCTTGAAATCTTTGGGAATCCACTGCATATTCCTTGGAATGATATAGCCACCAAGGGAATGCAAAGCTGGAATTGGGATCAGCTGTGTGTGGGGTCCAATGTGGGATGATGGTGCTGATATTGTCAATTATGCAAAATGCGCTAAGGGGAATTAGCTGCATTTGATCATGGAAGCTAACTTCATCATCTTGGTGTCTGAGGTACACATGGTAGCATTCTGGGAGGGGAGGAGTATAACTGGAATGCAACACTGTCACCAGAATCAAGCTATTAAGCTGATTCTGAAGGAATTATGTATCAGTCCCACATTGTGAAAAATTGATGTAAAACCTACCAAGTCCATTGCTAGGTTTGCAAACCAATGCACAGGCCATCCTGCGATATCAGCAGTCTGCTTCAGATGTACAGAGGCCACCTTGATCTGGCACACCAAGTAGAGGATGCCCATCTCTACCACAGACTGGTGAGATGGGTGTGATTGGCTGGCAATGAATGGCTTGGGACAATTTTCAAAGGTGGAATGCAGATAATGAATGACTTCCATCAAATTGAGCATATTGACAAGTTGAAGGCCCTGAGAGGCTGCACCATACTGGTCCCTTGCAGCTGTGCCCAATTCTCTTGCAATGGCATTCACAGCCTGCACAAGGTGCCTATTGAGGGTGGGATTGAATGGCATGTCACTGGGAGTGGTGTTTCCATGATAGTGAGATACTGTGGCATGTAAGGTGCACAGGACCAAAATTATCAATGTCAAAGGTGTATCAGATTAAGCTCATGCCCATACCTTGATCACAACATGGAACAGGTGCCAATCCCCATTGTTCCATTTGAAGAGATTGCTGTGTGGATGGAAGTTCACCTACATAATCGATGGATATCACTGATCACATGAATAGAACCAAATAAATGCTCACTGTTGCATATTTCCTCAAAAAGATCCCTCATCTCTGATCAGTCAGGCATGCCAAAAGTCAAACAGTTTGCACCATTGTCCTCATCTGCTGCCAAGTCAAAAGATTCGATGGGTGCATTTGAAATGAGTGGGGGAGGTGTTGGTTCCCTCATATCCTGCAATCAAGCAAGCAGGTTAGTCGGAGAATCAGGTCGAGGAGATCAGTCCCTCAGATTTGATGATTTGCAGGTGATGGGCAGAGGAGATGGTTCCTGCACATTCTGCAAGTCTTCCAGAAAATTGACCTGCATAGTAATGTCTTGTGCAGGTGTTGAAGACCCATCCATCCTGTTTTATTTCTTGTGTGTGACTGGCAGTGCCAATGGTTCCCATGCATTCAGCAATTGCTTGAGTAGATCCACATTCATACCATCTGCTGGGGGAGCAGTTGGTTCCTGTTCATTCAGGAACTGATTCATTAAGTTGTCATGTGGATCTGTTACTAGAAAATTAGTTTGTTTGTTAGCTTGAAGGGCAATCATGCCAACTCACCAGCCATGATTCTGCCCTCTGCCAGAGCAGTTGGCTCCCTTTCCTGCAGGAACTGATCCAGCAAGCTTTTGCATGAATCTATAGCAAAAGAATGTTTGTTGTTTAGCTTGGAGAGAAATCATGTTCACTCACTGGCCACAATATCCATGTTCGACCTTGCCATATCCACCCTTCCACTTGAGACAATTGGTGGAGGGGTTGGCTCTTGCAACTCACACAGTTGTACTAGTGTCTCCTCCAGATTTTTGGACTGCTTCACATGGGAGCTAGATTGCCTTGGCTCAATTGGTCTTACATTAGCTGTGGATGGCTCTCAGATGTGTTGGCCAAATCAGACTATTAATTGTATTTGTGTTGAATGGCAGGTTGCTATCACATATCACACAGTCTGTTCATTTGCAAAGGTTCCATCTATCAGGTTCCATCAGCTCTGGTTTTAGCAGAATGAGACCATCCAACTATCTCATTTTTTAAGTTTCAAGTTAACTATTCTATGTCACAAAGCCATGCATTCACTAAGCTTCCACCTATTGGGATACATTAGCAGTTGTTTTAGTAGAATGAGATTATCCTTTGCAATTCTGTTGGCTGTCTAGCCATTATTGTCTTTTTCTCACTCTTAAATAAAGGTTGAATATATGATGTGGCACAAGTGGTCAATTAAAATGGAAATACAAAATGACATCATATGTACTGTGGAGGAGTAACATGATAGACAGCCTCATTCACCCTGCTGTCCTATCTGCCCTTGTCTCATCTGCCAGAGGCCCTAAGAGATCGATGAGATCATCACCCAATGCTTGTCCATATACCTGAATATGCAGAGCCTCCAGCTCATGAGCCATCCTGTCCAGCATCTGCATGGTTTCATCCTGTTGTATTTGGAAATCATACATTTGATCCTTGTAGTATTGGCAGTGGGCCTCAGCATTGCAGAGTTGACATTCCAAATCTTCGATCTGCCCCCTGATTGTGTTGGACATTTGTGACACCTCAGTGATTGGGGCACAGATGGGTGATGGTGTGCTGGGAGTTGCAGTGGTTGCAAGTTGGATGGGTGCTGCTGTTGTTGATGGGCAGGTGTCTGCTTTGAATACAAGGGTTAACCACAATAATTAGTGTAAATGTAGAGTGATTAAACATACCTGCTTCTGTAGATCCCTCTACCTCCTGTGCAACAGATGGGCCAGCCTCAATGATCAAATCCACTCGTACAGCAGCTGGGATTGGGTGGGAATCCCTGTGTTTGAATGCAGGAATACAAATCTCTAAATAAAATTTGAGTCAGCATAAATACATGAAATTGTGAACATACTGAGTGAAGATCCCTCAGGGATCATCTCTCCCTGGTTGGAGGGCCCAACCCCAGCATTGATGGCTTTGGAAGCCATCGAAACATGTCGCTTTGGGGGACATTCCTTTGGGCTTTGGGATTCTTGGGCCTCCATCATCAGGGACAGACTTCGAGCTTGCTTTTTTCCCCTGGCTCATGATGGATTCCATCAAGTTGGGGCAGTGTCACTTTGGGGGATGTTCCTTTGGGCTTTGGGATTCTTGGGCCTCCATCATTGGGGACAGACTTTGAGCTCTCTTTTTCCCCTGGCTCATGATGGATTTTGTTGAGTTGGAGCAGCAATCCCACCTTTGGCATGGCTACATTGAATTTTGCGACCATCACACAGGAAGCAGGACTTCCCAGGGTTCTTGTAGCATTGGACCTTGCATCTGTGGCATGACTCACAGGAATGGGGGTTGGGGGAAGGTGTCCTTCTGGCAGCTACAGCAGCATGACTGTATAGTCTGTCTGACAGTGGACAAGGCTTGCATTTTGATTGGCCTTGAGTGGGAACATCTTCATCATTGTCAGTTTCTGCTGTTGCCTTCCTAGAGCAGGATTGATGTCTGGATTGATGGGACATCATGTTCATGGCAGCTTTGCACTTCTGCCTGCCTCATGCTGGTTCTTCCTTGTCATCCTCCTTCTCTGGCACCTCATCTTCACCCTCATCATCCACCTCCATCCTGTGCAAGCTATCCACTATCATTTGCTCCACCTCTGCCTCAGTCACTTTCTGTTTTCCTTCATTGCTCATAGGCATTTCAGTCTCTTGAGTGGGTGGTGTTGGTGTTGGCACCATGTGGGGCATAGGGAGGCCCAACCAGTGGTAGTCATACCAATGCTTGACAATGTTGAGCCACTTGTGGTTGGTCATGTCAGTTTTGGAAGGGGATAGGGCAGTCTTCCACTCAGGCCACAGGTGCTCAATCAAGCTGAGGTCTTCATGCCACTTTAGGAACATGTCAATGCCAATGAGGGTCATCAGAATCTCATCCATCCTAGCAATGAGGTCATGTACAGTGTCCTGAATGCATCAGTTAGTGAAAAAAATGTGATGATGCTATGATGCACTAGTTCATTGTTTATTGCCTTGATGACACCTCTCCACTTTGCAATCTTGTCCACCTTTCCCAGCTTGCTGCTTTCTGCAATATCCTTGAAGTAAATTTGAAGGATGCAGTTGGCCACAGCATCAAGCTCAGGCAATTTCTTGAAGAGCTTGCAAGATGACAATGATGACATGTTTCTGGTGATGAGATGATGGAGTAGTTTGATGGTGAGAGTGGTGATTGTGATTGGAGAGTGGAAGAGTCAGAGGTTAAAGATGGATGACAAGATACATGGATGTCACATTTTTTATCTTGCCTATGAATGATTCCCATGGCATGACAGCAATACCAGTACAAGTCAATAATCCTGAATGCATATATGAAGCAGAGGCTCAGATAAAAATATGATGCATTGTTCTGGAATAGCATTGCTGTTTGTTTTGCATGTTTCCCATCTGCTCCAATGGTGGAGCCTGGCTTGCAGCTACATAGACCAGTGCCTGAGATTCCAACTAAATAGGCAAATCATCCAATGTGAAACACAATTTATAGTGGGAAATTCAGATACTCTATAGTGCGAGAGGTTCCACTTTCTTCATTTCTTGTCTTCCTGGGCCTGTCTTATATTGTGACAGGGGGATAACCCAATTATGGATAGGCCCATCCATTTGTGGTGAGCTATCTATGATATCACAGATTGGCCCATCTTATGCAGTGCCAAGGGTTTGTAATCCTGCAATGGATGGATTGGCCCATCTTATGTTGTAACACTGGTTTTTGTTTTCCCTTATCTGCTGCCTGAGAATACCATGGATGGGCCCATCCTTATGTAGATCCCTTTGATCTCCCTTTCTGCTGCCTGAGAATGCCTTACATGGACCATTCTTATGTAGATAGCTTGGATCTCCCTTTCTGCTGCCTAAGAATACCATACACAGACTTGTCCTTATGTTGTGACAGGGGTGCATCTTGCTAGATGGGCCCATCCATTTATTGTGATGATATACATGATACTACTGAAGGACCTGTCCTTATGTTGTGATGCTATTAGATGATATTACTGATGGGCCCATCCATATGTTGTGACAATATAAACAATACTACTGAAGGGCCTGTCCTTATGTTGTGATGCTATTAAACAGCATTACTGATGGGCCCATCATTATGTGTTGACAGGGTACATCTTACTGTGGATGGGCCCATCCATATGTTGTGACTCTATTAACTGATATTAGTGACAGGCCTGTCTTTATGTTTTGACAGCATACATCTTACTGGGGCTGGGCCTGCCCATATGTTGTAATGCTATGCATGAGATTACTGATGGGCCTGTCTTTATGTTGTGACAATATAAATAATATTACTGAAGGGCCTGTCCATATGTTGTGTTATGCCTGCACCAGGGGTCTTTCCTTTTTCGACTTCTCATGGTCATGTGCATCATGTGCCTCATCATGTCCCTCGTAGTTGTCACCATCTTAAGGGTTCATATGTTGGAAGACTCCTTCAGATCTCTGACTGTCATGATATTTCCAATACCTGTCAAGACTGTGCCTCCTGGTTGATCTGGTGTTCCACTGCCCTCTCTGATGGGTGACATGTCTCTTTCTTGTGCCAGTTGACTCATGTATATTGCTTATATGTTGTACTATAGCTCCAGTGTCTGGCTCCTCGCTGTGCATTGATTGCACAGCCAGTTTAGCCTTCATCCCCTTGCCTACCCCCATCATATGACACTGTGTGACTCATTCTGACTGTTTATTTGACTGATAGCTTTGTTGATTACTGTGGATATGTGTCGCATCGCAACTGGTACAGTACATGTGCTTGGAGGTATATAAACCTATGTACTTCGTCCTGTATCTGCAGTTTTTCAATATCTTGCAACTGAGCTTCATCCCTTTGCTTCAGTTCTTGTTCCCTCTCTGTGAGACTACCCTAGCAGATCTCCAGTAGAGCAAACCTCTGTAAAACCCTTGCAATAACTCAGCCATAGGGGTTATGATAAGTTCGGCCTGCAGGTCCCACCTCGCACACTTTGTGCCTATTCCATTTGAAGAAGTCACCATGCTCAGGCATAACAAAATCAAAAAACTCCATGCAGCTTTTGGGACTCGTCGACCTCTTCGTGAAAGTCTACCTGTCCCTGGTTACTGAACTTCAACAAACCACTTTACTCATCACCAAAAGGCTCATTGCTCTCCCTACATGTAAAGACTGACTTGCCTCCAATCCACCTCCTCAACAAATACAATCAGGAAGCAACCCCTCTTACCTTCTACAAATCCCATCACTCTACAGGCAGCCACCAGGCTTTAATAGATCGCCTCCCTAGAGTTAATGCTCAGAAGTAAAACCTTCCTCAGCCTTTGTTGTCACTATCCATAAAAGTGTCTAACCCACAGAAATTGAAGCCTCCAATCCCTCCTCAACCTATTCCTCATGGACTTGGATGGAATCCCCCTTTACCACCCATCCCTTTAGGACGACTCAGTCCTTCAGTTACTGCAACAAATCCCTGTTTGTCTTATCTGTCCCATTTTAGGGATTCAGAAGTCACACTTAGTTTGGAAGAAGAAGACAATCAGAAGTCCAAGACTTCTTTCAGATCAGTCCTCAAAGAAGAACAAGAAGCCTGTGAACCAGAAATGTCCATGACAGTCAGTCACAGAGAGTCAGTTCCTGAGATGCCTCAAAGGACCATTTTGGAAGAGGGACTGAGACAGAGGTTGGAAGAACAAAGAGTCATGATGATGGAGG